GATAGAATGGTTAAGATATGGGATATAAGCAACGGAAAATGCCTGCAAACGCTCCAAGGTCATCATGATTCCGTTCGATCAGTCGCCTTCTCCCAGGATTCAACACGAGTGGCGTCAGCATCGCATGATAGAACAGTCAAGGTATGGGATGCAAGCCGCGGTAAATGTCTAAGGACACTTCAGGGACATAAACATCGTGTCATTTCAGCCGCCTTCTCTCATGACTCAGTACAGCTTATTTCAGCTTCGGCTGACGGCACAATTAATATCTGGAATGCTAATAGTGGCGACTGTCTACACACACTCAAAGACAACGTTAGCACCCAGTCTGTCGTCTTCTCTCATGACTCAAGATGGCTCGCCTCGGCGTCAATAGACGGCACAGTCAAGATCTGGAATGCAAGTAGTGGTAAGTGTCTACAGACGCTTGATGGCCATGGTCATTGGGTTAATTCAGTCGCCTTCTCTCATGACTCGGCACGGCTCGCTTCAGGGTCTGACGATGAAACAATTAAGATCTGGGATACAAGCAGTAGTGAGGGCCTACAAACGACCGAGCATCATAAGCAACATGTCAGATCAGTCGCCTTCTCCAATGACTCAATACTACTTGCTTCAGCAGCCGGTGATAATACAGTCAAGATTTGGGATACAAGAAATATGAAGTGTCTACATACACTTAAGGGCCATAACGATTGGGTCACGCTAGTTACCTTCTCCTCTGACTCAACACGGCTCGCCTCAGCGTGTCTCAACAAAGTAATCAGGATCTGGAATGTAAGTAGTGGTGAGTGTCTACAGACGCATGATGGCTTTGTCATGTCGGTCGCCTTCTCCCCTGACTCAACACGGCTCGCCTCAGCGTGTCTCAACAAAGTAATCAGGATCTGGGATGCAAGCAGTGGCGAGTGTCTGCAGACGCTCAATACTGGCAAGATACTCTCTAATATATCATTCGATATTACGGGCTCGTATCTTTGCACCGAAACTGGTACTATTGCTATTAACGCACCATCAGTTTCAATAATGGCACCAAGTGTTACGGATCCTCACAGCCCTCCATATCAAAGCTTGGCTTTAAGTCCAGATAAGGAATGGATAACATTTGGTTCAAAAAACCAACTGTGGCTACCACCGGAGTATCGACCAGCATTTTCGGACACTGTGGTTGTGGCGGGGAGGATGGTTGGCATTGGTACTAGATCTGGGAAAGTATGGATATGCAACATTGAACTTGACGAATCCTAAAGCCTAGAGCGTTTGCATAAAGATAATTCATTATTCCATGTCTCTATTGTGTCTCTTGTTGGCCAGGCGGACAGGAGTCGTTTCAAACGGTGGTAGTGTCAGGGACGGTGGTAGGTGGTTCTGAAAGATTGTTCTGAAGGGTCGCTCCATATACTATATACAGTGATCTGGACGAGTCCAGGCGTGAGGAGCAGAAAACTCCGCACGCTTCGCTCTTACGATGTACGTACTAGCTAGTTACGTGATGAGGCCAGCTACCCATCATGCTAACACATTCTTCCCTCTGCACCCCGCTTGCTTATATCCACCGTGTCTCTACGTCCTTCTATGGCTCACCGGGATGCAGTCATGACCCTCCCGGAGTTGGTCTAGGGCCAGCCAAAATTCTCGCCTAACTCAGGGTCAGTATAGTGCTCTATACCGCCCAACAATCAGGTCTCAATGTACCTGAAGTGGTCAAAAAGGCAGATACGATCAAACGCCGAGCCAGGCGGACCGAACTACTTCTCTCCTTCAGTCTGCGAGATTAATTGAGTAAGGCCGACGTGGTAGCACCCCTGAGGAAAATGCACTAGTTCTTTGTCCACCATGCTGTATCTCTTTGATTGAGCGTTCTCTCTCTCTCTCGCGCGCACACTAGCCCCTGAGATGCTACAGACAACTACTTTGCTAGGGCTGGGAGGCCGATTTTTCCGTGGACGGTTACATGACAGAAAATCGCGTCTGATGGGTGTAGATCACGAGTAGGTGAGGATCTCCTGGGTTTGGTCCCGAGCGTTCTGGGAAGGGGGTCTTGGCCCTGTGAGAAGACCCTCACCCTATCGTGTATATAGTACGAGTATCTACAGCAGAAACGATCAATCCAAGTAGTCTTCACGTCTGACTCGACAGGTTCGTACCGAAATTCCGCTCGTTCTCCAAACTCCCGATCCGGATTCTTGAAGTAAGTTATTACTAGAAAGAATGAATCCTCATAGGAGGTCGCAACTTGCGAAGTGACTTAGGCATTCTTTATTCTTAAGCTTAAATTGTAGCTCTCCCGCTAAATGTCTGGGCACCGCCCTTAAATACCGGAACCTGACCCAAATACTGCGAGTTTTTCATGCACGGAGTATCAACCCCTCTCTCCCTCTCCCTTCACCCTAGCAAATAGGGAGAGCTCCTATGGTACTTATGTTTGAAACGTACTAGTCCCCTAGTACACGGAATTGACCTCATTGCCAAGGAATGATGATAATTTTTATCGCACTGCATGCTTCGTAAGGGCTCTAACAGCTAGTAACAACAGCACAGAAGTAGAAAGAGGAGCAAAGGTCTGGCTTCCTTCGATCAAGCCCCAGCTCAACGAATGCCAAAAGAGTGTTTTTCTGAACTCAGCTGGCCAAGACAATCGAAATTGTCCAAAATGAATCGAAAACGACATGAAGAGAGACCTTCTCCTCGCACTTAATGCACAACAGTGCCAGACCACTCCGAGCAGTCAACTTGCGTGGCAGAACCGATGGCAAGACCAACTCCGCTGTCACCGAAGAATGCCTCTTGAGCGCCACTGTCGCTGCAGAGGTCAAAGTTGACATTGGCACCGTACTGATTGGTGTCGGACAGACCATTCTGTGCGCAAAGAGGGTTGCCGTCAGCCGGGCAGAGGTTGTTGACCATGACCACAATGCTGGTGCCGGCGTTGCTGAGCTTGTTCCCGGACGAATCGGTCTCACCGACGAGCTTCCAGCAGGTACCACAGGCCGGACCAGCTCCAGCACCGGGGCCAACTCCAAAAACGTTCTGGCTGACGGCGGCGCTAAAGCCAGGGTATGTGTAAAAGGCGCAGGCGGCGGTGTTGGTGTTGCAGTTGGGAGATCCGAAAGTATCGCCGGCACCGTAGTGTGTCATGGAAGCCTTGTATGTGAGGCCACCACCTGTCGCAGGGCTGGTGCTAGAGCTAGGCGTTGCGCTGCTCGTGCTGCTGCTTGCGCTGTTCGTCTGTGGTGTTGCGCTTGAGGCTGGTGCCGGCTCTGAAGTTGGTGCAACAGGTACTGAACTGCTCACACTGGATGAGAGACTGCTGCTTTGTAGACACTGGGAGTAGTATGGGTTCTGCTCCAAACAGGTCCAGCCTGACTGGCAAGTTGTACCGCCTGTCCAATTGATGCCACCACCTGGGACAAGATTAGTTGACAGTTCATGTGCAACGGTGGTGGGTAGTCACATTGTTCCCAGGGACCTTGAGCAGTGCTCGAATCGGTGCACGCCAACGCGGCCGACGCCAGGAGCATCAATCCAAATTGCTTGTACATGTTCCCGGAAGTTTCGACGGTCAGGGTGAGAAATGTAGATGGTGGTAGTGACGAGGCTAGCTAGGTAAGAACAGTAACGAGCGACTGAAACGAACGTGGTAACTCGATCGACGAAGTAAAAGAATGGCTGAAGACAAGCTTGAAGAATCGGAGCTACTGTCGATGGGCGACTGGGCGACATTTTATATCGGACGGCGTGGCGTCCATATCGCCCATGGGTTCAGCTTTGCCTGCTCCTTGATCCGAGCAGAGTGAGAAGGCAAGGAGCATAACGTGGCACTAGCCGGGCTGTTGTTCCGAGATATCGATGTCGCTAATAGCTAAGCGATCGAATAGGCACTTCACCATCCCAGATGAACTGTCGCACCACCATGTTGTGGACAAGGAAGAACCATGATGTTGTGTCTCATCGGCACCAAACCAGGTCTGCCTAAGTATCTAAGCCGATGCTTGCGAAATTGATGTGGACTGATTCTGATTTGTCCCTTAATTTTCCATACTACGTATGAGGAGACCCATTTTGCATCTGAAACGGTGGCGGCATGGTAGATGTACTCCGTACGCAGGGTTGAGATCTTAGTAGGCTCCCCAATCAAGTCTCGCCGGAGCTTAACCGTTGTATTCTGTGCCCAGATATTGTATTGGGTGGCCGGCCCGTAGGTACTCTGTGCAGGCATACAGCCACAGGTTCACCGAGACTCTACTGCCGTGCAACGGGTCCCCTTGCCCCTAGACCTGGCATCCAACACGCCCACGTGGAGTGATCCATGGTCTGCGCCGTAAGCTTATGGTCAACTCGAGATTACGTGCACTCGCGAGGACATGTTTACCGCCGTCGCCATAAATCTTAGTGCCTCCCACCGTGCGATTCAGGGCCTGGCCTAGTGTCTAGCTGGACGGAGACATTGCATAAAAGGCGGTCTTCGGTCCGGTCGAAAGAAGGGAGGTACTGTACAATTTGCACATGTCTGTATTCCTGGGTGTGAACGGCATTTCAACCAGCCATCTGCGGCCTCTGTCCAGGGTGCAAGGGGCATTCATCCTAACAGGTGTGGTTCTCAATATATCTGTCCGGTGGTGTTGGTCCTTCGCTCAAGGGTGTCATCCTCTGGTATGCGCTGCCATCGTACCTTGGAGTGCCACCACGAAGCATCGAAATGAACCAGGCCCCCCAAATGGGGAGGTCATGCCTCCACAGTCATTTTGCATATATCAGACGAAATTTGCGTGGGATGTTTTTGATCCATCTGATCCATGATTTCTCGATTGCTCCCTTGTACAGTCGAGTCCTGGTGTCCATCTTGTGTTGCTTCCTAGACTGGTTTGGCCAATGTTCCATCGTCGAGGACATAACCAGATATCTCACCTTCCAGTGATGGCTTCTGGGCGGCATCACTTTGCAATATACAGACGGCAAATGGACATGGGATACCAGCTTGTGAGTTTCATCTACGGAAGGAGTCTTCAATCATTCTGCAGACAGGCAGAGAAGCGATATACCTGATGGCAATCGGATCAACATGAATTAACACTCAAGCTCTTACCTTCCTCCTGAGCTTACCCTACTTTAACAAGTGTAGTGTTAACCCTTCCCGGTGCCACTGATGCTCGTTTTCCACTGTTGCAGAGCGACAAACCTGGGCCATCGTCGGCTCCTTTAATGTGGTCATAGGACTTTTGCATGGAGGTTGCCATAGATTTGTGACTTGACAGCGCAAGGGGTATTGAATGCATCTAGAGGTCAGAGGATGGAGCAACTGCCGCAATATGTAATGCAGAAGCCATTTGTGCTCCATATGAGCTGGTCTGATAGGAGGTGCTGTGGCGACACAGTCTGATGATTAAATCGGTGGTCGACTTCTCCTCCTCGTCGGCGTGACACCTCTGTCGTCCATTGCTGCTGGTTCTGTTGGTTTGCACCCCCGAGTGCCTTCTTCGTGCTGCCTGGTCAACGTACTCTGGACTCCGATTCCCATGCAATATTATAGTGAGTAAAATGGCCAGTCTCTGCCAGCTTGTTGCGAACTCAGGGTTCTGGAGACTTCGTCCATCGCGTTAGAGTCCAAGCGCGCGTCGATGCCTACAATGCCTGCTTCTGTGCTATCTTCTTTACTGCTGGTAAGTGGTTGGATGGGCGCATCTTTGGGTCTAGGGTTAATGAATGCCTGTCCCCGGACTACCAAATCCATGTTTTCTACAGGGATGTTTTGCGTGAGGACTCATCAGAAGGGATATCACCATTCTCTTGCCTTGTTCCGGTAGACTCCCGTTTACATCAGATACTCCGGGGTGTGCATCCATATTCAGGGAATGCATATGGTTACTGTTTTGAAGACTCTGGTGACAGTCGTGCTGTACTCGTGGTGACGGTGGTTGGCCGTAGTGAATTTGAACTCCGAATATTTTTTATCCCGACCCGGTAACCGTCAATCACAACCCCGAAAAACAAGAAGCAGTCGGGACGAAGGGAAAACATAGAGCTATCTCCCATAGATACTCAGGGTAGGCCGGAAATGCCAACACCGAGGAGGCATCCGGATTATTTCTACTTCAAACCATCGGCGCTGCTTAGGTGTGAGCTCAGAGCAACCAACACCATCGCCGACTACCATACAAGGGAGATTGATACTCCACGACCGCTATCACTCCAAAATGCACAACCATATCTCAAACATGTTCTTAACAGTCGAGTCGTAAGGAGCCATTCGCTCAACCCAGACAGAGCCAGATCATCGCAACAGATCAACCCAAGCCAGCCTTGTTCGTCTTCACAACATGTTTGATGGCTTCGAGGCCACCCTTGTTGCCCACTGCGCCTATGCCCATACCACTGGTCCAGCCCATCTTCTCCAGAATAGCACGACCCTTGTTGTCTGCACCAAGTTCAGGAGCAGATGCGCCAACGACGTCACCATTCATGTAAGTAGCACCAGACATCGCGCCGCCACCCCCCCTACGGCCTCCAGTCACGCGAGCACGAGGATTGCTTGCTCCATTGAAACCACCCTTCTGTCTTGGGAAAAATCTCCTCTGCTCTATCAGGTTGTCGATTTGCCAAACAGTGTCAATGGTGTAGTGTGGAGTCTGAGGCCCCTTGGTTAGGACTGGGTATCGTCCACGACCACGACCTTCCTTGCCCTCTGAGTGTGACTTCAACTTCAATGCCTTTGCGAGACGGTGAATGCCAGCCCGTGCAGTCGGTTCCATTGGAGCCAACTCGAGCACGTCTATCTCCTGGACCAAGAAGCGTCTGATCTCTGCTTTGATCACAGCAGGACTGTTTCGCTCAGCAGCCTCAAGAAGTGCGTCTTCCCTAGCCTCCTGTCGTTCGCGTTTCCTAGCAGCTTTCTTCTCCCGGTCTTTGCTCCATGTGCTGCTAAGGTGCTGGGCAAGTTCCTCATCTTCCAAAGCCCATTCAAATGGGTCTGACTTCCGTCCCTTATTCTTAGGTCGTAGACTGGGTCGATCAAAATCCATTATGTCGAATGCACCATATGGGTCTTGGTCTAGAGCATCAGCGAATGCCTCTGCTGGTGGAAACGTATCGCGTTGTCTTCGATTTCTCTTCGATTTGCCACGGCTCGAGATGTGCTTCTTGCTAGAGAACTTAATGAAGTCGTCGTTTGCAATGAACTCATCCATGTCCTGGTCATCATCCTCATCGTCAACCTGCCCATCGAACAACAACAGTTCGTCGCCGCCAATTCCCATCTCAGCTTGCTTCGCGAAAGCACGGGCAATTTGTTCATCGCTCATTCGTGTCACTCGATCAATGATGCGGTCATTTTCCTCCATTTCAGATTCGCGGTCATCATCCGCATCATCGCGGAATTCGTCATCATCATCACTCCCGGTGTCATCAGCTTCCAGATCATCACTAGTGTTCTCGAATTGGATGGCCTGGATGTCGTGGAAAATGCTAACTTCGTCGCGTGCAGACACGGAAGTCAATTTAGTATGCAAGACCCAACGAGCCTCACTTGCATCTTGGCCGGGCAAAGTCACAAGATACTGTGGACCACTGGGACGTTCTCGATGTCGAAGAACTTGGCTTACTTCAACAACTTCCTCGTCGGTCGTGCTTAGATCGTCGAAGTCTTCCAAGTCAGCAGAATCCCAGTCAATGGCCTGAGAAGGGGCAGTTTTAGACTGTTCATATCTAGTTGGAGGTTTTGTCTGGACCTTGAAGGGTGCCTCGGTAGCATTACCGTGCAGCTTGAAGTGCTCGTCTCGTCTGGACGGCTTTGCAGTAGTTGGCGCCGAATCTTCTTCTTCTTCTTCATCACTGTCATCATCAAACACTAGATTGGCAATATAGTCATTCATGATGGCTTCCTCTTCCTCTCTCCTGCTCGAAAAGATCAGCGGTCTTCCTCGACGATCAACATTCTTCTTCCGCAACGGTATAGGCCCAATGTGATGTGAAAGAGGCGTGAAGTCTTTTTGCGGTGGACTACCGGTGCTGGTCTCGCCAGCTTGAAGGTCAGAATCATGTTTCGTTGAGGTAGGCAGAGACGAGGGAGGATTGGGGGATATGTCGACTTTCCGAGGACGTGGTTCAGCGCGGTTCTGACGACCAGTAAAGAGAATCTCATCAGAAGATACTGACGAAGCGGAGTATCTCCTGGGTGCAGGGGTGTTTGTGACAGAAGACTCTGTGGTAGTTGTCGGTGCCACTTCCTCCACTGGCTGGTGAACAGCGGCAACTGTGACTTGGTCCTGTTCGACAGAGTCGTGTCTTGCGTCCAATTGCACGCTGTCACCGTCCCCTGCAGACTGATCTGTTCCTTGAGTGCTCTCTTTTGATTCCATGACGGGCTCCTCGCGAACCAGAGTGCCTGCGCTTACGAACACAACAGCGCGATCTCGCAGCCTCGAAGGACCCCATGCCGCCGTATGTCTCTCTGTATTACGAGCTTCCTCGCTCATAGTAAAATGACCGGTTCTTGCATGAGGTGACGCAGAGTCGGAGAAGTCTTGCCAGTCTGATAGCAAAGCCTGCTGTCGATTACGAGGGTTTAGTTCTGTAACTGCCACGACAGTTAGTGAAACACTATCTAGTGGCGTAGGAGCGACCAAAGCATACATTTGACAGAAGAAGTTGGCTGTTTCTGAGACCACTTAGGATTCTTAGCCGAGTTCCCTTTCTTTGGCCGCGCTTGAGCGCGCTGTCGCGCCCCCATCGCGGGGTGGGTTGGTCAAAGACCGCTTGCCCCTCTGGAAATGAATTCGTCACTTGAAGGAGGCGTCGAGATGATTGCTAGAGAGCCTGAAGAACGGAGAGATAGAGGCGGAGACAGCTAGAAATACGTAAACGTGTGTAGCTGTATGATTAGACCGAATACTCTGTATCCAATTGCCACCGTCAATGAGTGAAACAGTACAGAGTCATAACTACTCCAGTCGAACCACTTGTAGTGGATTAACTCTTGAATTACCTAAGGACAAGGCTGAGCGAGGCTGAGAAAGGCGGCCAGACGAGTCTGACGTGCCCGCTTTGCCTTCGGCACCCTTGATCTGCAGACTGCGGTCGTGATGCCTACAATGCAAATGATCCCAACACCTCCTCCAGCAACCAGATAGGAAGAAGTCATACAGAGAACTTGATCCAGCGCACCCAAGGCATTCACCCTTGTCTCATTCTCCCCGAATACCTGTGCACCCCTCGCACCCTGGAAACCCTCCGAGCTCTGTTTGCCTACCGCTTCACCTCCGACCATTCAAGGACCATTGATTCCCGCCATCAAACGCCCCAGAAGTGGTTACTACTTAGAAGGGAACCGTATCCATCTTCACCCCAGGGAGACATTGTTTCAGGGACTTCGTCAGTCGCAGCTCTTGACCTGCTGCATGCATTGTCGACCACCTTCCAGACCCTCCCTATTCAGGGCGTCATGAATGGAGTCGACTACAAGCGCTTCGTGCGCTACTTTTACGATCCTCCACCCAAATACGATGACATGTCAGGGACATCCATATGGCTGCTAGGTAAAGAGTACAAACCAACTCCGCCCAAGCCTGTGACAACGACCGATCACGACGATGTAGTCGAAGTCGAATCATCGACTGAATCGCATGACCCTTCAGAGACGAGTGGTTCATCTGTCACTGCGGACATCTCATATCAGCCGCAGCAACCTCACCATATATCTCAGAGTACAAGCACACTTGACGATGTTCAGCATGTCACGAATGCCAATCTCCCATCGCTCTCGAACGATCCGGCCGACGGAGGATGGCCCCACGCATTCCTAGATGATTTTGAGTCACGAATATGGATGACTTATCGATCAAACTTCACACCCATCCCTCGATCTCAAGAGCCGTCCTCGAACTCAGGGCTTTCCTTCTCGGTGCGTCTCCGTAACCTCACCGAGCGTGAGGGATTCACCAGCGACACTGGCTGGGGGTGCATGATTCGATCCGGACAATCTCTCCTTGCCAACGCCTTGTTAACGCTTCAACTTGGCCGAGACTGGCGGCGGTCCACCTGTGCTTCATCAGAAGAAGCGTCAATCGTATCCCTTTTCGCCGATTCTCCTTCTGCCCCATTCTCCATTCACCGCTTCGTTCAACACGGCGCATCATCCTGTGGTACTCATCCAGGTCAATGGTTCGGGCCGTCTGCCACAGCATCGTGCATCAGAGAACTAAGCGGTGAATGTGCGGCTGCAGGCTTACGAGTCTACGTGACCCCGTCGGCATCCGAAGTATATGAAGACCGCTTCCGATCGATCGCGGCCGCCAGCTCAACGGATTCCACCATCAAACCTACACTTATCCTGCTAGGTATAAGACTAGGCCTCGATAGGATCACGCCAGTCTACCACGAGGCGTTGAAGAGCGCGCTGACATACCCTCAGTCGATCGGGATTGCCGGCGGCCGGCCTTCCAGCAGCCACTACTTCATCGGATGCCAGGGTGATATGTTCCTCTACCTTGACCCACATGAGACGAGGCCAGCACTAGCTTACCATGATAACGCAGCTGAGTACACAGACGAGGAGATAGCTACGTGCCACACGCGCAGACTGCGCGGGCTGAGGATCAGTGAGATGGACCCGAGCATGCTGATCGGGTTCCTGATCAAAGACGAAGCAGACTGGGTTGACTGGAAGCGCAGACTCAAGGAAGTCAAGGGAAAGGCCATCGTCAGCATCTTTGACAAGGAGCCGCCGGTACCCGGGGAGACGAAGGAGCGCAAGGAGGCTGTCGATGAAGTCGAGACTTTTGACGACGAAGAAGACGAAGAAGGCGACGGCGACGACGATGGGACTGTGACGGTGACTGGGAAGGACATTGAACCGGAACCCCACGATGTCCGTGCTGGTGCAGTGCAAGATGCCGAAGACGATGGGGTCAGGGTAGATTTGCATGCTGCGAGAAACGACGACGTGCCATTGCAGGCCCCCTCGAGATGATATCAGGACGATGCTTTTTATGAGATGATATGTAATGATTGGGGGGCGTTCTGGATGATTCACTCTCTGCTTTTGGGAAATGCGACACAAGTACCGATACTGCGAGCAGTTTGCGTTGCTCACCTGTTCCAACAATTCCTTCCAAGTCTTTGCAGGTTGCTGTGCTTCGCGTAGAGGGCGCCATGCCTGCACTCCGTACTGAGGGTGTCCATCACTGCCCAGCCACTCTCTGCCCTGTACAGCCACAAAAGACGCCAGTCTGAGCAGCTATGCCGGACGCGATGGTCTGTGGTGCCGCATCTAAGCCAGGTCAAAACAATCCCTCAGGTTCACGTGTTGACATCGACGTGCACCTAGCGTGATCTCTCGCCGGACGCGTACCAAAACAATGCCTACCAACCCTCAGTAGTACGTAGGTTGTGAAATCTCCCAAAGATACTACAAGCAAGGAAATACCAAACACCCTACAGGAATAGCAGACACAAAACAAACGAGAAAAGCAGACAGAATTCATGCTTTGAATTTGTTGTTTCAGTATCTCATATTTCAGCTCATGTCCAAGCTGAACATCTGATAGTCATGCTCCCTCTCTGGCTTGATCAATATTGTACACTTGACTGCAGTTCCGAATAAAGAATTGCAAAAGCCATCCCCGAAAAGCATGATGTGATCTGGATGAGCAAGCAATTCACAAGCCTGACCCGAGCTCATCACGGTTGTTCCCCGAATCCCATGACGCATCATAATGTGTTGTAAAACCCATTCAACACCGGTAGTTCCATTTGCCACAACCCCATTGCATAAAACAAGCAAAAAACCCAAAGACACCAAAGCATCCCCATGCGACTATGAACCCATTTACTTGCTCTGGGAAGAGTACTTGGTGACGGCCTTGGTGCCTTCTGACACGGCGTGCTTGGCAAGTTCACCAGGCAGGATGAGTCTGACGGAGGTCTGGATCTCTCGGGAAGAGATGGTGGACTTCTTGTTGTAGGCAGCAAGCTTGGAGGCCTCGGTGGCGACACGCTCGAAGATATCTGGAGTTGAATGTCAGTTTGATTGGGTCCGGATGATCAGGGCGCAGGCAGCCTACCGTTGACGAAAGAGTTCAAGATGGACATGGCGCGGTTGGAAATACCGGTGTCGGGGTGGACTTGCTTGAGAACTGTGTAAAGACGCGTCAGTATGAAGCCGAAGATGCGATTGCGACGCGCCAATGCGGTGCACAAACTCACCCTTGTAGATGTATGAAGAGTAGGTCTCCTTTCGCGTCTTTCCTCGCTTCTTCTTGTCACCGGAAGGAGCAGCCGCGGTCTTCTTGCCAGCTTCCTTCTTCTCGGCAGCGGGGGCCTTTCCAGCCGGGGCCTTGCCGCCGGTGGTGGGCTTCTTCTCAGCAGCTTTGGGAGGCATTTTTGATGGATTGGGTGATTGCGCAAAAAGCGAAGTGGATGGAGGAATGAGATGAAAGTGATTGATGAATGAGTACGAGTGGTAGTTGTGTGGGATGGATGAAGAGGAAAGGAAGAGGAAAGTACGAAGTGTGGGTGAAGGCGACTCTTATACCAGGCGCGACAGCAGCAGGAGACGGCGGGTTGATGCGAGGAGCGAAGACGGGCAGGCAGCGTGGACGGGTTGATCCCAGGTAACGAGATTGCGGGATTATTGTGTGTATTGTTATCGTGTCGATTTTGAGGACTTTTGCACCAGTCAGATTGCAGGATCAAGTATCTTGGCGGAAACCCGCCGTCACGCTCTGTAATTTAGCGTGGTATTGTAAATCACAACAGAAAAGTCGTTTTTGATCAATCCCGTTCCGGGCCTGTGATTGGCCGTGATGCGCTGCCCTCTGATCCAAACCTCCGTCTGCCGTCACTTTGCTATCAATGCAGGTTGATCTGGAGGCGCGACTTTGTCTGCCCGCAGCCCGCATCGCCGCCCACGCTCTTCCCATATAACTTGTCTTCCCTTCCCACCTGGAACACCACTTTTTCTTTTCTCCCTTCTTCATCCATCTCCAACTACAGCTTCCATCTCGCATCTCACGTCTTTCAGACTCACACTTTCACCCCTTTCCAAATCCAAAACCCTCAACCACACACAATCAAAATGACTGGTGGCAAATCTGGCGGCAAGGCCTCTGGCTCCAAGAACGCTCAATCGTAAGTCTTGCTCAGATGGCGCATGCTCTTCTGCCCTGCGCTTCAACCAAACACATGCTGACTTTGCGCTACAGCCGAAGCTCCAAGGCCGGTCTCGCGTTCCCTGTCGGTCGTGTCCACCGTCTCTTGAGAAAGGGTAACTACGCCCAGCGTGTCGGTGCTGGTGCCCCTGTGTACCTCGCTGCCGTTCTCGAGTACCTGGCTGCCGAAATCTTGGAACTTGCCGGCAATGCCGCTCGTGACAACAAGAAGACCCGTATCATCCCCCGTCATCTTCAGCTCGCCATCCGCAACGATGAGGAATTGAACAAGCTGCTCGGCCACGTCACAATCGCCCAAGGTGGTGTCCTGCCCAACATCCACCAGAGTACGTTTGATCCTTCTATTCATCCTGCTCGAGACAATATACTGACTTTTGATCCAGACCTGCTCCCAAAGAAGACCGCAAAGGGCAAGAACCCCAGCCAAGAGCTGTAAGCTTTGACATCTGTTTCTGGCTTGGTTTGCAATGGAGTTTCATGACACATGTGATCACACACGGGGTTTGGGGTTGGGTTGGCCTGGTCAAATGGGCTTTTCAGAATCTGCTTTTACGGATAGGGTTGTACATTATGTCCATCCATGCTCAGTATCATCATGAACATGATAGGGTATGCAACTGGGGCATGAGATATGCGAGGTGGCGAAGCATTGAGAGCTTTGCTGCGAAATGAAGGGATCAGACAGATATCAAATTAATGATCCAAGACAAAGCAAATGAAAAACCTGCAATTCCGATCTCTGCCTCTTGCCTTTTCGTGGATTTGCCTCGCGTCCAATGTCCAAAACAATGGTCAAATTAGCGGTGTTCGACGCGTCACAGAAGAAGACGGCCAAAGTATGGTGGCAGCATTCTGGCAACATCGAAAACTACCACAGCCACGTAAACAGGCGGAAATCTCATCTCAAAGATTCCCAAGAAGGCAGTCAGGAAATGGACAGAATGCGTACAATAGTTGCACGGCTCACTACGGCCAGGAAACGTAGAAGTTAGGGATCGGTCATCCTAAAGAAGGGAGGAAGGACAGTACTGCGCGACCACTGGATTAGGCTTGTTAGGCAAGGCTTTTCTTCATTCCTGCCTAGTGTGCAATAGCGGCACCAGCTACTGACTGGCAATAATATATACATTGCTACCTTCAAAGCATGTTTCTGACAATCATAACCTCTTGACAAACTCTCTTGATGGTGGCGGTAGATCTGGAGCTGGCAAGTTTCTCTCGTATTTCGAACCTGGAAGAAAACAACATCAGTCTGCTGTCCCATGATCTTGCCGTGACGGTACATACCGCCAGGAGCCGTTGGTGGTCTGTATGGATCTGGATGTTTCCATTTCAGTAATAACTTTTCCGTCTCGTTAAATAGAATCTGTGATGGTGGTACGTTAGAGACTCTTCCTTCAGGCAATCGTCTTTTGAAGCCTCCCTACTCTCTGACGTCTTGGTTCGGTTACATTCTTGTTCGCATCGAAAAGAGATCGGATATAGACTGCTTGTCCTCGCCAAAGGTTTCTCTGGACAGCCCAGTCAAGGGCAAGCTTCAGTGAGCGCCGATAAAGCGACCTGCAACCCAACCGTCAGCTAGCGTGTCGTGAACAAACGACCCAGGTCTATCGTTACCGAACGGCCTTGACGTGAGGACTGATAGTCGCCATTGTCGATGACACTGGCGCTTAACGGCAGGGGCAAGCCGGATCAGGTTCCTCCTCTCTGCCGAGCCAAGTACCTGCCAAAAGCTCAGCTGCTCGTCTTTCTCCCCTGTCGAGTCGTGTCGAGGTGCGGAGGTTGTCGTGGGCGCAGGTGTCGTCGTCGAATGTGTAATGGCAGAACATGGATTGGAACTTGAGGTGCAGTTGGGCTTGGCGGACTAGTAGCTACGACTACCATTAGGAGCTCTCTCTTCCCGGTCGGCGGCGGGAGACTCCCCAGGCCAGTAAGGAACGTCGGAACTACTCCAACTGCGCGACTTTCTCCAGCAGTGGCCACTCGCTGAACAGTCGAACTTCCGAGACAGAGCTCAGAAGCTTTTCCCGGCTGGGGTCAATTGCTCTGTTTGCTCTCTTTACTCTAGATCACCCTTGTATACCTATCCCCGAACGCAAGGTCTTCTCGACCGTCTTCTTTGTTGCACTCTGCATCTGGCGGTTGTTCCGCCTCGCATGCCGCGTTCATAAAGCTCCTCGCTCATTGGAGCACCGATAGGTCTTGTTTTCTTTGGCTGTGACGAACCCGACGACATCATTCCTCCCAATATGGCTTCACTTCGACTACGACGGACACCAGCATTGGGCTCTGGCCTTGCCATGCCCAAGGTGAACCGTTCGCTACAAACTCGCTGCTTCAGCGCCCTCAAAACCCAATCTACCTACGCTCAGCCCCGTCTGTACAGCCCGAGACCTATCGCCCTCCCTACGAATGCCAGCCTTTCCCGCTACCAGCGATTCAGCACCTCTCCGGCTCAATATGAGGAAGTCATTATCAAGGTGCCCCAGATGGCCGAGTCCATCTCAGAAGGCACCTTGAGTACTTTCTCAAAACAAGTCGGCGATTCTGTGGAATTGGATGAAGAAGTTGCTTCCATTGAAACGGACAAGATTGACGTCTCTGTCAATGCGCCTTCCGCTGGTAAGATCACGGAGCTACTGGTCAACGAAGGTGATACCGTCACCGTGGGGCAAGAAATCGCAAAGATGGAGACTGGCGCGGGTGGTGACTCAGGACCAAAGGAGGCCAAGGAGGAGCCAAAGGAGCCTGCTTCCAAAGATCAACCTACCAGCTCACAACCGGAGGAGCCCAAGGAGAAGGAACCCAAGAAGGAAGAGGCTTCGCCACCTCCTAAAACAGAGGAAAAGCCTGCTCCTCCCAAGGAGGAGAAGAAGCCAGCGCCACCGAAGGATGCAAAGAAGACTGAGGAGCCCAAGGGAGTTGACTCCCCTTTCGGCAAGGGTAGCAGGAACGAAAATAGAGTATGACAAGTGTCTCTGGTTTGTCTCTGGATGCTAATTTGTCACAGGTGAAAATGAACCGTATGCGCTTGAGAATCGCGGAGCGTTTGAAGCAATCTCAGAACACGGCCGCATCCCTGACCACCTTCAACGAAGTTGACATGTCCAACATCATGGAGTTCCGGAAAAAGTACAAGGATGAGGTGCTGAAGAGTACAGGGGTCAAGCTGGGTTTCATGAGCGCTTTCAGCAAAGCCAGTATCCTGGCTATGAAGGATATTCCCACTGTCAATGCTTCGATCGAAGGTCCAGGAGGTGGTGATACTATTGTCTACAGGGATTACGTGGATATCAGTGTCGCCGTTGCTACTCCGAAGGGCTTGGTTACACCTGTTGTACGCAATGCCGAGAGTCTGGAAATGATCGGCATCGAGAATGCTATCGCTGAGCTGGGCAAGAAGGTGAGCTTGAACTAAACAGTACTACGTACAGGATATTGACATGTTGCAGGCACGTGATGGCAAGCTCTCTATTGAAGACATGGCTGGTGGTACCTTTACTATCTCCAACGGTGGCGTCTTCGGGTCTATGATGGGTACTCCTATCATCAACCTGCCACAGACCGCAGTGCTCGGTCTGCATGCGATTAAGGAGAGGCCGGTTGTTGTGAATGGAAAGATTGAGATCAGACCTGTAAGTAGTAGAAGAAAGTTCTCAAGAATGTGGATGCTAACTTTTTCCAGATGATGTACCTTGCACTTACGTACGATCACCGCTTGCTCGACGGTAGGGAAGCTGTCACATTCTTGGTCAAGGTCAAGGTAAGCTTTGCAGTCGGCCGTACCATACCCTTCGAGACCATGCTGACGTGGAAAACAGGAATATATCGAGGATCCACGCAAGATGCTGCTTGCATAGACCTATTTATCGGCCGACATTCTTGGAGGTGTGAAGTGCCACTATCTGGATTGTACAAACATTTTTCCTTGAAATAAACACAGCCGAAGCATCCTTTGTCCATTGCAAAATCTTGTTCAGCATGCTGCAACCGCTGATGACAACCGTAATATCACTGTGCCTTGTGGCTTGAGCCCAGTGTCCGGAAGGATATCTGCGAGGCATCTCCTATTGTTATGCATATATTTTGGACAAGCTTTTGGTATATCCTGGTCGAAAGATCCATCAGTCTGTCTTTCAAAATTCTTCCTCGGGGCATTTTCCTCTTGTTGCATTGCTTTGTATTTGCCCCTTGCACGTACACCTTGGAAGTATCCTGAGAGGAACAGAGGCCTCGGGCATGCTGACTATCGACAGATGAGTTTTGCCGTGACAAATCTCTTCAGCACGGGCTTGGTGCCTCTGGTTTGTCAAGATGGTAGGTCCCTCAAGCCCACATGTCGAAAACAAGAAAACAAGAGCATCTAGAAAGACCCATTGAAATGCCATATCTCTCGCATGACGCAAGGGGTCAAAACACTTTTTTCTACCCTTTCGAAGCTGTACTCGCTCGTATGAGGTACACTCCTCCAATTCGCCCCTTGCATACAAATTTGATTGAACCGCGTGAAGACAGTTTCTTTGCTGTTATCTTTCCGTTCCCCTTTTCTCACGATGAGTTTACTTGGCTTGGACCTTTCGTGTTTCGTTGATTTTGCTCTGTTTCCGTGTGTATTTGTGTGCGCGCCTTTCGAGTGATGCGGGTTCGTTTGCATTGCGTCCCCAGCGTCGAGAGACCAAGATGCGACACACGTCACGGACCAACATCGTTGTCTGTGTCGTCCTATGGCTTCTCCTGGTCCATATTATCCGATCATCTGTGCTTTGTCGCCCTCTGGGTCTGAGTTGGGATCGAGATGTCGACGACGACAACAAGAACGATCACAGGAAGTCGTCATCGTCATCGCCACCATCGTACGAGTACCAACATGTTCAAGATCACGGTCGTGATCATGGCAGGGGAAACTCAAAGGGGAACGCATACGTGTTTTACGCCACTTCAAATCTCTACGCTTGCAGTGCCATGGTCAACGTCGACCGTCTCACGAGGGTCTTCCGCACGCCGCATCCGATATACATTCTTGTTTCGCGCGGCGTGAGTGAGAAGTACACGCGGACATTCAGGGACGTGTACAATGTCACGGTGCTGGTTCACGAACCTCCGCGGCTCCACGACGGGGCGGCACCGTATTATCAGGACGTCATGCTCAAGTTGCTTGCGTTTGGGTTGAATAATTTGACGAGTACGACGCCGAGTACGACGAGCCGGGTAGATCCAGGACCAGGACCGGCGGGGGGGAGGGTCGAGAGGGCCATCGTCATGGATGCCGATGTCCTCGTTTTGAGATCACTGGACAATTTGTTTGGACTGGTTGGTGGTAAGGTTATCAACGTTTTGGTTTCTGCTCGTCACAGCATTGCCGCGTCTTGTGTTTGCTTGGTCCGTAACAGGGAAGCACTTTACGCTTTGTTTGTTCACTTTGGCTAACGATGTTTGTGATGATGTGGCGGTGTAGGTGACTTTGATGCCGATGCTGGAGTTGTAGATGTCGCTGCACCCCATGCCTACTGGCTCGAGCAGGGACAACATCGACAACAACAACATCGACAACAAGAACAACAACAACAACAACAACAACAACAACACAAGCAGCAGCACCAGCAGACGAATGCCATGGATGGCGGAAGGGGCACGAAAAGAAAAGGCGTGACGAGTGCGGTGATGGTACTCAGATTATCCGACGTGTTGTGGGAACGTACGGAGAATGCATTGGATAGAGTACGGCGCGGTGATAGAGTGGAGGTGTATGATATGGATTTGATCAATGAGGAGTTCTTCGGTGCCGGGTTGGGTGGTGCAGGTGATGATGGAGGAGGAGGAGGAGGAGGAGGCACGGTGCTCCCGGGCGCATATTGTACTTTAAATAGCCATTGGGAAGTACAGGAGGTACCGGCCTGGTCGAGGTTCAGCGATGAGGGTTATTCTCGACCGCCGTTGAAGAAGACAGAGAACTCTAGTAGTGGTGGTGGTGGTGGTGGTGGTGTTGGGAATGCCGACAGGACACACCGCAGCAACTCCACCACCATCACAGCTGCTTCCGACGGCGCCGCCGCTGGTACCGCCGACGGTCGCGGTCTTGTCGAAGACCCCCTGACCTCTCTCTTCTATGGCGAGGCGCACATCCTCCACTTCACGGCCCTGGGGAAGCCGTGGAGCGTCACGGTCCAGAGCGTTCACCAGGCGAGACCGGAGGCACATCCTCTTTTCGCCGAGCAGTTTCTCCTCTGGCGCCGAGCGGCCAAGTATGTTTGTCCGGCGTTGGGCGTGGGTGAGACGGGGTGGAACGAGATCGTCGGGAAGAGGTATACTCATCCTGGCGAGGCGGTGGCCGAGGGCGATGGAAGTGCGGGTCCGGATGTCGCTGCGAGTCCTGTCACAGACAGGTTCTTGGACGACATATAATGTGACTACACTGTGTGCACTGTGCCGTAACATGCTGGATGGTATACCTGGTTACACTCAGATACTCGCCCATTCGTGTCAGGATTGGGTCAAGAGGATTCGTGGCCACGGTGCTTTTTATCAGCGGTTGTGGCTGGGCGCCGAATACGGAATGAAACAATAATATAACGTATTCAACTCGTCCTTCCGACCACAACACGTTGTACAGGTAGGTATACTCCCAATCTGCATTCAGGACAACAAAAACTCCCGGTACGACATCACCGATGAACAGACGAAAGATCGAACATTAAGAGACCAAAAGATCGAATTTTAAAATTCAAGTGCTACACTGTAAGATTACCGATCATTCTTAGAATGGACCTGATTCAGCAGGTCAACCCCCCCGGGTACTCGGATGACGCTACATTGTCGATGCAAGAGGCGGTACACATGCTATGCCAAATAAATTTGCTGCTGTGATTGCAGAGGTTCAAAATCAAGTTTGTTTTTTTTTCCAAATGCAAAGGGGGTATCATATACAAGAAGAAACGCAGTTTGAAGATCACAGCACATCACATAACAATCTGTTCAACGTCAGCCTCAGGATCAGGTGAAAGGAGACAAGATAGTAAAACAAGGACTTACACATTCGCCTTTGTCTTTGCCCGCAGGAACGCCCATTTCGTCAAACGTCTTGGGACCCTTGCCAGGAGGGCGAGCTGCGTTTGCTGACACTTGATTGGGCTTAGACGGAGGAGCATTCCCACTCGGTGCATTAGCGGCTGGCTTGGACGGAGGCATGTTTGCTGGCCTGATGTTTTGCGGTGGGTTGCCGTAGCCCGGTCTAGCGTTCTGTGGTGCAGGGCGATTTTGAGGAGGTCCCTGTGACTGAGGCGGAGCCTGACCAGGGCGAGGAGAGGGACGAGGAGGACCGTGGGGACCGGGCCCAGGTGGCTGTGGTCTTCCATAGCCATTAGGCTGTGGAGGTTGCTGAGGTCGTCTTTGTTCGAGGGGAGCAGAATACCCGATGTCAAGCTTAGGTGGTGCCTGGGCCCCAATATGAGGTGAAGCAGTGCCGGGTCGTTGCGGCGGAGGTCCCGGGCGTGAAGGAGCCGGTCCAGAAGGTATGCGATCACCACGACCATATCCAGGTCCTGGAACCCGAGTATCGTTGCTCGAGTAAGGGCGCGTCTGTGGAGACAAATGAGGTTGACCATATGGATCAGGCCTGAGTCCTCCCAAAGGAGCAGTGGAACTCGGTCGTATATTGGGGTTGCTGCCGAATCCAGACGTTGGCCGGAAATCTGGAACATGTGGCAAATTCGAGGGACCAGTGGGGTATGGAGCAGTGCTTCCCGGTCGGCCTGGAGAAGGCTTTCGGTTTTCGAGAGATAACCGGGAGGGATCAGGCATGTCCAGCCTCTCTTCTGCAAGCATTGGCATTTGTGGTCGCCCTATCATCGAGCCACGCTGTTGTCTAATTTTGGAGAGAGCAACGCTTTCGTGGTCCTTCCGCGATAGGGTCTTTGACCTGGAAATAGCATCAATTCTTCCATTTGCATCTTGGTTTCCGCTCTGCGACGCTTTGCGGTACCACTCCTTGGCTTGTTCGAAGTTCACCGGTACGTATATACCGACTTCATAGTAATAGCCCATGGCGAATTGTGCGGTAGGAAATCCGGCCAATGCTGCACGCTGTGCATACGTAAAGGCCATTTCCTCGTTCTTTTCAAATAATCCCTCGTGGCCGCAGAGAAACCATTTGCTGATTGCAAGCTCCGCCTCAGGCTCGCCTTGCCTAGCAGCAAGAGCGTTGTAATGTAAGGAGAGCGCAGGGTCAAAGGGACATCCCAATTCCCCAAGCTCGTAGGCCTGTCCCATCTTGACCTGTGCTTTGGCAAAACCCAGATACGCGGCCTTTTCAATGTTAATCTTGGCAGCAGAGATGTCCTTGGGGAGATAACGCTCGGGTACTTGGACTTGTGTCATCTGATGCGCCTGCAGCATACCGAAAACAAAAGCGCCTTGTGGAGCATTCTCATCGGCTGTCTGCGCAGCAAGATAGATCAGCTGAAGACCACGTTCATAATCTTGTGGTTGCCCGTGTTGACCGAGCAGTGTCATCATCCCCAGCCGGTAACATGAAGCAGAATCTGAGGCGTCCGCCCCCTTCTGATAGTATTTTATAGCCTTCAAAGCGTCATTCGATGACTCGAATTGCATCCCAATCCTGTAGTCAGCTCGAACGTAGCCCCGTTCAGCTGCTCTGGAATAGCAGAGGAATGCCTCTTTCTTGTCAATCCTGTGACCGAACTTGCCAAACTCCAACCACATACCCCTCATGAACTCAGCCTTGGGGTGATGCTGGTCAGCCAGGAAGTTTGTGATTTTGAGCGCATCTTCCCTCAACATATGTTCTATCCGAGGCGTTCTCGACCTGGGTGTCTGTGCCAAAGCTACCCTTTCTTCATTTTGCTGACAAATTTCGACATATGCTAGCGCATCTTGTGCCCATGTCAACTGTGTATCGGGATCGTTGCAGCTCAGTACAGCGGCCCTCGCAGCTTCCAGAGTCGCCTCTTTCTGCTCGTCGGTGGGAGGGATATTAGGCGGAGGATTGCGAAGGACGGGAAATGGAGAGAAGTTTGGCTGCTCTATCTGCGCGGTTGACGTCGTTCGTGGAGGGTAATTGTTCTGCTGGAACGACTGAGGAGGGTTGTGTGAGGGAGCCCTCTGGTCGTAACCATTGTGGTAATCGCTTGGGGGCACCGCACTCGACCACGCATTCATGTTTGCGGGCGCGTATTCTGCGGACTGGGGAGTATAGACAGAACCGGAATAAGCTGAAGAGTTAGGACTTGACGCAACGTGTTCCATCTGAGCAACATTGTGTTGCATATTAGTCGGCAGTTCATAGGCCCTTGAGCCGTTCAGCGACGGACCACTACTTGGATTCTGATCAGCATACCTGTTTGGAGTAGGCTGCGCGAGCTCTGGCATATAATAGGAGTCGTCTCCTCCCGGAACGAAGGTAGCTCCTGTGTTGTAACTCATGGCTATGGTCAAGGACGATCAGTAACACCAGGCTTCTCGTAACGAAAGCACAGCTGAGAAACCCTGATCTCCTCTCTGCACCAGGAGACAAGCGACTCCAAGCAATGAAATCTCTTGGTCCTTTTCCTCTATACCCGGGCCGAAGACAGATGTATGCGCAGCCCAGGAAAGAGGTTTGGTATTGCTGACGCGGACTGTGAGGGAGTGGGAGTCCTAAAGGCTTAGTGGGGGTATGTTTGAGGGATCATCCGAACACAATTTCCGGCGCTGAGAGGTGGTTATAGACATGTCCTCAATTCAGCGAAGCATGCTATCAGAGATGGCGCCTTCATGAACGGCCTAACGGCAAGGCCGGCCATACGTTGTGGACAGCTCAAAGACGTGAGTGAGACGACAACAAAGAGGGCGCAGCGAGGCTGTGGATGACATTGAAATTGAGTGGCTCAGGCTAGGTACGTAACTCCGACAGATGGTGAGGTATTGCATAAGGGTTCGGCGTGGTGCCTGTCAAAAGGGATCTAAAGAGCCGTGCGCGCCTAGTGCGGATGCCCAATGATCCTGCTGTAGCGCGGCGAAGCGGCTGGTGGCTAGGAACGTTTAGTTGATCTCTAGGTACCTGAGCTATCTAAAGGCTACTCCTGTTAGGCACACCCAACAGTCGACACCACCATCGCCTTAGAGCCTCTAGGAACTCAACTAGTTAGAGAGCCCCCTTTACACAGCCACACGTCTCCGTTAGTGCCGCCCCATTCGCTCGCGCCACCAACGTTAGACCCGGCGCCCATATCTGGCAACACCCTTTTCGCGGTTTTGGTGCTTCATTATAGCAACATCATCTCATGTTTAATGGGGTATTGGGCATTTCCAATACATGATCACACCGCCATTGAGCCTCGTACCTCAGATTCCATATCTTGCCATCAATTTCGCAGCCGACAAGGCTCGACACAGGTGGTCAGCTGAAGAATGGAGATCTTCGGACGGTACTGTTTCCCAAGCTCATTCATTTTAGCATGAATGGAAAATGTCAAGCTGCCCGGCATCCATGCAACCCACCATGGAACCTAGTCAGGAGGACTTCTATCATCCGTACCAGCCTTATGCGATTCAGTTGGAATTCATGACCAACCTGTACAAGTGCATTGAGGAGAGGAAGGTTGGCATCTTTGAATCTCCCACAGGAACGGGCAAGTCCCTGAGTCTTATATGTGGTGCCCTGACATGGCTTCGGGATCATGAACGTCGAAGATTTAACGACACGAATGCCCAAGCTGATGCCTCTGACTGGCTATTGCAAGCCGAATTTGCTGCCCAGCGTCGAGAGTTGATGCTAGAACGAGAGGAACTCGAGCGGAAGCTCTCAAAACTGCGAGATGAAGAAAATCGTCAGAAGCAAACAAGAATCGATGCGAAGGGATTCAAGAAGGCCCGCACTGCTGTTGTGCAGAGTCAGATAACAGAGGATATCGACTTTCTCGTAGACGATTACGAGAGTGACTCAGAACGGACAGCGGCTTCTCAAACCTCAGAGGGTGGATTTTCCAGTTCCACACAAGCACTACTTGACAAGCTGCGACCTTCATACAAGGCAACGGAAATTGAAGAGCCATCGGATCGTCTAAAGGTTATTTTTTGCTCCCGCACTCATTCTCAGTTGACACAGTTTGTGAACGAACTCCGTCGTGTGAAGCCTCCGTCATCTATGGAGCTGACAGCTGATGACGCATCACAAACCTCCAAGATGCAGGAAAGGGTGAAGCATCTCGCCCTTGGATCGAGGAAAAATCTATGCATTAACCCTAAAGTTTTGCAATTGTCATCAACAGCTGCAATCAATGAGAGATGCCTTGACCTACAGAAACCCGGGATTGCAAAAGAGAAAAAATGCCCTCATCTCCCATCAAAGGAGGACAAGGAAAGAGTAGCTGCTTTTCGAGACAGAGTCATTGCTCAGATCAGAGACATCGAAGATGTCGGCAATCTTGGTAGGGACATGAATATCTGTCCATACTACGCATCTCGGACTGCTATAGCGCCAGTTGAGGTTCTTACTCTCCCATATCCGCTCCTTCTCCAGAAGTCCGCTCGAGATGCTATGGGTATCTCTGTCAAGGACAATGTGGTCATTATCGATGAGGCTCATAATCTCATGGATGCCATTGCAGATACATTCTCGGTCGCCTTGAGGTTAAGCCAAATTGAGCAAGCTCTACGACAAATGACGGCTTATGCGATTCGTTTCAAACAACGTCTCAAGGGGAAGAATCGAGTCTACGTCACTCAAGTCATCCGATTGCTCAACTCGTTGATAGATTGCTTGCAGGTTGTAACTGAAAAGGCACACTCGCATGAATTGACAGTCACTGCTGGTAAGCTAATGTCTGGGAAAGGCGCGGATCAAGTAAAGCCGCACAAGCTGCTGCAGTATCTTCATGAGAGCAAGCTCTGTCACAAAGTTGAAGGGTACAGTGAGTCTCAGACCGATGGGAAGTGCAATACTGTGAAGGGATCCATGATGCAGTTCCAGAACTTCCTGACCGTATTGATGAATCCTGATGATGAGGGCAGGTTCTTCGTGAGCCGACAGGGTGAAGACATTGTTGTCAGGTATACCTTGCTAGACCCCAGGGAACATTTTCGTGACATTGTTGAAGAAGCTCGGGCGGTCATCCTAGCTGGAGGAACTATGTCACCAATGTCAGATTATGCAGACTATCTGTTCTCGTACCTCGACAGAGAAAGGCTTGAACTATTCAGCTTCGGTCACGTTATTCCAACTTCTCATTTGTTTGCTCAAGCGGTTGTGAAAGGACCTTCGAACATCGACTTTGATTTCACCTATGAGCGACGTGGTTCGGAATTGATGATTGTTGAGCTTGGGAATATGGTCCTGCGGACTTGCACTGTTGTACCAGATGGGGTGGTGGTGTTCTTTCCAAGCTATGACTATCTCGCCCAGGTTGTCTCCGTTTGGCAGAGGCGCCCTGCGAGCTACCCTTTGATGCAATCTCTGGCTGCTAAGAAAACAGTATTTCAAGAGTCGAAAGGCGCAGCTGTTGATGATCTGCTCCGGGACTATGCAATTGCCATAGACTCTGGCAAAGGAGGCCTTCTGTTGTCGGTTGTAGGGGGGAAGCTCTCCGAAGGAATCAATTTCTCAGACAAACTGGGTCGCGCTGTCATTGTAGTCGGCCTTCCGTTTCCCAATGCCCATGGAGCTGAATGGAAAGCAAAGATGCAGCACATTGAAGAGCTGCAATATCAACAGTGCAGGAAGGCTGGCAGGACAGAAGCCGAAAGCAGGGCGGCTGCGAAAAGTGCTAGCAGAGATTTTTACGAGAACGCATGTATGAGGGCTGTGAATCAGAGTATAGGAAGGGTGATCCGGCATAGAAACGACTACGCCGCGATTCTGATGGTCGACAGGCGTTTCTCGACCACGAGGATAAGACAGAAGCTGCCAGGCTGGATCAAAGACAGTATGCACAACAGCCCCCTGGAGTGGAAGGTAGCCGAAGAAGGCGTTCAGGCCTTTTTCGAGGCCAAACAGTGACCCTTATCGGATTCCAAATCCAGCATGCAGAACCAACAGCGGTAATCATACTCAAACATGTATAGAGTGGCTTTGCGTGCTCGCAGTATAGTAGATGTACACATATGTACCGTTTACTGGTGAGGCTGGAGTGAGCCTAGTGCGCCTGCGAGCCTAGTGCCAAGATTTAATGGCGCTAACCAATTTTGTGGCTTGGCACAAATCTCCCACATTGTGTTCGAAGACTTCGGCGAAGAGTTGACTTTCAAGCAACCACGACAACTTCAGTCTCAACACCGACAGAATGCCTACGAGACTGACGAAGACGAGAAAGCAGTGAGTTTACCCAATTCAAATTTCCAAGAGATCAAATGCGACCGGCCGTCACACGTTTCTACTTCTCGAGCCGCTCCTCTACTTCGAACGATAGCGACAACAACAAAAGCCAGCAAGAGAATGGGGATATAACTGCTTTCGATCCAATCTCCCTACAACCTAGTCGGCCGGTCGCATTGATGGTGTTGATGGAAAGCGAGAACTGCGGAAGAGAGCTAGGCTAACACTGTGTTTTCAGCCGCGGCCATGTGTCTGCCGGTCACGGTCGTGTAGGAAAGCACCGCAAGCACCCAGGTGGTCGTGGTCTCGCTGGTGGTCAGCATCACCACAGAACCAACATGGATAAGTACCATCCCGGGTATGTCGAATGCGAACTCAACAATGGTCTGGCGCAGTTTGACTGACAATCCATAGTTACTTCGGAAAAGTTGGTATGAGACACTTCCATCTCACCAGAAACCAATACTGGAAGCCCACGATCAATCTCGACAAGGTCAGGCAGCCCTATTTCTTTGAGGGATGATCAGCTACTAACATACAGCAACAGCTTTGGGCCCTGCTTCCCGAGGAGACCCGTGATGAATACGTCTCTGGCAAGAAGACCGATACCGCCCCTGTTCTCGACCTCCTCCCTCTCGGCTACTCTAAAGTTCTCGGCAAGGGCCGCATCCCAGAGATCCCAATTGTTGTCCGAGCGAGATGGTTCAGCAAGGAGGCTGAGCGCAAGATTAAGGAAGCTGGTGGTGTTGTTGAGTTGGTTGCATAGAGGATGTCAAACGGATTGTTGATATCAGGTACTTTGGCAACGACCGGCAGAATCTTCCTATCGACCGGACCGCCTCAATTCTCCTCGACCACACTATACCAAACACCAGTCGAAGCAGAAGCAGGCATCACCACGAGTGGAAGTAGATTGCTCTGTGCTACGGAGGGCTGCTTGCAGTGTGCATTGAGCGCGTTAATCATCAAGATTCGTCTCTATTCAGTGAGGCACTGATGAACATGAAAATGAAAAGAATTACGCAAAATCTGATTTTGATGGCTTTGTCTTGAGAAGAACCTTTCAATTTGACTCAGCGAATCGCTACAGTGTCTCATGAAGTTTGTCATTTCTCGAAAGTCTGTCCTAGAGCGCGGGATTTGAACCGCTTTACTGCGTAGCCTTGAGTTGTACTTCGTGCTCCGTACTATCTTTCTGAGAGGATCAATTTTTGGTTGTGTCAATCACGTGATCATGCGCTTCGCCCAACTTTCCCGTGGTCGTCAACGCGTAGAGTGGCACGCGCCTTGGATACTCCATATCTCCTCCATGAACAGACATACCTGGATTGCATGGCAGTCTGCGTGTATGGGCCGTAGAGTTTCTGCCGCCTGTGACCCCAGATCTTCTGCCCACACTTACAAACTACACGCTGCACAGTATGGACACGACCGTCCCTCTCCTCGACACTCCCAAAAAAGCGTCATTGCAAAGACAAGCAGACACTCTCCGTGCAGCGCTGAAAGACTATGAGCGCACCTTTGCAGCAGAACATGACGGCCGTAAACCTGGCAGAGGAGACATCAAGTTGAACAGAGCGATCGCGAGCAAGTACACAGAATACAACAAACTTCGCGACGTGATCGCAGGCAAACTTGGACTCGCCGCTTTGGATCCGCCCGCACCAAAAGTACGAACTTCTCGAGCAGACAGTGTAAACGACTTGACGCCACGCCGATCGTACAAATCTACCCCGTCGAAGCCTCGCCATGCGCACGATCTTGATCCATATGATGCACCCTCATCCATCTCGCCAAAGCCATCCCTTCACGCCATTGGACCTACCCCCAGGCGAGATGGGATGGTTCTGGGTATTTTCGATATGCTCCCTCCATCGGGCTCATTGAAGAGCTCCAGGGATACACCTTCGAGTCGAAAGCGCAAGATTGACGCCTTGAACGACAACACCGAGCCTTCGTTCACGCCCATGGCTTCGCAGACACCCAGTCGGCGACGGACACAGCACGTGGGTACGTCCCACCCGGGAGGAGATGCAAAAGATGCAACCGCAGCGACGCCCGCGTCGCGAAGTTTAAGCACAAGTACAAGGAAACACTCCAAGACACCCATAAGCCAAAGCAAACGCTTCATGCTGGACCACTTTTTCGCGACGCCCAGTGCCGTACGGTTCTCCAGCCTTGTCGAGCGGGACGAAGATGACTGCGACACTGAAAGTAATCTGCCGCGCACCACGACACCTTTGCGTGATGCTCTACTTGGCCTTTCGCCGGCGCACCAGAGTCAACAACACGTAGGTTCCGCTGATGCGACACCGCCGTATTTGAAGCGGAGTTTCAGTTTCAAAGAACGTCTCTTGTCCGCTTCAAACAGTCGGCGGGGGTCATCTGCTGGCACGAAAACCGGTGTTGCTGATCTAGGTACAAGTCCGACAAGGACAAGGAGGCCTGGACCACGGGGTCCAGGTCCAGGACCAGCCAAATTCGCACCGAAGCCATTGAGCCAGATCATCGCGGAGCAAGCGAGTCAGAGCAAGGCTGAAGACAGGAGCGTAGCGCAGACACGCGAGGGCGGAGACAACGGCGAATACGACGACGAGGACGACCTCGAAGCTCTGCGTGAGATAGAGGCAGGCGGGATCAATATTCTTTTGGGCGATAGCCAGCTCGACCACAGTCAGCCAGGCAATGGCGGCGAGACAGGGGCAGGGACAGAGGTAGAGCAAGGAGGTAGAGTGTGGAAGAAAAAGGGCCAGAAGCGCACGACGCGAAGAGTCATCATGCGCCCAGTCAGGATGAAGCCTGCTGCTGCGCCGAAATACGTGGCTGCAGATGAGGACGAGAACAGCGAGGACGAATTGGCGCTTGGCAACGGTGATGACCACCACACCGGTGCAGACATGGTGGAAGAGACGCAATTTGTTGATGATGGTCGTCGTGCAGCTGATCTGCATGAGGAAGAAGATGATATGGAATTCCTGCTCGCCGAAGCCGAGCAGGACGACGAAAACCGAGATTTTGATGCTGATGGGGATGAGGAGTTCCGTCTGGAGCCGGCGGCGCGAACGAAGAAGCAGAAGAAGCCATCCTTGAAGGCGAGAACCAAGGACGAGAAAGCAGAGCCGGATCTCCTAGGGAAACTTGCAAAGAAAAAGTCCAAGGCGCACAAAGCTGCAGAAAATCCGAAAGAGAGAACGATCAACCCGAACGCCTACTCGCATATGAACTTTCGAAGTCTGAAGATCAAGAACAAAAACTCAAAAGCAAAAGGGAGAGGCAAGTTTGGTAGGGGACGGCGGTGAACCAACACTGCTATCGAATCGAGTAGCGAGACGGCAATGTTTAGGCGAAATATACCTCCAACACGACTTTTCATTGTGTATCATGACGCTCCACCACGACACAATACATCCACGTATTAGTTGATTTCATTCTGCAGTGGAAGTAAACCTGAACTCAAAGTAGTGTGTCGTGTTTTGCCTAGGTGACAGGCTCACCCATCTTGTCCTAATCTGACAAGCTCTTGCAGAAAGTCCTCGCCATTGACGAGTTCAGTGCTGCCATAGATGACCCTTCTTGTCCGCGGAGCCGAGCCGACGCTACCACCAGCAGCGTTCTGGCCAGAAGTCCTCTTTACCCACTCCTGCAGGTTACCGTATTCGTCCATGCTCCCTCCTCCGACGGTGAACACAATAGCCTCTGAATAGCCTTGCCTTCTCTGACCAAAACTCGGGTTGACGCCTCCTGCACCTTGACCACCACGAGATGCTGGAGCTGAGCCGCCAGTCGTGCCTCGGGCATGGGCACTCCGAGGGTCGAAATAGAGGTAGTTTTCAGTTTTGGCGATCGCAGAGGACGAAGCGGCTGGCGGGTCCATTATAGACTCGACGATCTTGGTGACTGTCAAATCCTTATTTGCAGGGAGGAAATTCTTCACGCCCGATACGAGAGCGTCCAGGTTGACGTTGCCCAATGCCGAAGAAGAAAGCTTATCTGTGAAGTTTTTGGATAAAGAGGAAAGGCCACCAAACAGCGGGGCCTGAGAAGGCTGAGACGTTGTAACGGTAGAGGCCATCATGGTGCCTCTTGTCTCGAGTCTGACATTCGATATGTGCTTGATCGCGACCACTGCATCGCCTACTCCAGCAGCTGTCAAGGCGCTCTCAAATTCCGACAGTTCCGACTTGGTCGGTTCTTTGTCGACACTTAGATACCAGATAATGAAGATTCGTAGTTTGTCGAGAGGATTGTTGCCTTTGTCCTCAGACTTTATTAGTGCCAGCATCTGCTCTGCAGTCTGTTTGGTGATGTTTTCCTCGAGCTGGAAAAAATTGTCCAGCTGTCGATCTTTGATACCCTTCAAAAGAGCAGTTGCAATATTCATATGCATATCCAGCGTGGCTTTCCGCTCTCTCAACTCCGGTAGTAGTGTTATCGCAGCTTTCAGATGAGCGGCAGATGCTGAACTGTCGTTTAGATCTTCGATACTGTTGACACCCGTCTTCTTTGTAACCTCCTCAGCATCCGTCTTGTACTTCGTAAGCTCTGAGTCTATGTCTTCTGCCACTTGTGGGAAAGGTGCACTCGCATTTCGTGCCCAGAAAAAATCGCTTGCATTCAAGTCGTAAGCTTTCGTTTTCGGGGCCGCGGTACCTTCCTCTGCAACGTCAACCGTTATACGGTTGAGATGCATCTTCAGTACATCATGCACCAGAGATTGATATGTCCAAGAATGCGACAACATAGGGACGAGATCAACATTCCTGTCTAGTATGATTAGGACTGGCCTCGAAGGGGTCGAGTATACATTTCCTGCGGCTTTGGAGGAGAAAAGATTGTCCTTGGAATTGAGGACGTGATCTCTGAGCTTCCGATCTAGCTTGCTCGCTATCATTTTTGCCAACTCCGATTGTGGACATCTTATGATAGGCACTGACCCCATGGTCACACTGACACTGAACAGTCCGCTTACTATTCTGTCTATTGCCGCATCTTGAATGTCTGCTTCTGCTTTTGCGCTGTTAAATGTCCAGTAGGACTCTTTTCCCATGCCCAAACTGAACAAGTCGGGCTCCGCGACAATGAAATTGAGGTATTGATCATATACCTGCGCAATAGCATCCGCCGTGTTTGTTGAGGATATCTGAGCGGCGAAGTCTTCGAGAAGTGGTCGCGGGATAGAAGAAAGGAAGTTGACATAGGCAGGGCTGTACAGCCCTCGTGCGAGGTCGGAACATATCAATTGGATGTTCACAGCAGTAGGTTCAACCAGGTAAAGGACAGGAACGTCTGGAATAGGGTACCGAGGGGAGTTTATGTTTCTGTCCGCTGGTTAGACTTTGCCTGGGTGTAGTGCAGCCAGACTAACAGATGGATTGTGACGCCTTTGCTCCGTAAGTCGTTGACTCTGAGGACACTGCTTATGACATCTCTTCCAAGGTTGTCAAAGACAAGGACTTTCCATATAGGTTCGCCATTCTCGTTCAGAAGAGAGGCCGCAGAGAGGTTCTTGGTGTCTGTCGTGCCATTCGCAGCCTCCAATACCTCGTCATGATTCAGGCTTAGTATGCGCTCAATTGAGGCTACACATGTTAGCCACATCGTGATGGGAAATTAGGAAGCCCATTACTGACCTATTTGGCGATCCCGCAGTGTTTGACCACGGGCTGCCATGGTAGGCGTGATAGCTAGACTGTGGAGAGTCTATACAGATAGTTGACGGTTTGGCAATGATGGCATGATTTCATTCTGTGACAACACAAGCACCTTGCAACCTTGTGGACATGCTGGCATCAACAGCGACAAAAGACACAACAACGTCTCTAGCCTCGCCCGACATCTTGATCTCAATGCCGTGGTCGCACAAGGCAGGTTTCCCGAGGAGTGTACTGGTGCGCCTTCCCGCATTCGGCGTAGCGCCAGGACTGGAATTGCCCTCAATCTCAACCACGCCTCTGACTCTTCCTCTCTCACACTTTCTCCCTCCTGTCTTTTCCATCATAAACAATCACCACACCCGTCACGCTTTACATCTTCCTCCTCCTGCCTGTAATTGTTCCAACTCTTTCTGGCCGTGGACTGTAATAATTGCATTGAATGGTCTTTTATCTTGCTTTTTCGCATGGCTGGAGTCGGGGTGCTGAAGTTTGGCGTGACTGTGACTGAGGCGCGTTTGATCGCCATCTAAGAAATTCGTCTACAGAAGTTGATCTGCGGCTCTTGCTTTAAAAAGCCTTTTCCAGAGACGGTGGACCGAGTACAGTTAGTGCTTTTTGCCCTCAGGCTGGTCAATATTAGAGACATTCTTCGAATTGTGGCATTGAGTTCGGACTAAGGCACGAGACTGTTGTTGCGAGACTGGGTGGCCCAAGAGGACAGACCGCCAGAGCATTGTTTGACTGAACGACTACTGCATAACCTAACACCCCCTAACGCTTTTCTACATTCCGGACGACAACACGGATAATCCGCAGCCACTCCGTCGCATCCCAGTCTCGGGCTGATCTCGCCGCTGTCTGTCGTTGCCTTGATGCAGCCGAGAGAGTGTTGCGGCCTCTGAGTGGCGAGTCCCGGCACTTTGCCAGAAACCTGCATTTCTGCCACCAAGAAAACCGCCGGCCTGCGCCTGCGCTTACCTAATCCCGCCTGCCACCGCCCAGCCTGAGCACGTGACGCTGTGGGCACGCTGCCCTGCGAGTTCCAGATCTCCAACTCTTCTTGGTCGAGGCGAACCTGGTAGAGGGCATGGATTCGTCCACCAACCATGCCATGAATGGCTCACATAATTCCAATAATCCAGCATACCCCTACCTCGACGGCATCCAAACGTACTCAAACGAAGAATTTAGTAGATTCTTCGATCCTGCTCTGTTTGAAGACACCACCATTGGACCAGGCTTCTCTCAACAGTCCCAACCACTCCCTCAAAACTTCAATCAAGATGTCTCCAGGCAGTCTCACAGCCCGCTGCCTCAATTCAATTCACCTCAGCCGGCCTATCAAACCCACAACCAATACTCTCAGCCTCAACTCTATGACACTCGCCCACTGCCCCAGCAACAGAACTATGATACTCGCTTCTACTCTGGGCCGTCACCGCCGGCTCTTGGCTACGAGGGTGGATATAGCTTCCAGCCTCAGATGAACTACAACACCCAGAACTTCAATCCCCAGCACCTCAATATGCCGCCGAGACAGACGCCTACACCGACTAATTACCCCCCTGCATCTGGACAACAGCAGCACACTTCCCCTTTCGTCAATATACAGCCGTCACCCATGGCTCAGATGCAGAATCCTGAGATGGTGCATTATGGCAATTACCAGAATCAGAACCGTCAATCATCGAGTTCTTTTGTTGATCCAAACCTGCTCTCGGCAGGGCAGATGTTGGGCACCACAAGTGAGTTTTACACATTGTCTGCTTAGGATGTTGCTAACCACTCCCAGACAACAACGTTAACTTTCAGCAGCAGCAGCAGCAGCAGCAGTCATATTCCGCTCAACCATCCTACTTCAAAGCTGGCTCTACAGTCGATCCAAGGTCATTGCAAGGTGCACACCCAGTTCAACCTTCACCTTCTCCTGCTACGCAGCAGCCTCAAAGTACGTTGCCGGCATCTTCTCACAGCGAGACGCTAACAAAACTAGTACCAGTGTTGATCCCCAAACTTGAACACGCTCAGCAGACGAGACCTTCGAAAGACCAAACACTTCCCAAGAAGACTAAGAAAAAAGGTTCCAACGAAGCTGCATCCGACTCAGAGGATGAGTTATCAATTCAATACGAGGAGCCTGAGCCTCCAGAGCCAACGCCACCATTCCTGAGCTTGGCTCCACCTACAGAAGAGGGCCAAAAATCACAGTATCTCGCTGTTCAGGCAGTGTTCTCACCCCGTAATAAGCCTGCTCCTCCCGAGAAAGTCCGGGGTGGTATTGCAAGCTTTGGTGATGCCGTTCGGTCGCTGCGAGATGCCTGGAAAGTCAAAAATGAAAGTTTGAGGAAGGCCGAGTTACCCGACTCCCCAACAGCCAAAGATGCCGATGCTCTTAAAAAGGAAGTCGCCCGCTATCGTTCGCTTGTTCAGGAGGTGATGACGAAGTCGATAAATTTGGGACACCCCTCCATCGTCAAAAGGTATGTTGTCCAGATAAATCCACTTGCCATCGGTGCGCATCCGCTTGCCCTTGCGTATCGTAACGTTGCCCCTCTGGAAAGCCGACGCGCAGCCCGAATTGTCCAAACCAGCATCCTGGCTGTCCAAGACACGGCACTACGTGTCTCGCAATGTGCGCTGGGATTATATAAATCTGCTGCATCAGCCCAGAGCGGCTCTGTCAATAGTTCTATCTGCATAAATAGTCCACAGATTGATTTTTCGGTGACGCTGCTCTCTGGCCGAGCAGTCTCTACTCGCTCATGCTTAACTTTGCTTAGCTTTTACTGATCATATTCCCTTTAGACTTGGCGAGAACCACTTCACAATGGCAGCGCTGTCATCGTTCATGCTTGATCGATTTACTGTCGGGGACTACGACAGCCCCCTGACGCTGGCAATTTTAAAGGTGCGAACAATGCAATGTAACTGCTTTCATGGCATACTAACTATCTCCATAGTTCGTTATCAAGTTTGAAACGCTCGACTTCGAAACGTTGGAAATGACGAAACTTTCGAAGTTGCTACAACGCTTGACGAAAAAAGCAACGACAGAGGTCAAGACATTGGCACAGTCCATTCTTGACAGTGCTACAGCTGTGTCTGCTAAGAAGAAGGCCACGAGCAAATCCGAAAACTCAGGATCACCCAATATTGGTGGTAGCCCCATGGAAGCGGTCGCGGGAACGAAGCGACCTCGCGAGGGCGAATCCGCGTCACAGCCTGTTCCCAAAAAGGCTGTCAAAGTACAATCGTCAAAGCCTCTGGCATTGCAGAATGCCGAACGTAGAAAGGCTTTGGAAGCTGCTAAAGCTGCCGATAGGCCCGTAGCTACTGCTTCAGTCCCAGCAAAGGCAAAAGTCGCCGTGACGGCGCCTCCCAAATCTGCTGTCTTTTCGTCTCTAATGTCCGCGTCGAAGAAGCCGGGAACTTCCATTGCTGCTCGTGCTGCTGCAGCCGCAAAGGATAAGGGTCCTGCAGCGACAAGTGCTCCAGCTCCACCGGTGGTAGCAGTAAAGAAAGAAGCTGCACGCAAAGAATCACCGCCGATTACGGGCGCTTCTGCGCCCAAGACCGCGCCAACACCTTCTGCACTGCTCGGTCTGCTTGCTGACATGGAAAAGAAACCCCAGAAAGAAGTCAAGAAGGAAACCGAGATGCCGAATGAGACAGAAGAAGAAAAGGCCAAACGTCTTCGCAAAGAGGCACGCAGAAAGCTACGTGTGACATGGAAGGCGGATTCGGATTTGGTACAGACTCGACTCTTCACTCATGACCCGGATGAGGAAATAGGTGACGGCGACAGCCTTAAACGTGACGCTGGCGACACGGGTCGCGAAGGTGAGGCTTTGAAACTTCATCAATCCATGGATGACCTGGACGATGAAGAGGACGAAAACGAACATTCACATGAAGATTTTGAACCCTATTCACCACCGAGCGAGGTGGATTTCACAGTGCTTGAAAACGAAACCGGCTCATCAGAAGCTAACTTCTTCAAATTTGGAGGTGCAAAGAAAGCCGAAGGCGTGAGTAGTGAGGCACAAAACAAACGTGAGCAAGAGACCGTCATGGCGACATTTGCATCGAAATCCGATCGACCTTCGACGCCAAAAGAGCCAGATGAGAACGAGGAGGGTGACTTTGAACCGGCAGAGCCCGCCATTGACTTTGGCGAGCCCAACGGGAAAACTCGCCAACGCGAAAAGGATTTTCAAGCACGTCAAGTGCGAAGCCAGCCTGGTTTCCCAAGCCAGCCTCAGGTTTCTTCGGCACAGGCAGCGTCACAGCTGACCCCGGCCATTTCTTCGGCCCTTCAGCAAGCCTTGGCCCAGTTTCAACCAGCTCAACCAGCTCAAGCCGTGGTGACACCACAGCTGGATATAGGGGCATTGTTCCAGTCGGTCCAGCAGATCAGCCAGCAAGTCCAGGGTCAGAGTTCAGCACCCCAGTACTCAATGCCCTCTGTCAGCCCAGATCTAAGCGCCATCCTGGCCAATTTACAGCAACAACAACAGCAGTCTTCTCAAGCTCAACATTCGGCCCTGCCTGTTGGCATGGGTGCTAATCCTAATCCTTATCCGGGCACGGCGGATGATTCGTCACGAAAGCATGCTCGGACCGACTCCAATGACTATGACGAACTTTCCAGGAAAGGAGGAGCCAAGAAGAAGAAACCTTACAACTACAAAACCCAGATATGTTCATTCTGGGAGCAAGGCCGATGTACTAAGGGTGAAGCTTGCACATACCGACATGGTGACGAAGACTTTTCTTGACGACGATTCATGACGAAACCGATACTCGTCCCAAGGGTATTTTTGATTGATTGTACAATAGTTTTCGTTGATCCATACCTCCCAGCGGCACCGTTTCGAAGTTAAAGCAGTCAGTTCGGGATTGCACAGCGATGTTTTCCTTTTGGCTTTCTCTGTTGCGCTATTTTAGAGACCAGAATATGGCGTGGCTTCACTACTAAGAGTGGAGGGAGAAACAGTTTCAGCATGAACCACGAAATAATGGTTTGTCAGACCACATGGGTAGATGAGGGAAGGGCTCTTGAGCTGGGATTTTCTGTGACTTGATATTGCAGACGGAGCGGGCTCCAGAGCGGGCTCCAGGCAGTGGATATGCACAATGATCCTGTCTGTTCCTTACAGGGAGTAGATTACCTACTTGCTGAGCGGTCAAGGTGCTCACTTACTTCTCGAGTGTATGCTAATAAGAATATAATTATTCACCTCTCGATTTGTCCTGCTTGAGATTCGTGTCCTGCCGGCCCAGAAACAGGATAGCTGTTTAGCTAAAGACGGCAAGCATCTGGGAACTATATGAAGATATGAATATTTGGATACATGTCTAGGTAGTGAGAGTAAGGAAGGGCTCGAGGAGAAATGCCAGCCTTGTTGGCCAAGGCGATAGAAAACATGTGGAAATTAAAATCTCAGACCAGACCCGTTTTGGGAAGCATACTTTACGATGCCCTCCAAATAGACAGATATGTGATTCCGCCGTGTATGCTTTGCTGTGCTGCACTGTGCCGTGTGTGGGCGTGCCTGTACAGACGCTGCGAAGATGACTTCTCCTGCTGATGCTACTGGTGCATCATCACTTCCAACGCATCTCATCATAGTGTGTTGCCATGCGATATATCTCGGCTCGTCTGGCGGTCTCCCCGGGTCTGGGGCTGGGTCTGAATCCGACGTGGTGACGAGAGCCAGAGCAAGCCGCGATGAAAAGAACTGGTTAATCGAACCGTTCCAACAGGGTGAGACGGACACGTACATTGCGCATGTCGAAGCTGGGGTACGGGCACTGGCTCAAGATCCCAATGCGTTGTTGGTGTTCAGCGGAGGTGCTACGAAGAGAGATCGAACTGACAAGACCGAAGGTGATGGATATTTTGTGCGTGTTTTTCTCCATTTGCACTATCTCCCCTCTATCTCTATCTCTATCCCTATACAATTGTGGACTCGAGTCAATTGAATTATAGGGTATGTGGTTATGGATTGTGACGGGCTAATATGTGACCTTTTTAGGACGTCGCTGTCGAGCATGATTTTTTCAATGTCGACACAACCGCCACGACCACTGGGATCGATACTGCCACTGCGGACGCCACACAATCTTCTCTCCGTCTTCGCGACCGCATCTTTGTCGACCGCTACGCCACAGACTCGTACCAGAACATTCTGTCGAGTTTGGTCCAATGGCCTATATTCGTCGAGGGATTCAAATCCAAAACCTCCTCCTCGTCGTCGTCGACCGAGAAGAGCAAGAGCGCATTGCCCGGAGGCGGTGGTGAGACAAGGCCGAACGATATCGGTGCCGTCTCCTGGCCGAGCAAACTCACCATAGTTTCTCACGACTTCAAACGCTCTCGCTTTCTCGACCTCCATCTCCCCGCCATCCAGTGGCCGTCCTCCTCGGTCGAGTACGTCGGCATCGACCCGCCGTTCGACGAGGTGCGGATGCTCGAGATCCAAGAGGGCGACCGGGTCCGGGGCTACGGCGCCTGGAGGGACGACTTGTACGCTTCCGGACACCTCTTGAGCTCGAAGAGGGTCAAGAGGGGATGGGACCCGGATGTGTTCAGGAGGGATGTACTGGATAGATTTTCACATGGCACAACTTCTCCTCCTCCTCCTCCTTCTTCTTCCGACAACAACGACGACGGCGACACGAGAAGCGCATTGGAAAAGGTGGTGTTTTGGAATCAGACGACGACGGGAAGGGTCTTGACAGGGGAAGATGTGCCGTGGTCTTAGGTCCACCTCTACTATTTGCCTACAGCACCTAGCTACCTGGGCAGCCAGGACCGACCTACCTGAGATACCTCAACTCAGGTATGTACTTGCTTACCTACTTGTACCGAGTAATTCTAAAGAAGTCCTACTGTCACGAGTTTTTCGTTCTTACACCGTTGGTTGCTCTCGAAACAACCTGGATACCTACCCAAGGTACCTACCCGAGGTGTTCTCCGGTATAAAACACTAAACTCGAGGTGCCCAACCCGCAAGTACATTGATATTTTCACTGGGTTCACGGATGACAGAAGAACATGGAGGTAACCTACTATGGATATTGTATCACCGTCAGGTACTCCGTAGATACCTAGGTAGGTAGTCATTTCTCGACAGCTGAGCCTTCTAGGTATGCTTCTAGAGTAGACCAGCCTGACCTGCTTCAGGTCTCAATCTTGTTCGATTGACAAAAGATACAAAAGATACCCACACACACAATATATATCCTGTCGTCTCTATGATCCAAAACACACACACACACACACACACACACACACACACACACACACATACATACATACACACACCCCAGTCACCTCGGTCCCAGCCTCAAGCCCCCAATTCTTGTACCGTACAAAATGGTTCCATGCTTTAAACAAAAATCAAACCCCCCCCCCCCCCCAATGTTCTCCTGTAGCCTGTTTACTGCTGTTACTTGTTCTTATTGCCACCATCCCCAGTTCCGTCATCCTTTTTTGGAATACAATGTGTCATGAAAAGCACATGTAAATGCAATGCGAAATTTGTCCAGTACAAGAAGAATTGATGAGCGCAAAAAAACAAACAAACAAACAAACAAACCAAAAAGGTCAACAAAACACTTCGTTGATCATCATGAGCATCATTTACTCCTCTCGGTAGACCGCCCACCCATCATCAGTTCCAAACCAAGCTCTGGCCAACGCTGCACCGCTCTCCGTAGGTTGACTGAATGCCACTTGGTGAGGTTCAATCTCCATGCCGTAAATGAACTGACTCATGACACATTCGAGGAGATTGTTCGCGATGCCCTTGTGCCGGAACGCTCGGCTCGTCCAGATGCGGCTGACGCCCACGACGGCCGGATGCGATTTCTCCGAGATGCTGATGCTCGACGAAGGCCCTGATGCCGTCGGGCTGGCGATGGGGGTCGGAACCTGAGGCTTTGTGAAAGGCTGATCTGCTTCTTCGCCGTTGAACTCGGTGGCGGCCGGAGTCGCCGGACCTACTGTAGGTCGGAAGTGGTGGTGGTCGTTGAGAGCCATGGTTTCGCTGGTGGCCGTCTCGTTTGGGAGAACCCGGTGAGCTTGGGTAATTCGCTCGGCGAGGCAAATGCCCACGCACTTGTCCTCGATGACGTGCAAGAAGGCCTTGTAGCGATCACATTTCCTGGTGTGGTCATCGTTCCTCTCGCCTTCAAGGGCACGCTGACTCCACAGATCCTCCTCTTTGATGTCCACGCTGCCGAGCTCCTTGTTGACAATCGAGAGCACTTTCTGCACCGTCCGGCGCGCAGGCAAGGCCAGTTTTCGGTCTACAACCACGACACTCCCGGGGATGTGGGCCACTTGGTAGCACCACCGCATGGCGGACTTGAGGAAGGGCTTTCCCAGTTCAATACCAGAGCTGTCGCGATGGTGAAACATGTGGTGGAGTTGGTTGTCCTCCGACGACGTGGGCACGTAGGACATTTGGCATTGTGGGCATGTCGTCGGGCCGGTTGGTTGGCCCAGGTCCAGCACGGTTTGAACCAAGTCTTGCTGTTTTGGTAGCGACGGCCTGGCCACCGGACGCGTAATTGATGACTCCTGGTCGCCTTCATGCCTCTCCGACGCGTCTCTGTTCGATGGCTGAGAGCTTTGTGCGCGTGCGCTCGAGTTGAAGATTTCGGACAGAGGCTCCGAGTCTTGACGCGTAGGTTCCGCCACAGTCAGGACTGGTGCTAATGATTGTGCCTCGCGTTTCCGCTTTGCCATCTTAAGGGCCTTCTTTTCCTTTCTGGCCTTGTCAATTGCCGTAAAGTTGGGCTTGTGTACTTTGATCCGCGGCGGAGTGAGTTGCAGGACGGGCGGAGGAGAGGATGGCGGGGTGATAGTGCTGGAACCCAGCTCGTCTTCCTGTGACTCTGCCGAAAAGACAGTGCTGTTCTTCCGCGACGGCGACGAGGAGAGTGCTGCAACACTGGTCTCGCGTATGGCGCGTTCGAGGCTGTCCTCGAGGTCGATGGGCTTTAGGGTCGCGTTCTCGTTGTATCCGCCGGAAGTGAACGACGGCGCGTTCCACGCATCCTCGAGGCGTGGCCTCTTTGGCGGACGGTAGTCCTCCCCATCCCAGGCGCGCCGTACGTTGCGGCTGTATGTTCGCATGAAGAGGCCCCTGAGGTGCGTTAGAAGATTAGCGATGTGTTGAGGATGACAGGGGTGTGATGCAATTGCAAGCAACGATACAAGGAGGACGAGACGGCAGAGACATACCCTTTGTAACTGTTGGTGACGGTGTAGGGATACACGACAGGTGACATGATCGCGTGTAAGTGAATGCCCAAGTCAATGGGTAGTTTGGCCCAGTGAAGGAATGTAGGTGAAATATAAGGTACTCGGTAGGAGACTAAGAATAATGGGATGTGCCGGTGTTTGGAAGAGAGTGGGAACCGCAAACGCGTCCTGGGATGTTTTAGGGCGGGAGAGGAACCAGGAGGGGGGGATGTTTGGTAGGCTTCTGGGCGCCGGGGGCCGGGAGACGATGCGAGCCGGGGGGGAGAGACGATAATTAATGGACGGTTGAGCCACGCAAAACAGCTGCAGCTTTTAGCTTCGGCCTCACTGGCCCTGGGGAGCCTTTTCACCCAACTGTCAATCGCAGTAGTAATAGTAATGCCGGCATCGACTCCAGCCACCACAACAGCACAGCACAGCTCAGCACGGAGCAGACTGTAAGGCAGCCAGGAAGGATCGCTCGCTGACTGGCCCCCCTGCGTTGACTTGAGGATCCCGGCTTTGGTGACTTGTTGACTTGCGGGCTTGCGGGCTTGCTCTTCCGCTTGCCCTACCCTTGATACTGCCCCAGCGGCTCGTGTTCGTCTGGAGAAGAAGCTTGTGCTGACAGATATTGTAGGTGGGTAGGTGTCTGCTGGGGATTTTGTGACACTCTGGTCGATATCGCAAGGACCGGTACGCTGGCTGATAAATAAATCGTAGCTGTGGGCTACCTCAGAATGACCATGAGATGATGACGATATATTCCGTGATCAAGCATCGGCCAGATCAGCAATGAAAGGGTCGAACAGAAGATCGCGGTGGATTTGATTTCTCAATCTTGATTTGGGCTCCGTAGTCGTGGATTATCAATCTGATCAATCTGATCCAGTTTGTCGAATTTGGTTGAACAGTCAGGGGGAGGACTGTGCTTATGCTGTAGGGTTATGTGAGACGAGATTGAAGAAAAAAGCACCGTGCCAGTCGGTATATATTCGTGTATATTGATGCCGCCAAAGAAACAAGGAAACCAAGAGTGCAAAGACTCCGTTCAAGAGATGATATGAGATGGGGTGACGAAGGCGAAATAGCTCACGATACGGCCATCTTGAGACATCTTTCGTTCTATTTCTATTGTGTGAAGTTCTCGCCTTGTTTAGGCACTTTCGCTGTTCTCGGATCATCTTCGCCTGGGCCCTTGGTGGGTGCTGCTACTCGGAACCAACGACTCTTCCACCTCTATCGTACTCCACAATCCTTCTCGCCTCTTGTGCCTCTCAGACAGCTGTTGCCTCGTGTTGGCCTTTTCTTCACTGCCTCTCGTCTGGCCCAAAGTCAGGGGCCTTTTCTCTATCGTTGAATGGCCCAGCGATGCCGCCTAAAAGTGCCTCGCCCCAGCTCCCTGCGAGGATCCATCGCAGCTCTCACGAATCACGAGACGCCAAACCCGTGCTGTCATGGGCTTCCCGGCCCTAAGAAAGGCAGACGAGGGCACCAAGAGGTCTTTGCCACCACCGGGGCACCCGTTGAGCTTGATCCCGCTATCTCTTTGGTTGCGCTCACAAGCTTCACTCAGCGACTGGGGATCGAGATCAGTGTCGCCAGCAACATCCATATCCCTGCAGCCGTGAGCTCCCAACTAATCCTGCCCAACGGGGGGCGTGCCCACCAATTACGTCTGAGACCACACATGCCCCCAGTGATAGGAAATGCTCGCTTTTATGCAGCACGACTGAGAACTTGGAACAGCCTGGCAACGGGGCGAGACGGGACTGGTAGTTGACTTTCAGGAGTCGGCCAGAGGGATCACAGCAAGTACAGCATGTCCAAAGTGCTGTGCAGGCAGACTTCCCCGGGCTGTTGAAGGGACTATCCGTACGCGTACGATCGACGAGGAGAAATTACCTAGGATTGCCAACGTACCCTTTCGTCTCTGCCTGCTGCGGCTCTGCTCGATGGCCAGTAACAGCATGACCTCTGCACTCTCCGAAGTGTAATCTGCCTTGAGACGCCGATCGCCCAGGCAGGCTCCCTCTGCGTCCCAGAAGAAAGCGGCAAGGCGGGCGCGTCCAAGGACAAATCATGCGAATTCGGTATCTCATGTGCTGTGTCGATTGTGTTTCTCGAGAAGAAACCGTCCAATGGCACTACCCTTATTGCATGGGAGCCGGTGATTCTGGTGACACGTCACTGAATCCAGAGCCAACCATCGAGAATACAATGCAGAGACAGCGGCTACTTGCGTTCGTGATGCCAATTCCGGGGACACCACGACGATACTCGGTGTGGAGGATCTTTGACGATACAAATAATATGGTCGCACGAGTATCATTGTTGACAGCTCGTAGTAGACTAGCCGCTCAGGATCCGGGCGATACCTCGAGTCAATCAGCTAGCGGTGAAGCCACCGCTTCAATTGGTATCTATACTTTCTCAACCTTTTTGGTTTTCCTCTAGTACACCGACGCTCTGCTGCCCGCCAGTCACCTGCCATCTACTTGTTAATAGTGCGCACTGACGGGGCAACACGACGGTCACAGTACAGAAAGCACGTGCGAGAGGGAGATCCTGGTCTTATCAAGCCTTCAGCATACACCATCAATGTGACCTTTGGCAGCAGAGGCGCTCGAGAGATGATCCTCATCCAGTAGGTGGCCACGAAAATTCTTCACCCGCCGACAGCTGGTTCACCGGTTCCCGAAAAAAGAAAAGAGTCAGCACTGTTCCGGAGCCATCGGTTCAGTACGTAAACACAAATCTCGGGTTCTCGTCGCCCATCTCAGCAACTTCTTCCTCCAATTTTCCTGCCATGACGGAATCTTCTTTTCCAGCTTGCCTAGCCTTGGCCCGCCTGAAGAAGTAGACCGACATGAACGTGTAAATGAGGGCCCCCACCCCAACCATCGACAATGAGACGGCGTGACCACGGATGAACTGGGGAGCTTCATTGGGCTTGTACAAGTAAGCACTCATGATCCCTGCCGAATTGCCCAAGGTCAGCTGTAAGCCCGAGGCAGTGGTCCGTTTGCCGTATCGAGGATTGTCTACACAGATTATATCAGTCGGGTTCACGAACAATGCATGTCTGGCCAACCACAACTTACTGGAGGGCAGCCATGCCAAAGGAATGCCGACAGAAACATACAACCCCAACGCTACCATGAAGCATCCAAAGTACCGAACTCCCGAGCTGACGTCGGTCATCAGGATCACATACCCAACGACGCAAATGAGACAGAAGGGCACCACTGCAAGACCACGTTGCTGATAACGGTCTGAGAAATAGGCTACAACAAGGTAAGTGATGGCGCCTAGTGCGTAACATGGCACAGTCAATGCCTGCACCTCGGCCGTGCTCCAGGACCCTATACCCCGAATGATAGAAGGCAGGAAGGTCGAATAACCGTAAAGCACAGTGTCAACTCCAAACTGCCCGGCAGCGAACATCCAGACCTTCCAGTCCTTGAACGCCTTATATACGTCCTCCTTGTGCAGGAGGTCGCCGGACGCTGTGTGGCCGACATGACGTCGTTTCTGAATCACCATCAGCTGTCGCTCCTCGGTTGAGAGGTAATATGCTGTTTCGGGCTCATCGGCCAGCCAAAAGTAGACCGCAATACCCAACACAAATGTTGGAAGTCCCTCGATGATGAAGATCCATCGCCATCCGCTGTACCCTTGGACTCCATCCATAAACCCAATTCCATACGCCAACAAGCCCCCCACGCTTCCTGCAATGGCAGCAGACACAAAGAGATAGCCGACTCTCAGAGCAAGCTGCCGCTTTGTGTAGAATACGGTTAGATATATGGTCATACCTGAAAAACATCAGCCAACTTCGCACAAAATCTGACAGCGATGGCTGTCTTACCAGGGAAAAGACCTGCTTCGAGTGCTCCTAGGATCAATCGACAAGCAATCAAGCCCCCATAGCTCTGGACGACGCCCGTGAGTGTCGCGACAATAGCCCAGGCTACTGTGATGAAACTAATGTAGCGAGAAGGCCGCAGCCGACGGATGATCAGATTACTCGGCACCTCGCAGAGCACGTAGGTGACGAATAGCAGGCTGACAGCTGTTGAGTACTGGGTACTGCTCATGCCTAGATCCTCTTCCAAGCCGTACAGCCTGGCATTACCAATGTTGACTCGATCCAGGAACGAGAACAAATAGAGCAGCATCGTCGGCGGGATGATGTAAAGATCCAATTTGCGAGTCAATCGAGCTTCAGCAGCATGGTCAATTTCAGGTATTGGTTCGATATCCACGGGTATCATTTCAGGATCGTTCTCTCGTCTCACAGTGGCCTTCTCATCCACAGACATGTCGCCCCGTCCGGTGGGAGTTGAATCGTTGCTGGCCGCCATCGTGCCACGGCGGGTCTCCTATTGATGGAGATATGGAAACTAATAGGCGTTTTGAGGAATGGGAGACTTTCAGTGGTTTGTGATAGACCACACGGAATGTCCGCGTCATTAGCAAGCGTCAATGATTGATGCGCTGCGTTTCATCTAGAAGCAGGACATCGGCTTTCCAGACGACTACACAAGGAGAAGTCTTTGCTCAAGAATGAAGAAACGGTCTTGGACGAAAACAGTATGCATAGCTTATCTCTGGGCTTCATCTCGGCTGTTACATTTTGTCAGCGCCAGGGAACACTTGCGTTGTAGTGTCTTGTCAGTATGACGAGGGCCTAGAAAACATAGCGTTCAAAGCCTGTATGTTTTTGGTGGACTGAAGGGGATCGACACCGGCTCGTTTGGCCGTCGTGGAGACTTCCAATCCGCTTTGACTTGGACTCTTGGAGTCAGGTCGGTTATCGTCTTCACCCGAATGTGTTGTATGAGCGTCAGTTATCAGTAAGGGTATGATCACTTGGCTTTCTAGGCTCGAGCCAAGAAGAAGGTTATTGCCTGTATCATGAGATAGCGGCGGGACAGTACTCGTATGCGGAGTATCTAATCCTGGTGGCGCGAAGAGGGACTGCGTTTCGGACACCATGATCACTGTGCTGCGGGCTGAAAAATGAGACACGGTCCGGTGAGGACGGTGGGAGACTTTGCCAGCCAGGAAACTCTGTACCGGTACAGTACAGCACCATTAACCTAGAAACAAGGAATATTTATAGCATGGTCGAGACCACCATAGCAACCTTAGTGTACTCCGTAATAGGTAGGTATACAGTACTCGACCTTGTATGGTGTATTTAGGGCTCGTACTCGTCTCGTGGTCGATGGCCTGTGCTGATTTAGGCGTGCGGAGTGGGCTCGTGGACCTGTCGTCCCGATACGACTTTCCGGGGGGGCGCAGGTGCAGACTATGCCTATTACAGCCCCGATACAACAGATTTATTTGAGGCTGCCTTGACGGCCTCTGTTCCTCCAGCGTTGGTGCTGCGCTTCACAATACCCATCCACAGCGCCACCTGGGCCGAGACAAAACATGTATCTGGCCAGGCACCACACATTATGCTTCAGCCAAGTCCTTTCTTGTAACGCCATACAACAACTCGCCTCTCCAACCATCTGAATCTCACTCCTCGATAAGAGCGAGAAAAGCGACAACTGTTGTGAACTCCTAGCCTCCTGTCCTCCTCGAGATTACCACATGACCTCGCCTGTACACGCACGGTCGTTGTCATCCCTCGGTGCCCTTCTCTCAAATCCCCCCCAATATCCTCGGAATCCAACTCATCAGGCCCATGACCCTCTGGTACTCTATATAGTTCGAGTCCCAGGCAGTAAAGGTGAGAAGAATTGTCAAGAGAAGGCCATGTGTTAAGCAAAGCCTAGATGTCTTTCTTACCCCGCTCAAACCGCCTACGAAAGCCTCCATTAGCATAGAAGCCGTTCAGTCGAGTCTATACTTTCTCCACGTTGAGCGGCCGGAAGATGAAGACCTGAGACAGTCGCTGGAAGCCACGAAAGTGGCCAGCACTGGTCCTGCAAATGTCTCTCCCATCGCAAGGAAACCTCTTCCAGAGACGCCTTATGCAAATTACCCTCCCTCAAGACGGCCTCTCACTCCTCCAAAGAGCTACCCACATTATCAGCCACCCTCGCCTGGATCTCAAGATGGAAGTCAAGCTGATCGGTATGTCGCTCGGGGCTCCAATCTTAGATTATCAGGTATGGAGACTACACAAAATGGAGGCATGCTGCGCAAGCCAGTAGGTGCTCGGCCCATGCCTGCGCTGCCAGCTCTCGACACATCGTTTCGACCACGCGAGCAAGAGAATTTAGGTCGTCAGGAGTCTGTCAGAAGTGTCACTAGGAAGCCGGTACAGTCTGCCTCCTCTGATCATTCAGATTGGCTCACTTCATTACCACCTAACGCGAATGGGTTCGGACCCTCAAGGTCTCCTACCAAATCCCCCGTGAACGAGTCCAAGAGTCCAGCTGACGACCAGACGAGGATAATTCTGATTCGGAGAGATCCTGCCTCTGGTAGTCAATGGAATGTTGGCTCTCTTTTTCAGAGGAACACAATATTACGGGATAATCGTCTCGGAAGGTTCGACATCGAGCTCAATTCCCCAGGTTACACCAAATTTGCGAAGCTGGAAAGTCCAACAGGGCATTGTTTCAATAGAAAGGTGGACTATGTGCTCCTTCCCAATAATGAAAGCGGCGTTAAGGCGAGGCATCGGAGCAATTCGTCGGAATTCTTTGCCAATTCCGCCTACGCCAACAGCAAGAAGCCGCGCCATGCCTACTCATTTAACTCGCCGTGGCAGGGAACCTGTTCGTTCACCAATGGATTGGATGGCAAAAGCCTTCGATGCCGACATGTTTTACCGACGATGAATTCGTCGATGATTCCAGCGCCCGTCGATGTTGCAGAGTTACGCCTCAATCTAGCATGGTCCATCTTGGGAGCAAAGGATACGAACAAACAGACAGTTGATGTGACACAGTTGCCCGTACACACATCAGTCGGTAGACCACCAGTGCCGAAGAACAAGGAACAGTGGAGGCGAAGTATCCAAGTACTCACACACAAAGCCAAAACACAATTGTCGCACAGTGACAGAAGTGGCGAGTTCCCGACTCTGGCTCAAACGAAGAGAGATTCCATTCTCGAGGAAAGATCATCTGACAATGGACGGATGAATCTTGACCTGGGTCGCGAAAAGGCTGGTGGTGGATTCAAAGGACACAGCGCGAAGCTGGGAAAACTCATCATCCAAGACGAAGGTTTGAAGATGTGTGATTTGGTGGTAGCAGCATGCATGGGTGTTTGGTGGCAGCACTATACCAATGAATCTGCAAGCTGAGCTCGTAGCGGGTACTGGCGATTGTTTCATGATACTCTCCAGCTTTGATCTCCGAGGGTTTCCATTCATAGTTTCCATTCATCTCAGGCGCACAGTTGTCTCGAAGCACACAGTCGACAGTGCAGCCATGATGTCATATTCCATTCTCCGTCCAAGATTCGTCGATTGGCAGTGCTGGTGCTGCTATCAGTACGAGTTCAATGCAATACGAGTACTGTAGGGGTTCTCGCCAGGCCAGATCTGTAATGTAGTCTCCCATGTGAGTTCAGTAGGTGACGTGTAGAGCTAGTGGTTCTAACTAGTTCACTGACTTACCAAGCTACCTAGACGGGTACGGTAAGGTTTGTACCTACGTGTAGTTAGTTGCCTCATAGTGGCGTACATGTATGTACTGTATGCTATCGTACGGAGTACATCAGGGAGGTATTGAATATACCCGGCAACTCGTTAGTGTGTAGAACACTGGGTGTGAAGATTCACTGGAATTTATAGCTCGCACCCTGCTAAAGTGGACAGTCAATTCACAACTCTATCAATCATGCAGTCTTTAACATACTCATCGGCGAATGTGCCAATGGCATTGTTTGGTAAGAAGAGGTCCCAGTCATTGTGCTCCCCAATGAACGGTATTTGGACGGCTTTTACATATTCCCAATAGTCTGGGTAACCGCCTCCGGTTTCCCAATCGACGACGCCAGTAATTGCGACGTCGGAACTATTGTCGACTATGATATTTCTTGCGTGCAGATCGCCGTGTGTCATCACGATCCGATGGTCTTCGCGGAGACATAACCTTACCAGGTCCACAAGCCGAGGGCCAGTATGAGCTTCACTCAAAAGGAAGTCGTTAAACTGCGCCTCGGTTTTGATAGAAATAGAGCTCTTCCGGGTCCAGCGTCGTTTATCCAGACAGAGAGGCGGATCACCTCCTCCGAGAAAGCCGTCTTTTGATGGTAATGGTAGATTCCTAAGCTCGGTAAAGATAGTATTCAGTTGTTGTTTGATACTTAATTTCTTCTGAAGTGTAAGGTCTACCCAGATACGGTCGAGACAGACACCCTTCACGAAGCTGCTGAAGATATAAGTTTGTTGCGCTATCTGTAGTATACCGAGAGGCTTGGGGACTGGAATTGTACGTGAAAATGGGTGGATATGCTGAAGGTTTGATAGCTCGATTATCCCGTCTCCTCGACAGATCTTAACAACTATGTCTGGTGTTATTCGTACAACTGCCTTTTGAAATTCCTGGGAAATCCATTCTCCATTCCGTATAAGGTCCAGAAGGATCGGTCGTGAGACGAGGGTCTGTTCAGGGTCGTGGGAGCTGTTTGCACTTGGGGGGAGCAATTGAAGTAGTTTCGAGAGCTGGGGTTCCAAAGGCCAAACAACAGTGATGTCTCCTCGGAGAGGAAAGAGATGCTCAGGACGATTTTCTGCCTAAAGGCCAAACAACAGTGATGTCTCCTCGGAGAGGAAAGAGATGCTCAGGACGATTTTCTGCAGGCGACACTGGCTCTAAAGAAAGGTACTCTAGATGGATCGTACTACAAATTAAAAGAAGCGCACTTACCGTCGTCTTGGGATTGCGGTTCCCCTGTATACTCTTTACGTTTGGCTTTGTAATGTCGAGTAACTTGTCGTAGATCAGGCCAGAGGTCGACTGTCGGATCATCTTCTATGACTTCTCCAGGTGTCTGAGAATAGACCTATTCAGCTCAGATAACGCTTGTGTCTTTCTTGCTGCGTCGACAGCTAGGTCGGCCGTCGCTGTGTCGTCGGGGACGTTGGTTTTGATCACATCCGCGAGTCTCCGTTCGCGCACTTGCTGGTGCTCGACATTGTTGTTCTCAAATTCTGCAGCCATTTGCAAAAGGTGAAATCCGACCCAATGGCTAGGAGAGGGTATGAGAGAGAATTTCCCGCCCCAGTATATACTCTCGAACCTTGGGCGCCTTCGACCGTGCTGTGAAGAATCTACTGTTGTTCTTGGGTAATACCTGTTCCGTCTTCAGCATGAGGCTCCCGTCGCCCGATAAATCAAGGACAGTAGGTCGGTTGGGTCTGAAGGCGGGATCTTGAGTTAGAGTTGATGCACTGGAGTCTGGGGACTCACCCGGGCTTGCGCGTGCCGGGGCTGAGTTCAGGGCGGCATCACGCTGGTCCCGAAACGGGGTCAGCCGCGAGCACTTGTCCTATAGACCTTGGCAGATTGTTGCGCCTCGACAACACTCCACTCACATCTTGGACAGTGGGAGTCTCTCCTGCTTAGAAGATTACTACTCAGCAAGACACGATCCTGACTTCCCTTCTCCGTTACAACGGATTCGCAGCAAGTTCACGTCGGTACTCACTGTCCTCTAATATCCTTCGACGACTGGCCCAGGCGCTCCTCTTCCCACCTCCGTAGCCTCAACTAGCCTCGATCCGCTATCCTCGCGACTCTCCTTTCTTGGCTGCGGCCTGTAACTCCCGCTCCACGAGAAGCAGCAGCCGCATATATATGATGACGGAACAGGTTCGACCCTGTTAAAGAGCCTGCACGCCGACCGAGGCAGTGGCTGAGCGAAGGCTTCTCTTGGCCTTCCTTTCAGTCAACAGTATGGCGGAAACTGTTGATGTGAGCCACAAGCCCAAAGCTGTCGAGTCCGAAGGCCTCAGCAAGTCGAACAAGAGCACACATTTCGAGACGACTATACCCAACGGCACAGTCAATGGAAGCCCGGGCCCAGCTGTGGAGACGGTCGAGCCTCAGAGCGCAGTATCGTCAAACAGAAACAACAGGTTCGCAAACGCAACTCCAAGAGACGGATCCCCAGACAAGTTGGCTGCGTTCTCTCCGTCTTCAAAAGAGACTGTTGCACTCAATAAGTCCCTCGGCTCTGGTCTGCAACTCTCTCCTACCGAGACTGATGAGCAAGCGCCAGCTGTGAGGGACCCGGTTGAATCAGATGGTGCTCTCAATGATGCTACGACTTTTACAGCGGGAAGAAAGAGCGTCCAGTTTTCAAGAGAGACACAGGAGATAGACAATCAAACCACGCCTCCAGGAATCAGTGGCGAGCACTCGGAGCAGGATAAACCTCAGTCTTTGTACGCCAGGTTAAGAGCGTTGGCAATTCCTCAGGGTTTCAGCCACTCAAGATCCGCAAGTGTTTTATCAGTTGGCGGTCGCTCGGCTGATGGGAGGGAGGCTGAAGGGGCCCTCTCTGGACACAGTTCACGGAACGAGACTGGCCTAGCAGCGACGTTGGAGGAGGACAGTGGTGCGGAAGCTGATGCTGACAATGATGCCGAGGAGAGTGCTCCTGAATTTGGTGCTCAGCGAACCATAGTTCGGAAACGACGTCGGCGGATGCGACGTCTGGGTGATGTCGAAACGGCCCCCTCATCACCTTATAGTCCCATGACAGCTGATCCTACGAGTGGCCCGCCCAATTCTGACTCTGATCGATATCCACACAAGTTGTCTAGAAGAGCCACCGATACTGATATATCGCCGAACCAGCTGGGGATGTCCGAAGATGAAGGGCGCAAACATTTGGCCGTTGGTGGGGGGTGGACGCCTCGTCATCCGCTGCGTGGACTTAGTTACGGCGGACAGAGAAGACCTGGGGACTCCTCACCTGAGGCAAGCCGAAGACCATTGACACTCCTCGGCTTCGCCTCCAACACGAGCCCGCCTAAGGACGCAAACGAGAGCGAAGGTCAAACGCCCAAAACACTTTCTCGTCGAAAGATGATGACCGAACGAGGCACGACCTTGAGTGCCCAGAAGTGGCGCCAACTCAAGAATAGTCTTCGCTTGCTCGGCCAAAGCAAGAAAAAGGAACGAACCCCCGATCATGAGAAATCCGCCGAACTTTTAGCTGAGCTCACCGCTGGTGCACCAGCCGCGTTGATACTTGCAAGCATGTTCCAACGAGATGAACACAATCACCGCAGAATACCAGTGCTGTTAGAGCAGCTCAAGGTGCAAATCACCGACAGTGAAGACGCTAGCAACAAGAAGACTGGTGATGATAAGCACATCATATTCAGGATCGAACTAGAGTATGGCAATGGCATGAACAGAATGAAATGGGTTGTTAGGCGCTCTCTCTTCGATTTTGTGAAGCTGCACTCAAGGTATAAAGTGTCAAACCTTGGTGGCAGGGGTGGACAAAAATCAAAATTGCCGCCCTTCCCACGCAGTACTTTTCCTATACTGAAAGGTCTACGATGGGCTCAGGAATACTTGAAGGTTTTCGACGACGAGGTGGAAGAGGATGACGAGCCCGTGAACGACAACGAAGCTGGCACAGAGACAGACAACGAAAGAGCAGCTACAAGACCACAGTTTCGGCCCCGCTTGACTCTGAATCGACGCAAGTCAAGCCTAGCGGGCCAAGGAGATGCTGCAGGCAATGCCGAACGAGACATACGATATGCCAACAAGCAGCGGAAAAAGCTCGAGCAATATTTGCAGAACATGATCAAATTCATGCTTCTCCGGCCGGACTGTAACCGGCTGTGTAAGTTTCTGGAAATATCTGCACTAGGCATGAGGCTCGCGGCCGAGGGGAGCTACCATGGCAAAGAGGGCTTGCTTAACATTCGTTCTGCCAAGGGGGTGGACTTTAGGAAGGCTCTTACTCCCCATGAAGTCTATCGGAGACACAGCGCGAAATGGTTCATGGTGCGACACAGCTACGTAGTATGCGTTGATTCTCCGGAAGAAATGCACATCTACGACGTGTTTTTGTTCGACTCTGACTTCCGAATACAGTCTTCAAAGCCGAGAAAAGGAGAGCAGAGGGGCGCGAGGGAACTTGCTGAATTGATCGGAGAGTCTGCAAAACATCCACAGCATCATCGCTTAAAGCTGGTAAATTCCGAGAGGAAGCTAAAGTTGCTGGCGAGAAATGAACGGTTACTGCACCAATTTGAAGAATCCATTCGGAAGATGATCACGACGTCGCCCTGGGTCAAAGAAAACCGATTTGAAAGCTTTGCACCAGTAAGACCAAACTGCTTTGCTCAATGGCTAGTGGATGGGCGAGATCACATGTGGGTTCTGTCGAGAGCTATCAATCAAGCTAAGGATGTCATCTACATCCACGACTGGTGGTTGAGTCCAGAGCTTTACTTGCGAAGGCCACCAGCTATCAGCCAGAAATGGCGCCTCGATCGGCTCTTGAAGAGAAAGGCCGAGGAAGGTGTGAAAATCTTCGTCATCGTCTATCGAAATATTGAATCCGCCATCCCAATCGACTCACAGTATACTAAGTTCTCATTACTTGACCTGCACCCAAATATCTTCGTGCAGAGATCTCCTAACCAGTTCCGGCAGAACACTTTCTTCTGGGCACACCACGAAAAGATTTGCATCGTCGACCACACTCTCGCCTTTGTTGGCGGTATTGATTTGTGCTTCGGCAGATGGGATACTCCCCAGCATACTCTCGTTGACGACAAACCTACTGGGTTTGAGTTGGGTGATCAACCGAAGGATGTTGATCACTGTCAATTGTGGCCGGGCAAGGACTATTCCAACCCACGAATCCAAGATTTCTACGCTCTGAACAAACCATATGAGGAAATGTACGATCGCACTAGGGTTGCTAGAATGCCATGGCACGATATTTCTATGCAGGTCGTTGGCCAACCTGCGCGAGACCTCACTCGGCACTTTGTGCAGAGATGGAACTATATTCTGAGACAGCGCAAGCCTACCCGACCAACGCCTTTCCTTCTACCTCCTCCGGACTTCAATCCGGCCGACTTGGAGGCACTCGGACTTGATGGCACGTGCGAGGTTCAAATCCTGCGGTCCGCTGGCCCTTGGTCATTGGGTACTCCCGACAAGACGGAGCACAGCATCATGAACGCCTACGTTAAGCTTATCGAGGAGTCTGAACACTTCGTTTACATCGAGAACCAGTTCTTCATCTCCAGTTGTGAGACAGAGGGTGCGACGGTCCACAACAAGATTGGAGACGCTCTTGTGGAACGTATTACTCGAGCAGCCAAAGATGATGAAGCGTGGAAAGCAGTAATCATAATTCCCTTGATACCTGGGTTCCAGAACACTGTCGAACAAGAAGGCGGTACCAGTGTGCGTCTGATCATGCAGTATCAGTATCGCAGCATTTGTCGCGGAGAGTCTTCAATCTTCGGACGCCTGAGGTCTGCTGGGGTAGAACCCGAGGACTATATCCAGTTCTATAGTCTGCGTCAGTGGGGTCGAATCGGACCCCGTAAAACGCTGGTGACGGAACAACTCTATATCCATGCCAAATGTATGATTGTGGATGACAGGATCGCTCTGATCGGTTCTGCAAACATCAACGAGCGGTCAATGCTGGGTAATCGGGACTCTGAATGCGCAGCTGTGGTCCGAGATACAGACATGGTCTGGTCACGGATGAACGGCCGACCATATCAAGTTGGCCGATTTCCTCATACATTGCGTATGCGATTGATGCGTGAACATCTTGGTCTCGATGTGGACAAGATCATGGAAGAGGCTCAAGCGATGGAAACAGAGCGGGGCAAATCCGAGGATTCTGAGAAACCCGCCAAAGCACGGTCACCCAGTGACACACTTGCGAGCCCGGCCTCGGAGCTGAACGATATGGTCAGTCCGCTGGATGGAGCACTGGATGTTCGCGAGATGCGCGAAGAACTCCTGCAGCGATCAGAGGACTTGAGGAGTTTCAATCATGATGTCGACTGGGAGCAAGCAGACAACCCCAATCTGAAGAGTAACCGCAAATTGACGGAAGACTCGAGAGTGACTGGCAATGCTCAGCACAAGTTGGACGTTGAAGGCAAGGGCTTTGATCACATGGAAGAGCTTAATGCCGAGGGATATGGCGTGGGCAGAGATACCGTGGTGGTCAAAGGAAACAAGGAGGTTTTGGTCGCCCAACTCGACCCGGAAGGCAAAAAGACTCTCCAAAAGCCAAGGTTGCATGGTGAGGATTATCGCAAGTCCTCATATGTGGTCAAAAGAGAAACGCCAGACCCTCCGCTACCTCCCAGGCCATCAGCTGTGCGAATGAACACAGAACAACTCGGGCTAACCATGCTATCACAATTGCCTGCTCTGCCACAAGAGGATGACACTGATATCGGCGGGCCTCCTCTTGCACAGACTGCCTCAAAAGATTCCTCCCGTGGTCGTCATCCCTTGGCGGCTGATTTGAGACGTCCACTTGTGGATCGTGATTGCATGATGGATCCCGTACATGATGCCTTCTTGTACGACACGTGGCATGCGATTGCCGAGAACAATACGAAAATCTACAGAAGCGTCTTTCGGTGTATGCCTGACAATCAAGTTCGGAATTGGGATGATTACCACCAATATGTTGCATATGGGCACAGATTTGACCAGCTTCAGGGAAATGATGTTCCGGCTGAGGAAACTGTTCCACATCCGCATCGGTCAGGAACTGGAGCAGAGTCAAGGACGGGCCCCCCAGGTGCTAGCATCAATACCAAGACGCCAGGTGCGCAGCAGATTAAAGCGCTCACCAGTTTGCCGAAAGATCTTGAGAAGAAGACGAGCGACCTGAAAGACAAGGTCAAAGATGCAGTTGGCGAAAAGACCAAACTGGACAAAGAAAATTCGGAAAAGGCCAAACTCCGCGAATGGGCTGCTCAGGTAAATGACGCTCAAGCCGAAAGGCAGAACAAGCCCACACTCCATAGGCAGGAGACGTTGACAGAGGAGAAGCTTGGACTGCCTACGGTCCCTGAAGTGTTCACGTTCGAACAAGAAGGCAGTGGTGATGGCGAGGAAGATAGTGTAGGTACCGATATCGCAAACGGCACCTCAAGCACTGCTACTGCGGTCGACAAAGAGAAGTCTTCTGTCCCCGGGACACCACCAACTAGCAATGGTCCTTTCGTCGGATACTCGGATGCAGTCAATCAGAATGGGGCTCCCGCTGTTGGTACTGGGACGACTCGCCGACGAAGGAGGGCTACCACTAGGTCTAGTAGACGTGACTTTAGTGCCAGTGACGATATGCTCAGCATTGAGGAAGCGGAGGAGTTGCTTGGAAGTGTGCAAGGGCATCTCGTTGTTTGGCCTTATGATTGGTAAGTGGTCCATCCCAGTCTGCAGGTCGTGTGGTGTGTCTGCGCGTATACTTACTTGTGTGCTTTCTAGGCTCGAAAAGGTTGAAGCTGGAAGTAATTGGCTATTTCCTTTTGACCAAATCAGCCCGATTGAAATCTAGTAAGTGTGCCCATCCTAGCCGTTGAGTTGGAGAATTGCAGGAGCTGACTTTGTGTGTGTGTACAGTATCTGAGTGATGACGGTAAATCGATTTCCAGCTTAACGATCACAGGACCTCAGATTCTATCATATGCAACAGGCTCTATGAAGTGGAGTGTGGTCCTCGTTCGGTCACATCTGCATATTCAATTATTCAGTGGTCGAGCCAGGCAGCGAGCCTACAGGAAGGAATGGTCGAAAAGAATGGTGCCTCAGCGATGGCTAGAAACAGAAAAGAGGTGGTTGAAGTGGACAATAGGGCTGGTATTAGGGTTGGATTGGGTTTTTGGGCTCGTTTTCCTGTTTTCGGTTGACGTTCCGCCATTCTTGCGTATTTCACAGCCGAACATGAGCGCATAAAGCACGCCATTGTTATTATTGTCATTGTTGTCCTTTGTTGTATATATCATCAGCATCAGCGTGCGTCGATTTCGGGTTGAGCTTGGATGTTGGAATTGCGGGAACCAAGGTGGGCAAAGTACAAAAACGTCTTTTCCGAGATCCGCCTGCGTTGGGCCAAAAGTAAACTACCAACTATCAAGATAGGATTGGTTGTACAAAATGAAGCTTTAAAGGGGCGCAGACTTTGTACCTTCTCGCACGTGAATACCCGGTAAGTGAATCATGGGTATATACGGAGTATACACATTGTATATGCCCCTAACTGTGCCTTGTCCGTTACCATTTTCTCGTTTAGGAAAGGGAGCGCGGCCGCTTTACCCGGTCACGTGACGGACGCCCGGCCGAGCACGGGGAGCGTCGCGGGAACCACGACCTTAAAATTCCTAAAAATGGCCGGGAATACTGTAAAAGAAGAAAAAATCATCACTCAATCCCTGCCAATGATTTACGAAAACCCTTTGCCGTCAGGCAGTTCTCCCGGAACACGAATGGGTCCCATGGCCACGTAATGGAATCGTGGGGGATTTGCTGCCCACCACAACCCTACCAACTTTTCGACCATACTCGTACCCGCTGGATGTACCCCAGCATGATTCCCGCGGTGGGGTAGCTCTCGATGCCTACGACGCCGCGACGGGGAGATTTGTCTCTTGTTCCAGGGTTTCGCCCGCACCGCCGTCTAGGGGGGATAACATGCGGAGAGCCCAGATGCCGGTCTTCTCCTGGCGGATACTGTACAATGCGAGTTACTGTACGTCTTTGCGTAAGGGGGAAGCAGGTCTCACGGCTCCACGCGTCGGCCGAGGGTGTGTTTGTCGTCTCGAGATCCACACCTTGGGCGGGACAGGGCCACCCAGGAACTCCACCCGCATCCCCTGCGTCATATACCTTATTTACACGACGACTTCTGGTGGTGGCGGCTCTTCGACAGGAATCGGCGGTGGTCAAACACACGGCGAAGTGTCGAGAGGGGTTCACGGTGGATGCAAAACGCACGAAGCGGGTCACGGAGCTAAAATGACCATGCACGGAGAACCCGCTCTTGCCCTTGACCTCGCGCGGCGTAACGACACCCAGACTCGGCCTGACGAGCGGCGAGGAAGCACGGCCGGCAAGTGACGATTTGTGTGTGGCCACGGTGCTGTTCCTTTCGAGGAGGAAATGGTTTTTTTGCTTTTGTGGAAAACGACCCACCCCGCCACCCCAGCACGTTCGTCACCCCGGCCATGTGAAATCGACCATGAGACTTTGACTCGGCAGCTGGCCGACCGACCTTCTGCTCTGCGGCAGAGAAGGCGGCTCTCCCCCGTACGTTGCGCGTTTCCCAGAGCAGTCATGAGGAGGGGGCCTTTGGATGTCTGTGTGTGTGTGTGTGTGTGTGTGGCTCGCGTTTCTTCACCCTTGCCTGATGATATCTACGGGACAACTGCGTGGACACACATGCTCTCTGCTGCAAATCTGGAATGAAATTTCGACTTGGGGGAAATATACACCGGCATCACGTTCAGAGACTCAACCATGCTGACGGCGGTCTCGTGTTCCCCACACTTCTGAACACCGGAATGTACGTAGATGGAGCACCGGAAGTCATGCTTTGAAAGAAATTGCATGCCAGCTTTGATATATCTCGCATGTGTGGTAATAATAATAATAATATTATTGAGATGCCGCATCTCCACCATCTCCTCGATTCCCTTCTCGACCTCGAGTCCGTTGGCAACGAATCACCCACGAGCTGAGCTGAGCCTCGCCCCTCCCCCCCCCGGAGCTACATTTTGAATCAGAGCTGCTAGATCGAAGATGTTGACCACCGAGGTTGCGGGGTCAGGATTAGAAGACCGATCGAAAAGCGGCCTTTGCGTAGCCCAAAGCACCCTTCTTCTTGTTTTCCTCTTGCAGCTCAAGGATGCTCGCTCTGCGCTGCTCCGGGGGAACATCTGGTCCGCTGATCAACTCCTGCGTGTCGCGCAGACCCGTGTAGATGTCGATGTCTTTGATCGGGATGTAAAGAGGGCGATGCTCTTTGACGTTGAACCAAGACCAGGCCTTCCATCCGACATACAAGAACACGAGGAAAGGTCCGGCGAGATAACTCTTGAAAAAGGTTTCGGCGTCCAGGTTTGGCCCTCCGACGGGGTAGAGCGCGACGTAGAATTGGGCGATCAGGCAGAGGAGGTTCATGACGGCGCAGACGTAGGATCCGTAGATTCCGAATGTGGCTTTGAATGGCAACTCGTCGAGAGAGTGACCTTGGAGTTTCCTGTGTGAAAACGATCAGAAAAAAAAAGTGCCGGGTAGGGATGTTCAAGGGAACCGAGGTTATCTCACCACGCGGCACGGAACCGGATATGGGCAATGGCGATACTGCCGAAGATGAAGAACGAGGAGAGACCGGACAAGGCGAGGAGCCAGTCAAAGACAGTGCCGCCATTCTTTTTGTCCAGATTGACGAAGGCCACACATCCGAAAAGGAGCTGAAGCAGCACGACCACGAGCGGACGACCCTTTTTGTCGACATATGCGAACAACTTCGGTCCCATGCCTGGTCATGTACGGTTAGCCGAGCCGTGAGCGTTCGGGATCTGTCAGAGTTCAGGAGGAATGGCTCACCATTTTGGGCCAATGCTTGGAAAGTTCGAGTGGAGCCAAACGTGCACGAGTTGGCAACGCTCATGACGGAAATCAAGATGACGGCGTTGAAGATGGAGGGTAACGCCTTGATACCGGCCAACTTGATGGCAATGACGAAAGGAGAACGTCTGCTGGAAGGACCCTCGGCTTGGTAGAGCACGCTGTTCGCTGGGACGATGAGGCCGACGAGGAAGAGATTGACGAGGTAGAAGATGCAAATACGCCAGACGACCTGTCTTGTGGCTCTGGGGATCTCTTTTTTCGGGTTTTCCGTCTCGGCGGCAGCCAGACCAGTGAGTTCGGTTCCTCCAAAGGCAAAAGAAGCTGTCACGAACACGGTGCAGAACCCATGGAATCCGTTAAGGAAAGCACTGTATGGGGAATGCCTGATGAAAAAAAAAACCCCTAGTCAGCTTGTGTAATGGAATACTTCCAAATCGTCTCTTACCAGTATCTTGCACCAATATAGCCTCTGTCATCGGTGGGTACACCTCCAACGTCGATGATTATACCGAGGATCATGAAGCCAATACAGGCGATGATTTTCATCAAACTGAGTGCAAATTCGACCTACGCGGGTTAGCCGGAGGAAATTGATTGTTGTTGGCGATCAATTTACCTCTCCATATCCTCTGACGCCAAAGAATTGGATGACTACCAGGAGAAATAGTAACGGAACGATCCAAGCGCTGTTGTTGATATTCTCAACCCCTTCCCAGTAGTGGATGATCTGGTTGACGTCAGAAATGACAGAGGCCGGACGGGGAGACCCTTACGTTACAAGCTGCGGAGATCTCGAAAGGAAGCACGGTGAGCCAACCAATACCATACTGCCACCCACAGGCAAAACCCCACGAAGGGTCGATGAATCTGACAATATACATGGTGAAGGCACCGTTGATCGGGTACAGCACAGCGAGTTCGGCAAGCGCTTGCATCATCAGGTAACTGGATAGAAAGTATAAGAGAACGACCAGGACGTAGGTGGACTTTGTAAACGTACATCATGACACCTAGAATGCATACACTGTTAGTCATTTCCTCAACCTCAGTAGCTGCGTCTAGCACTTACCGATAATCATGAAACCGAGAAGTACAGCAGCAGGACCGCCGGTTTGGAATGCACCACCGCTACCGATGAAGAGACCTGCGCCGATGGCACCGCCACTAAAAGAGTCAGCATGGGACACGAATCCAGCACTCCACTTGACTGAGGCTGCCAACATGAAGCGGTGAAAATGCTAGCAAAGGAGCAAACTTGCATGGCGATCATCTGCATGTGTCTTCCCTTCAGACTGCGATGTAGCACACCTTGATCGGCTTCGACCATGGCTCTGTCTCCGGCGTCCAAGCTGAACTGGCGGCCGCGGACATGGTCTGCCAAGCTAGCTGGCTCCCCGAGGCCATTCTCGCCTTTGAGAGCAGTCGCGCTAGGAGTATCGAGCTTCTCGGGATCTGCCATTTTTGGACCTTCAAGAGATTCCCTCAGTCAATGTTTAAGTGTGCAATTCCGACACGATGAGGGTTCGAAAGTTTAGGAGAAGCAAGCAAGAAAATAAATATGCGAAGGAGGACGGGAGCTCTGTAGCAATGCCGAGGGGGGAGGTTGATCTCAGATAAGCATCGCCTATTTTGTCTGTAAAGCTTCTAAGCTGATTGATTAGGCTGTTGAGCTTCATATCCAATAAGCTTTCAAGAACGCAAGGTCATGATGCAGCTTTTGGAGGCGCGAAACGACCGGGGTGGTCGTGTAACCTTGTGCGATGAGCCCATGCCTACCGTACGGTAGTGGGCTGACCGGTCCGATAGAGCTTTTGGCATCTCTAGTCCGTCGTAGGAGTGGTTTGATACCAGATAAAGCTGGATGAAAGTGGAGGGAGGTGTAGGTGCTCAAGACTTGTTGCCCAGAGAACCCTAGCCTGGTTAAGCATTAGCTTGGATGATGAAATCCTGTTCGAAATGGTCAATTTCGTCTCGGGCCCAAGTCCCTGATTCCATACGAGTACTGTAAGAACCTGAGAAGGGCATCACCCTGGCTCGCCCCGGCCTTCCCCCCCCCCCCTCAATTCCTCCACGCTAATCCGTTTTGGATCATCTTGCAGTTCCAAGCAACAAACGGCGTGATATTCCAAACTTTAGATTGCTTTGTAGATTAAGACAGTCCCAGTCTCGTGCAGGTTGTCTTGCAAGCCGACGGATTCACGAACTGAATTGTGCTCTAGCTTATCTGTTTGTGCAGCTCTCTCACTCTATCAGTGGGGTACGACACGAGGTTTGCGATCATGTGCTTGCATAGCTCACAGTGCTAAGATTCGCAGCGATGGACAGACCGTTATTCGTTGTTGTCTTTGGGCCAAACGCCTCCCCAAGCCAGGTAGAGAACTGATCCTGTTGCATTCTGTAGTGTTGTTGAAGATGTGTAACACAAATCCAGGTCGATGGCTTTATTTCCCAATGACGTGACTCTTTCGTGTCTGCTCATGCTACCGAATGTGACCTCGATGAGCAGATCATGAGGAAAGCCTCGGAACTCGGACTGGCGACCTGTCCAAACTACTGTATGAAGTTACTCTCGTTAGACGCTCTCGCCAGGCTGAGAACTTGATGCCCCCAAGGGGCAAGCACTGATGCCCAGCACTCCTAGAGTCGCAGCGAGCGGAGCATGGTACTTTGGCTCTTGAATGAACATGGCTGTGCGCATCGATGTCGCTTACCCGGTCTCAGAGCATGCAGTCTCCGTCCGGCTTCGCCGAAGAGGGATAGAGATCCAGGCTCTTCTGTTGTATGCCAAGACCATGATAAGAGGCCTGGACTTCCAAGAGATTGCGCTTGCCGCTAGCTTGGCCAAGTCGCCCGATGCTCAATGATAAACACCATCCCGTAATCAGCCACCAGTCCAATCGAGCATTTCTGCCCCTCCACAGGTAAAGCACTGGGCAATCAGCACTACCCTGCTCGGCGCCGCTCACGCTTTGAATCTGTAGGACTAACGAAGTGTAATTATAAGTGCGTGCATCTACACCCCACATCTTCTTATCACGTAACGGGCTGAAAGGAGTGCCAAGTAGATAATCCCACGCCCTCAAATGTAACTGTGGCTGCTCGGTAGAGCAAGGATTTTTGGGAAATTAGTTTCGGCCAAAGGGCTTCGATGACACCTTGGATGGAGCGGCTAATACCGACGAGCACGAAAGAAAGACAGAAACCTAGAAATATGCGGGTGTGGCCAATGCAGTATATACACGCGAGTGGTGCTGACTAGTAAGGGCAAGGCTGCACTAGCACCAATTAAGTAGGCGGCACCCTTGTTCTGGTCTAACCGCTTACCCAGATGGTCTTATCACGATGCGATGGCCTGAGCATCACACTCCCTCGGGAGGTCGCAAATTGTTTCTGCATAAGTAGTCCCTACATGGTCGATCGGGTTACCACGACCAAGTATGTATCTTCTCCTCCACAGTATCACTGGTGCACCTCGACATGTTGGTGCAAAGATGTCCGAACTGAAGTTGTGATATTGCAGGATTGGTACATGGCTGGCTTTGGGTAAGTACTTGGTCTAGCGGATGGTGCCCTGGTGCAATGCTCAGTGGCACGTTTGGTCGCCGCAGCCTTTTTTCATCAAGGTGTGTAAGCCCTCTCGAGCTCCGAAACACGGGGGACGTGAGTATTGCCGTCCATCCATCTCCCGATAGGCGGCATGGCTTTCAGAATTCCCGAGAATACCCCAGCTTTTCGCTTGCATGCTGTACTTGTGCCCGACCCAGCTCGGGGCCGGTATCCAGTCGACAACGTCGCTTACTTCTGTTTTGCCGCCTCTATTTCGGCCAATCCCTCCTTGAGAGCCGTCAAAGCCTCGTCAACCTCACCTCTTGATTCATAAGCCTACGAGGCTAGATGTGTATAACGTTAACGCCAATAAGACGAGAGCCTAAACGGGATCCGTAGCGGCACGTGAGGAAGTAGAAGGAGTGGAAGGGGGAGGGTGTAAGAAAGGAAGGGAGCAGAAGAGAGCGGAAGAGGGAGCGAATGGACTAAAAATAGTCGTTAGCGGAAGAGCAGAGCGGCGAGGGATGACTCAGCGAAATGACTCTGGGCGACGACTGTTCAGGGATATTATATAAATATCTATCTAGATAGATAGTCTATCAACCTTTATATGTGTATATGTGTCGAAATGGATTGCTCCGAATGGTGGTTGGGGTGAAAAGCATACCTTTTCCCTTTCCGCGTTTGGCCCATCGAGTCTGGGAGGTAGTCGGTCAGTCGGTCAGTCAGTCGGTTGTGGCACCGACCCACAGGTCCGCAGCCCACCTCAAACCGTCTTTCAATCTGGGATCGTCCAGGACGTCCGGCGAGCCGTCGAACCCATGGTCCAGCCCATCCCAGTACTCGGCGCGTACCTCTGATGCCGCGGCGCCCCGGGTGGAAAAGCGAGTCTTGAGAAGCTCGACGAACCGCACGACGGAGGACGCCGGGACCGCCGTGTCCTGGGTCCCCTGTATGACGAAGATCCTCCGGGGCATGTGTACGTCGTGGTTGGCCATCCGTCGGAAAACCACGACGTCCTTCACGGTGCCGCCGTCTTCGGCGGCCTGCCCTTGAACGATCCAGTCGTGCCACTTCCCGTAGTACTGGGCGCTGCTTACGAGTGGCAGTCTCTCGAAGCCGCCCTCCGCGACGATCTGGGACGTGGCACGCTTGGCGGCGGCGTGCGTCTCGAAGGCCAGGAAGTCGTCAAGCGGTAGCGGGCCGGCGCCGAGGACGAGGGCCGGCGAGTTGGGGCTGTCGGCGTTGTGTGCGGGATTGCCCTCGCGGAACCAGGCCGAGTCGATGTCGACCATCGGGTACTGCAGGAGCAGGGATCTGATCCGGGAGGAGTGGGATAGGGCTAGGTGCGTGGCACAAAAGCCACCGGCAGAGCCACCCGACACCAGGATCCGGGACAGGTCAGGATGGACCACGGCGGGACTCTCACTCACGATTTGCGCCACATAATCTTCAAAAGATACGACGACGTCTCGTCGTGCTTGGTCGTCGTTGTCGTCCGGAATCGACACGTCACCTGGAGGACTACTTCCGGTGCCGGTCAGCCAGCGCCAGAAGTCCTCCAAGTCCTCCAGGACGTCTTGGCCAGTCGATTCCGGCAGGAGTCGATAGTCCGGGCTGACGACAATCGCGTCATGGGCTTGCGCAAACCCAGGGAGCCAGCCGTTGATGAAAGGGTGGAACGCTCGGTGGCCCGTGACGAGACCTCCTCCGTGGATAAATACCAGGACAGGATGTCCTTGGTGGTGTCGCGACGACCTCATCGACGATTTTGATTCTCCTCGGGGCAGCCAGACGTCCACGTTGAGCCATTGCAAGTGTCCCGTCTCGTCGGGGATGCATTTGTATTTTGTCGTCGAGACGTTGAACTTGTCGGTCACTTCTGAAAAGCTTTGGATGGCCATCTTGTCGCAATTCCTGACTGGTTACTGTGTGTATCGTTTCCAGACCTTACGCCTACGGCCCACACCCACGCCCGCACCTGAGGGAAAAGAACCAAGTCCAGCCCAAATGTCCAACACAAAGAATAGATGATGGATGCTCGAACTTCTTCGACACACTGATCAGCAGCGGTAACAGAGACAGGCCAATGTTGGCGTTTCCCTCGGCACCGATGAAAGTATGGCTAGGGGGAGGAGTAGTCCGAAGTCAAGTGTCATCGGCCTGAGGAAAAGGTTGGCTCTCTTTCTTATCAAGATCCTCGACACAGACCGGACCGCGTATATTCCCAAAATGTGGTTTGTCATCGTGGAAAACCAGGGATGCCTCGGGGCCGCCGCTGTTTTGGGGAATGTTGCTCCGGAATCCGGATATGGACCGGATCCCTAGATATCTGCCTACATACTAGGTAAGTGTTAACGCCGTGCAGTATGTTTTCGGCCATTGAGACCAGCGGCACCGAGGGTACTTGAATTTCGGTACTGGGACCTTGACCACGTATACACTCCACACTTTCTTCCGCCCGGACAATAGAAATAGTTCCTACACGTTAAGGTAACCCTCGATGGATGGCGAAGGTGAGACTTTCCGCGGTAACGGCAAGCACCTACGATGATACGCTGAGGTAGCAGCTGGCCGGGCATTCGGGGCTCCGGGTGAAGGAACCGTATGTGCAATTGGTGGAGTTTGGCGACCCGGGCCTATGTGGAAGTGCAGGAAGTCCAGCAATCTCGATTCCAGTCGTCGGTCAAATAACACTCATTCACACGACGATTACCTGGTACTTAGGTGACGGCACTCACGATGGGTTAAGGAACACCGAGGGGAATTGAAGTCAGTTTTAAGTCTTGTATATTGCTTGGCTGGTGAGTAAGCTGCAAACTATTAGTTGGGGTTATAGGCACAGCCTATACATGGCCCCCCCTCCCCCCGGTAAAGTGATCTTGGCGGACGATTGGATACCTGTAGGTAGGACTTTGCGAGCATCTTACTCTCAACTATGACCATTGCACTCAAAAAGGATGTTCAGGACTCTCTGTGAGAAGATTATTTCCGATGCGTTCCTCCATGTATATATAGCTGACGGTGCTACCTACGGGCGAAAAAATGATCACCGTTGCCCCTGCCAGAAGGGGGCCAGCTACTAGACTAACTGTTCGAGAGTCGGAAACAACAAAGGGCGGTCCCAATGCAACGATACGTGCCACAACGCCCAACCATTTCTCCTAACATCTACTCAAAGGTGTCATCTGCGAGACGTCTTGTTTCGCCCGTGGCCGCAGGCACCATTCCAACAAAGAAATCTAGAGTCCGGGTCACGGGTTAGATACGTTATACCGTGGTCAGGTATATACATGTAGGTGAGGATAGTCGTAAGAACGGTCATAACTTTTTCGCAGATGTCTGACCGGAGAGTTCCAAGCCGGACAAATCACCGACGAACGGATCAAACGCTAAGACTCAGGTCGAGTTCCTGCACGCGACCCCATACTATGCGGGCCGCTTCGTTGACGCCGCCATCTGCGTCGATCATGCCCAGACCGACATCTTCGAGGCGAGGAGGATGAAATGTCTGCTGTCGAAGAGGTGCAAGAGGTGACGACGCCGACTGATAAAACTCTGAGGCTGTCGTCTGCAACTGCGGGATATGTGAAGATGAACAGTTTGAGACAGGAGGCCACATTTGGTGTAGGGTTGTCAGGGTGGAGTCTGTGTCTTCTGAAGGAGAGGCGGTTGTAGTGCAAGTTGGTTTCGACCTCGAGATTGTAGAAGACGCGGGGGTCGACGATAGATGAGAAAATGTAGGTTCAGATCCAGACCCAGACGCAGGCTGAGTGATCATTGTATTGGTCGCATTAATATCAGTGGTCGGAGTGACGAAGGGGAAATATGGCGGTAAAAGAAGGAGGGTGTTATCACGATTGGCGTCGAGATTTTCCTTACACTCTTCGTCCCGTCGAGACGGATGAAGTTGAGTCCGAGCATCCATGACGGACGGAGGAGAAGTGTTCTGATCAAGCGTAATCGTGACACCTCGGGACTGCATCATTGGAACTTCTTTACCGGTGTTCAGTTCTTGGAATGTCATCATCTCCTTGATGTCGGCGTGGTCAGAAATCTCTTTGTGGACGAGCTTTGAGGTGTTGTTGTGGGCACCGTTGTCGCGGAGTTTGAGAAGGTTCTGGACGACAAAGAATGCGGTGTGAGCATCCCATAGGCCGTCGCGGGTGTTACGGATGCGTGGGTGTGAGAATAGCTCCAGAGCCGTAGACAGGGTTTCGGGTTTTGTTGCTTTGAGGGTGAGGAAGTAGAGCATGGCGATGAGGTGAGTGGAGAGGGTGTAGATTCTTTCCGTGCTGTTGTTGGCTCCACCGGTGGGGGGTGCTCGACCGTTTGAGGAATACTCTAGTGAAAGGGAGAGGAGGGATTTGAGGGAGTCAAGGGCCACATCGAGATCTTCAGTTGGTGATGTGTCAGATTGGGACGAGGAACGTGATGACGTTGATGGTGAAGATATCACTTCCTCATCAGATGCCAATGGGCTGGGAAGATTTTCCCTGATGAGATAGCGGTAGCAGTGAAAATGAATCTTACACAGAAGTATGGTGTCCGTTTCGGTACGAGGGCAGGCTTGCTCAGAGTGTAGCGGAACCTCTGGTATGGCCGACAAGCATGACGAGGTGTCTCCATTGATGGAGGCAGAGAGGTTCGCCAACGCCGTGCCGTATCGCTCAAATTGGAGACCGAGCATGATTCTCTCTCGGAGGATGTCCAGGGGCATTTCATCTGACGACTTGCCCTTGTGTTCGAGGTTTTCGATGATGTGATGCAACGTCCAATTCTGGAGTTTCGTCAGGATGCTCTCCGCATGGGCAACATCTCGAAACCTGTCTGGAACGAGGTCGAGTTCCCCGTGGACCTCGGCGTCACTGACCAGAGTGACGAGCAAGCGCCTACGGTCGTCAAAGGCACTAGCTTGTATGTCCAGGTGGTTGAACATGGTTGTCAAACTCTCCATCAAGCCATCGCCAGTCTCGCACGTGCGGTCGGTCTGACATTGTTTCAGCAAGGTCAGACCACGATCAAGATGCCATATTGCCTTTGCCGAGTCACCGAGAAGTGACTCAAACGTGTAGAAGATCAGGCTACATATCAAAGCGGTCTCGGGGGAAGCGCCGTCTCGCGAAAGATACGCCCGTAGTTGTCGGTGACATTTACCAATCATGCTCATTGTTTTGACGGGCGGTGAGATCTGACTTGAGCCATGAGCATTGAGTCGGTGCTCCGAGACTACCAGGTCGCCGCACAGGTAGTCTTTGTGCAGCGAACCGAGGGCGATCAAGGCGTTGCGGATGACGGGTTCATGGAAGCTGCGCTGGAGAATCAGTTCGGTCCAGAGGGTGGTGTTTGAGTATGTCGAGAGGTTCCACGACGCCTGGCAGCAGTAGTAGTGCAGAAGTTGACGATCGCTTTGGCTTCCGGGGATCTTAAATGGGATGCTGTAGGTCGTTATACCGGAGTTGCCGGTTTTGTCGACGTGGGGCTTGTAACCCTCACATTTCCGTTGGGCGCGGAGGCACCGCTGGCATTCTGGTTTCGACTCATCGCATTTGACACGACGGGACCTGATGGGGAGGTCTGTTAGACTATTCATGACTTTGAAGGGACCGCAACACCAATACTGCTGGGTACAACGTACTTGCAAGTGAGGCAACCTGATCGAACCTTTGGCATGCTCTTGCGACCCTTTTTGACCGTGGCCGCAGCATCTCTTTTCGCCGCTGGCTCCATATGGGGTTCTCGTCGGTCGCCTGGGCTGTGACCTTTGCTCGTAAATTCTGGATGCATGCTGCAACAATCAGAGGATGGACTTGTCGAAATATACGAGCACGAACGCAACAAATAGACGGGAGGCCTTACGACAAAACGTGTGGGATCCACCTGGGAAGGATTCACAAGGTTGCCCAATCACGCTGAGCTAATGGCAGCCTCGTCTCAGCCTTGTCTTGCGCGTAGCTTTGAAAATATACGAGCAACGCCATCCCGGTGTTTGACTTCTTCTTCTTGTATGTTCTGCTGCTCGCTAGGCTGTGATCAAACATCCATCCATGATCCTGCTTCTCGCCCCTTAGTAGCAATGACAGGCTACGTTCTTGCACCATGGGCAATTTACGAGGCCAAAAATAACCTTCTGCAAGACCAGCATTGGATCATCCCTGCAGGTGTCAAGCTAAGCGTCGAGGTAGGTGGGTGAGTGAGTCCGTGAGTGAGTGAGTGAGGACGAGTACCTTTGGTACATAAGTCACCGTTCTCTGTAGCTACATGCTTCGCCAGAAGAAGAGTTCAATTCACTTTCTCCTGTTCATCCACCATGTTGTCATTCCCCGTCCTCCTGCTGTTCTCCAGCACCGTCTCGGCGACACACCTCGCCCTCCACCGCCGGGCATCCAACAGCAACAATGCACCTGGCAAAGATGCATCAACGCTCACGAGCACCCTCTTCAACACCGTCTTCGACGTCCACATCACCATCGGCAGTCAAATTGTCCCGGTGCTCGTCGACACGGGCAGCAGCGACACATACGTTATGCGCCAATCCTTCACCTGCATCAACAAAACCACCAACGCCATCATCCCACGGTCATCGTGCCTGTACGGCCCGACCCTCTACGACCCGGGGGCGAGCCAGACATACCAAGCCATCTCGAACGAATCCTTCGGCGTTGTCTACGGCGCGGGCATCGCCTCGGGTCTCATGGCCACCGAAACGATCACTCTCGGCGACTTGACGGCCCACAACGTCACGGTCGGGGTCGCAGACACATCGACGCCCATGGGCGACGGTCTCAACGTCGGCCTTCTGGGCCTGGCGTACCCGGCCCTCACGTCGGCGCATCCGGGACCCATATCCAACACGCCCAACGACACCTTCTACGCGAACCGCCTGCCGTACGACCCCATAGTCTTTACGATGCGCGACCAGGGCCTTCTCGAGTCTCCGATCTTCTCCATCGCCCTGGCGCGGACGCCGCAGAACGACTCGACGGGTTTCGGCGGGTACCTGTCCCTGGGCAGGCTACCGCCCGTGCAGCACGACGCAGCCTTCACCACGGTCCCCGTGGAAATCACTTCCGTCATACCGCTCAACGCCACCTCCGGCCAAAGGGTGAGGTCATACTGGACGCTCAGCGTGTCGGATGTCGTCGTTCGCAACACTTCGAGCCCCTCCGGCGTGTCCTCCCTGCTGGCTGGGACGACCAATGCGTCTCTCGCGGATGCAAACACCACGACGACGAACACGTCGTTCCAAGCGTTCGTCGACTCGGGGAACGACTTCACCTTCCTTCCAGGCCCGGCGGTGTCGCAGATCAGCTCCCTCTTCTCCCCGCCGGCCGTCTACGATCCGACGAGCCAACTGTACGTCGTAGACTGCGCGGCCGTGGCGCCGCAGATCGGCGTGACCATAGGCAACGACACCTTTTTCCACGACGGACGAGATTTGATTTACCAGACCGGCGAAGGGGCCGACGGACTATGCGTGTCGAGCATCGCGAGTGCAGACAGCGTTGCCATCGGGGAGATAAGCATAAGCATCCTCGGTGTGCCGTTTATGAAAAACGTGGTTTCCGTCTTCGACATCGGCAACAACGTGATGATTTTCGCCAAGTTGAAGGGAGACGTGACGCAGGGCGGCAGCGGCAGCACCGACGGGAGCAGTGGCGGGAATGGCACCGGCACCGGCACCGGCACCGGCAACAGTACCGCGGTGCCCAACGCAGCGACAGGTGTTTACTCGTTCAAACCTCAATCTGGAGGACACTTCCTCCTGATGCACGTGGCCATCGCTGTGTCGGCCGTATGTGTTGGGCTGGGCAGTCTGTCGCTCTAACCACCCTCACTGCCTGTAGGTACCCGAGGCACACAATCCCAAAGTCTTGTACTGAGCATGGCTCAATATATATCAAACAGTCCCACAATCCGTATTGGTCAAATCTCAGTCACCGGTCCTCATAAAAGTCAGTACAGCCGATTCATTCCAGACTGCTCCGGACTATCTATGTAGCTACAGACAAACAGAGATCCCTGTCACGGGGAGCCATCAATTGACCCGTTGGGCGCAAAATACAAATGCCATGCCGTAAATCACACCAATGAATAGAACACTTCGCAAAGGAACATTTCATATTTTGGTCTGAACCTCAAAACTTGCAGATTAATATCAATAGACTACATAAGCAAGCAGACATACATGTCTAGAACGATGACGCTACATCTGAAACAGTTTGCAAAAGTACGATGAATGCACCCAGGGTCCAATAGGTCGAACCAACCTGGTGGCCTTTCATCGCGAAAGGAATCCCCATCTGCTCCTTGTGCTGCTGCCGTGGAAGGGCTTGCTCCAGAGAAGAAAACAAACGCTTATGGACCTTGACATCATCTCATCAACAACAACCAGGGCCATCGCTGACATAGATCTAGCCAAAGATAAAATGTAGGATATACAGCTCGCGCTTCGCTTTTTATTCTTTTAGCCTCGCGGCTCAGTTCTCGCCTTTGTGACCCTTATACCTCGTTTAGGCAAACCAGAAAACATATGTCCGGATAGGAAGAGTGCAAATGATTTGGAAATATCTTGCGACATAATGGACGTGGTGACTTTGCGGAGTCTCGTTCTTTGGTGATGGTATCGACCTAGATCTTGGAGGCTAGCCAAGAATTGAGAGGTCGCTGCTTGTTCAAGATGGTCGACAGCTAGATTATACTCTGCCTTCTTCGAGCCTTCGGTGGTAGGCTTGGGTCCACTGACAGCAACCCAATGGATTCTTCAACAGACACTAGAGATAGCTTCTGTATGAGGGTGCAGCCACGTTGGAGGTGGAGGACATGTGATGAACAAAGTTGAGGTGCCCTGCACGCTGAGCACCTATTGGGTCCCGTGACGATTCTGATACAAGTCTCTTGTGACTCGAAATCCTCCTCTTTGGGCGAAACGTAGTTCATACAACCTCTCCGGGATCAATGTCGACGTCTTAATATATAGAGACAACCACCCGTAGTGTACAAGTGTGGCCTGTGAAGAAGTTCTTCTCAGCCACAGCAGAAGATTCGTCTCCACCAAGGCGTGTGAATGTTGTCGTCTTCGAAGCCAGACTTTTCGTTCATCGCAGGATTGACGTTAAGTGATTGCTGGTTCTGCTGCACCGAAGCAGGCATATGATAGGAAGAGGTGCCAGCACCACTGACATTAAGGGTGTGACCCTTGGAGCCAAAGGGAGTGTATTGGGGATAGTTCTGGGGGCCAGCGCCATCTTGCCTTCTAGCTTCGACGACTCTGCGCACGATCACTTGGGGTGCAAGTTAGTACCGTTGCGCGCTGAAACTGGGGATTCACTTACAGGCAAATGTCTCTTCAATATTAACCATCTCCCGAGCGCTTGTTTCCATAAAACCGCAGCCTTTGCTCTTAGCATATTCCCATCCAACCTTACTACTGACGACGCGTGCATCTTTCAAGTCACACTTGTTTCCAGCCATGATCTTGATGGGAGGAAACTTCCAACCGTCTTCTCGTCGACCTCGGACTTTGGGGCCCTTTTCCCTCAAGAGACGACTATTTTCTTCCAGTCTGTTCTCTGCCTCAATATCGATCATGTCGAGGAACCATGACAGTCCTTCCAGAGAAGCGGCATTGGTAATGTCGTAGACCAACAGAAAAGCATCAGACTGCAGGTTCGAGGCAGCCCAGAGACTTCGGTATTCTTCTTGTCCCGCGGTATCTGTCAGAGAGAGGTAATAATTCAAGCCATCGACCGTTCGAGTCACCGAGTAGGAGTCTTCAATGGTGGGATCGTACTCAGAGGTCCATTGTGACCTTACCAGGCGCAGCGTTATCGACGATTTACCTGCGCACCAGACATGTTAACAAAAGTCCCTTGGCTACTGATCAGACGAGCAGGACGTACCACAACCTCCATCTCCGCATATGGTGATGGAGATTTTGTCTGCCATGGTAATCAAGTTTCCACCGCCGTCTTCAATTGAGATGCTCAAAGAAGAAGTGGCCTGGCAGTTGCGATCGAGAGGCGCGAACAGAGCCCGTGGCTCTTGTTCGGTTTTCTGATTTCGCTGGACGGGATAATTCAGGGCGAAATGCGCAAGGCCCGCACAGTGTCCAAGCACTCGATTTTGACAGCACTGTGGTCCTTCTTATATTTCGGGATTGCGATTTGGGCCAGGAGAGTGGTCGTTCGTTGATCGTGCACGGACTCGGGATGCGCCAGCTGGGCCGGGACGGACACGGGGAGGATTCTTGATGAAGTTATATTTTCCCTCACTCGGAAAAGGTAAGAAGCATGTGGGATGTTGCGAGGAAGGTCGCGGCGAGGAAGGGATTTAGCATGCAACCTTTCGTGGGAGATGAACCCAGCCTTGGTTGCGCAAAGGTACCGGGGGCGAGAGGAGATGGGTTATTGGGCAGGCTCGACTGGGATATTCGACGAGAACTGGACCTCTGGAGCCGAGGCAGGAGCAGGAGACGATGCAAGAGTAAGGGAGAGCGCGAGAATGAAGTAGGACTGAACCGGGTCGGCCGTGTGATAGTGGTAGAAAGGAGTGGGAGGGAGGATGTGAAAATATGCAGACGATTGAGTCGAGATTCCGAAAGGCTGGGTGGTTGACAGGGATGAACAGCGACAGTCCCACGATGGCGTGTCCCACTATCTCGGGCAGCAAAATGACGGCAGAGAAGCGCAAAGAGATCGACTTGTGAGGCACTAGGCGAGGGAATGAGAGAGGGAAAACAGCAGGACGAAAGGGATGATCAACTACAGCGTCGCAATGATACAATGACATTAGATGGACCAGGGCGAGGGCAAAGGTGGTCGTCCTCGGTACCTGCTAACTTTTAGTGTACGAGTCCCAGTATCATGTGCGAACGGCTTTGATGAATTATGCCCGTTCGAGGAAATGATAGACACAGCCAGTCAGCCTCAAGTGCATCCTCGGATCCTCCATACAAAGACCCGCGCATGGAGCAAAAGCAATCCAACACTCTCAGAGGAAGCGAGGCTGTTAGCTTCAGGTAAGCGAAAGTATCAAGGGGTGTTTGGGATTTGCGGAAACCCGGTGCGCCTATAGCAAGTGCGTTGGTAGGTGCCTAGGGGTCTTGGCCTCGCCTGAGGAGCCCCCAAAACCGCCATGAGGCCCCGTAACTTTCGGGGAAAGGGGGGAGCCCGAGCCCTTGTGTCTGGGTCCTCATACTAGCCAAATACTACCCTAGTCACCTACCTTGGTCAACACACTTGGTGATAAATCCTGCGACAGCCAGTAAACAGGGCAGCCAGTCAGTGGTTGGGCATCAAATCAGTTGATCGACGGTACTGAATGTGACCTCCTCCTGCAAGTGCCTCGACTTGAAGAGGTGGCGATGACCACGTCCGATACTTGCTAGGCGAATATGGCGTACACAGTACCAGGACTCGTACTTGAAGACGACGCTTTGATATGTCGGTAAGTACACATTACAGCATCTCTTATAGATACTGCTTCTGAATAGCCCAGTACTGTACAGTTAGGTTAAAGATCACTTACCTAACTGAACTGTTGCCTCGTATTGTATGTTCATGTACCCATCAGCTGTCCACTGGGCACCACCAGCACGAGACTTCCGGGCCTTTTACACCCTAATTACGGGTACGGATATTGGATACTGGGACGGAAGATTCAGGCGAGCCTTAGGGGCGGGGCACGCTGAGAAAAGTGAGCCTTCGAAGTGCATCTTGCATCCCACCTAAAGTACCTATTGTACAAGTACGTACTAGTTAACGCGGCTAGCTATCTTTCCCATTAACTGAATTGAACGTAGACCGTAACAATGGTGGGCTCCGTCCGTGGCCTTGCATTTCACCTAGCCTCCCGTCAGTGGATAGGAAGGCCCAGTGTGTGTACAACTACATCACCCTCACCACCGTCCCTCGCATACACGCTAAGCATCGACAATCACCGAGATCGAACCTTTACAGTTTACGGAACGGACTGCGTTACGAAATGCAAGCATGACAATGCCTACTGGGGGGAGTCCAGTCTTAAATCTTCCCGCGTGAACAAGCCTGTATCAAACAAGGTCTGCTGGACCCAGTCCAAGGCGCAGACATCACAATTCCGTCACCTTCGTCCACATGTTCTTCGACGGAAGCGGCGCTTTTGAGTGGGTTTCCAACATCCTGGCGCTCCTTTGCCGTACCTCGTCCCGCAGTTTCGGCCAGTCAACATTCAGAACCTGGCCATCCTTCTTCATTACTTTGCCGTCGATCAAGACAGTGTCAATGTTGCCAACGTGAGCGTTGAACATGAGAGCTCCTACCGGGTGGGTTACGGGCACCACGTTCATGTCGTCACATCGAGTGATGATGAGATCTGCTCTCTTGCCGGGTGTGATGCTGCCTATGAGATGATCGAGGCCAATCGACTTGGCTCCTCCCATGGTTGCCATGTACAGCGCCTCTTCGGACTTGGGCTGAATGTCATATGGAGGAGGTGCCTGACCCAGTACTTCAAGGTGCCGCCGCCCCCGCTCCGCCTGAAGCAGAAGACGCATGACTGCAAGCATGTCGTTGTTCTGATTGCTCGTGATGTCGATCCCGAGGCCGACGTGGCACCCAGCTGCCGCAGCCTTGAATGCCACGGGGTGGCCCATGCCCATCTGAAGCTCAGTTTCGGGCGTCGATGAGATGCCCGCCCCAGACTGTTCGATAAGACTGATCTCCGAGTCGGTGAAGGAGGACCCATGACTGAACAAGAGGTCTTTGTCAAGATATTTGTCGTCTCCAAGCCGCTGGACTATTTGATGGTCGAAGTCGTAGTTGCCCAATGAAACATGCATCGTGGTGACCCGGGCCCCGATACTCCGAAAGAAGTCGATTTCCTCCTGCAGAGCTTCCGGACTCATGCCCTCCGCCTCCGCTGGTGCTCCTCCAAACGTCAACAGATGCTCATTGGGATCATTATCCGGGAAATGTTGTTGCCGGACCCTCCTAGCGTCAGCTCTGCGAGCAGCCTTATCAAAGCCTGCTGGGGTTGATACAGTGTGGTTTGATCCAGGAAGGTCTGCTTGACTGGGGTTCTCATAGAATCCATAGCACCAGGTCCCGCGAATACCAGCATCCTTCAAAGCTTTGACCGCTGCATCGCTATGTGCCGACGAGTTCAGGATGTGACAATGGTCGATGACTGTCGTGACGCCGCTATTGATCAGGTCCAACGCCGCAAAATGGTTCGAGGTGTATACATCCTCTGGAGTGAAGATACTACCATACACCAGCCGAATGTGCTCAAGATAGTTCGCCAACGACCAGTCAGTCGTCACCCCACGAATCAATTGCTGCCACATGTGGTGGTGAGTATCGACAAACCCTGGCGACACCAAACAATGAGAGCAGTCAATCAATTCTCCCGAGGTCCCAGAGCTCAAGTTTGGTCCGACCTCCTTAATGACACCATCTTCGATTAGAACGTCACAGTTCTCCTTAACGCCAATCTTCTCATCGACACTTATCACTGTAGCATTCCTGAGGAGTAAAGATGACGCCATATTGGACCTTGGAGCAAACTCGAACTCGACAGGAAACGACTTCGGATGTGTTTCAACATCTTCTTCCTTTCCGCGACGGGTCTGGTCGAGTCAGCTTTATACACTGTTTGGGATTATCCGAATGAGTTCGGCCAAAGTGATGAGTATTCGGCATATGGACATGTTGGCATGACGTCTCCCCACACCTCTCCGTATTCACCCCAGAGATGGAGAGGCGAGTCTCCATCGAGAGAGCACGGAGTGGTGTGGGGAATATGCTGACGCTTGCTGGTCGGGCAACGATGTCTCCTCGGTTGAGAATTTGTACGGTTCATGGAAAGCCTCGCAAGATGTTCAAACCCCGGTTTTATCAGCGTGATCGCCTCGGCAGTCGTAGCCAATGACAATCCAACTGCCACCGTGTGAAGGGATGGTGAGCAGTCAACATAACGCCGTCGAAAACCCAAGAACGTTTTAGAGCGAACTTTCAGCCCCGGCACGAACGATGTCCCGAAACTTTTGACGGCGCTGGTCGGCCTTACATGAACTATCTCACATCATTCTCCGAGGGCCCCTATCATCCCTCTTGCTGTAGAAGTTCCGAGATCCAATCCTCGATGTGTCCCATGGAGTTGACGTTTGTCACTTCATTGGCAACATCGAAACCTCCACCGAAGTCATAGTAGTCCAGGTTTTCCGACGGCAAGAACGGGTCCAACATCACAGGCAACTGGCCGTTCATTTCCCTGCACTCACGAGAGATCTGCGTGATAAAGGCCGCAATGCTGTCCTCCTCAAGGTTCGACTCTCTGGTTCCTGGATCGTCCAAACCAAGATCGCCAATATCCTCTGCTCCTCTGGCAAAGCAACCCTCCTCGCTGACAATAATCGTGTTATGTGTCAAGATCGAAAGCCGCGCTCGTGGGTTGGCCATTTTGAATCCTCTCAACGCTGCTGGAGACATGTTCTTGGGCTCATCTGTCAGTGGAACCACCCGGCTTGCATGGAGCTTGTAAAGACCGCATGCAAATCGTCCCTGCAAGTCCCGATGTCAATACTAGTGCCATCAAAAGCGGCTGAAAGTCTTACCAGAATCTTGGTGAATCTCCACTGTCTACCCATGACCTGCATGGTCTGAAGGTTTGCTAGAATGCTACGGACGGCACGCTGCTTTACATCAGGCTTGGAGCACCATAAGAATGGTGTCTGTATGGCGCATGCTGCGTATGCAGCATATCCGATAAAACTAGGCAATCGTGCTGCGTCCCAGTCGGATGCCAACGTGGCCTCTAAGAGGAATGACACAGCATTGGCGTGTTCGAGTGCCGTCTGACCTGACAATTGTTGTGCGTACGCACATGAGTCGTCGAAAGCGCTCCACGAGAACAGGGGAACAATGGATGAGTGGAGAGAACACCAACACTGGTGATATATGATATGCAACAAGAGGAGATTCGCCAGGTCATCGGGCGGCACTAAGGATATGTTGGCGGGATCTAGGTGAAAACACGAAGCAAGCCTGGAATATGTATCGTGGATGCGACCATCAAGAGCCTGGATGTCGCTCAGCCTTGTTGCCAGATTTGACTCGGGTTGCCTTGTGAGGGCGACGACAGCGGACCATACAGCCATCGCTCGAATCAGTTCTGCATAGATGCTCTGGCTGCTTTCGCCTGATTTCAGAGTGACACCTCCTTGCGGCCTCCCTCTGTCGAAGTCCTCTTGGCGACAAGGAAGAGAGGCGCGGAGCATGGCCTCTGTTGGCACTTTGGGAAAGAGGCTGTCTTGGAGGAAGGCGTTGAGGAGATAGCAAGCCCAGAAACGCCTTCGACGAATTTCGGCCTGCAGAGGCTCTGCCACTTCTTGCCGGGCGAAGGGCAACCCAATTGTCCATGCTGTGGATGAGGCGATTCCTGTCATATCATTCAACGTTTGTCAACGACGCAAGTGGCACACGTCCCGTCTTACCTGACTGGACAGCCGCCCTTCGGTAGTCATCCATGCTGTACCAGAACAGGCTCAGATTCAGGAAAACGACGATGTTCTCCGAGCATGGGGACTCGACTTCCTGCAAGGCCACTCTACCGGCCTCTTCCGCCCACTCCCGGCAGAATCCATTTTCAACTAGAACAGCAGAACCCTTTGGGTCTCTGAAGAATCTGGTTCACCCTTTGTCAGCTGGAACGAATTGGCTCCCAGAAGGCAGGGGCGTACTTTGCGGCCAGGGCGCAGAAGCATAGCACTATGTCAGACCTCACACTCTGAGCTTCGAGAGCCGCTTCAAGAGAAGGCCTGTGGAAAAGAAGCCGTGCATTGTAGATGTAGGTGAAGTAGAGATCAACTAATGTCGGGAGAAGCGCGGATGGCACGCCAAAGTATCTTTTCTCCGGGGGGTTCAGGCGCAAGGGCGAGCCAGTGTATTCGCTTGCTGGTACCGGTTTGTGTGCCGAGGCATGGCTTGAGGCTCGCCGCCGAGCCTGAAGTGCTGCCGCGACCGGTTTGTACACACACGGCCGGGACAAGCGTGTACAGCGGGCACAACTCGGCTTTTCACCACCACATCTCAGCTGTGCAGACACAGTCAGTCAGTACTCTCACGTCTCAAAGGACCACCGGTACCTTTTGCGCGTTACAGCTATCGCAGGATCTTCTAGGTCGTCCAGCCATTGATCCCTCTCCCCGTTTCCGAATGCACAGAAAGGTATTCACGAGTGCACACTGATTCGGGAAATGAGGAAAGCCTGACCGTTCATATCCCGACTGCCGCGCACTTTAAACATCACAGCTGGTGGGAACATTGTGCGCGGGGAACAGCGTCAGTCAGACCACTAGGCCAGTCAGTCACCGTCAGCCTTGCTCTTAACACTCTCTCAACACGGCCATGGCTTCGGCATTCTGTCGAAGACCGTCGGGAAATAGTTTCCCTCAAGCGACTAGCCCAATGCCTGACGGTTGCACAATTGCGGAGGATGTGTTAGCTCCGATGTCCGGACTCCGACTGACTTTGCCTCGCCTTTGTTTCGGCAGCACTGTCCTGTGTTTGTCTCGTGCTCGATCAAGGTCAATCTCGGCTGCCAGAGGAGAACTTCAGCTCTCCGCCCCGTCAGTGCAGTCGACAGCGGCGTTACAGTCTCTACAGTCGGAGCCATGGCGAATTCTGTCAGCCCATATACCATTGACAACCTCCCATATGGAGTCATCTCTACTAAGGACAAGCCCAAAAAGCGATGTGCAGTTGCGTTCGAGGATTCTGCAATAGACATTGATCTGCTATACCACGAAGGCTTCTTCTCCTCCATCGCCGAGCTGAAGGATAATGTCTTTGCCCACGTAAGTCGTTCTGGTGCCGTTGCTAGAGTCTCTTCGATCTTACCGTTCCTAGGGCAACTGGAACGCCTTTGCAGTCCTACCAGCAGGCGTCCGGACTGCCTTTCGAGGTCTGCTCAAATCTGGGATCGCGGATGGCAGCGTCCAGAAAGCCATGGTACCGTTGGCCAGCGTCCAGAATCATCTGCCTATGCACATACACAATTTCTCGGATTTCTACTGCTCACTTGAGCACACCAAGAATGTATGAGGCCTCTTCTGCTCATGCCCAGGGGAATGTACCCTGAAGCTAAACTTCAACAGTGCTCCGACGTCTTCAACTTGACCATTCAGCCGAACTGGTTCAAAATGCCGTCGGTGTACAATGGCCGCACTTCGAGTCTTGCGGTGTCAGGGACTCCGTTCCACCGCCCTTGTGGGATGTACCCTGACTCACGAGGCTCGGACCAGATCTCTTTCAAGCCAGAATCGCACATGGACTATGAACTAGAGATGGGTGTGTGGCTGTCTAGGCCCGTCCCTAAGGGCCAACGAGTGAAGATCGCCAATGCCCACGACCACATTTTTGGCCTGACGCTGCTGAATGACTGGTCAGCGCGGCAGATTCAGGGTTTCGAAATGCCGCCTCTGGGCCCGTTCCATTCCAAGGGTAGCTGTACCACTGTGAGCTCTTGGATTGTCCCAATCGAGGCCCTCGAGCCGGTGAGATGCGAGAGGAAGACCAAGCAAGAACCTGCACCGCCGCCACATCTCACTTGGCAAGAGGACGACAAGGCGACGTTCGACATCGACTTGAATCTTACTCTGCTTCGTAAGTTCCTGTTCTGCTCGTGGACAATGTCAAGACAAAGTGAATTTGAAGCTAACAGTCAATCATCAGGGGATGGCACGTCGTATACTTTGTGCGAAAGTAACCTCAACGAGTTGCATTGGACACCATACCAACAAATAGCGCATTTGTCTGCTGCGGGCGAGGGTCTTTCCCCAGGAGATGTGTTTGGCACGGGCACCATCTCAAGTCCCGTAGGTGTTCGGATTCTCTTCTTCTCTGACGAGTGACTGTGTGAGTTTCATACCGCTGACATATTGAACGCCCTATAGCGTACGAACGCCGATGGCGAAAGGATTGGACTTGGATGTCTCTTTGAGCGAAACTTGCCTAACGCACGACTCAAGTCGATGCCATCGGACTTGGTAGACACGTTCCTCAAGGACGGCGATGAAATCATTTTGCAGGGATGGTGCAAGGATAAAGCTTCTGGAAAAGTGATCCTTGGATTTGGTGAATGTCGAGGCAAAATCCTGCCTGCCATAGTGGATTGAGCACCGTACACGGGCCTTAGGGCCTTTGGCTAGTAGGGGGTACCTTCCAGGCGGTGTCCTAGGCCTGTCTATCTGGATCTCATAACAGTATGGATCATGTTGATGCAAATAACTAATAATAAGTCAATAGCCGAAATCTGCGCCTACAACAAGTCCTAAGTCAAGGGCCCCCCCATCCCTAACCTCGCTTGAATAGGTACTTATTGTAGGCTAGTAGGCACCGATGAGTCTGTAGGGACTCGTCTCGTAGTTGAAGCGGCCTCCAAGTAGCTCGTATTCCCACATTCCGCCACTGTCCATGCCGATTCCTAACTTGACACAACTTCCTATAAAATGCTTTGTGGCTGATTCAAGAATGACTTCTTCACGAGACAGATGTCTCGATCTTGCTCGCCTTTCTTCAAAATGCCCTGCAACCTCATTCCTCGTGTCGTGTATGTTTCGTGCTGGCGCACCACGTCTACTTACAAATCCCCTGTGGCCTTCAAACGACAAAAGTCGCACCCGTTTAAATACTGTTACACAAACGATCAACTTTTCAAGAGCGGTTACGCTTGGGGCTGAATTTCCATCTAGCGCTTCACGGTCCAATGAGCCTCGAGATTCAACCGACATTTCATGCCTTAAGGCTTTCCAGCAGCACGCCCTGATTGACCTGGCCAAGACACAGCCTCGCTCTTTTTTTAGGGCCTTCCTCTAAACATACATGTCAACGGGCACCTTCGCTAATCTCCAGCTCTAGACTTGCGGCGCATGGCTATACCTTGATTGTCTAAGGCTCAGTCCTCGATGTAAGTTGATGACGATGCGTGAGTGGCTGTCTTGCTTGGCCGTGTTGACAAGCGAGCTCTATCTTTTCATGATATAGCCCCAAGATACTCTGTTTGACCCCCATCCCATACTCATGCATCCAAGCTTCGTCAGCCAGCCACTGCTTCGTCATGCTGCTGATCCCCAGAACGACATTCGAGACCTTTGGCTTCCAAAGTCTCGCTGCTGCCTGTACAACTAATGTGACGCAGCAATGAGGTCTGGTATATACGAGGTTCTGCCATGGCAGAACGATGCCTCTACAGATCAAACGTACCGTTATCGACCTGGTACGTTCGAGATGGATCACCCTTCATCAATCGATCGTTCGAAGAAAGACACAACAGATATCGAACATTCAAACCGATTCAGGCACGTCCCCAGAAGCCCGTCATGGTGGGATCGAATGACTTTCGACAATTGGTTTTGGGAATTGGGAGCAGCATCGCTGTGCCTGTGTGTCCTTGCGAGTATTGCTGGCATCCTAATAGCGTACAACAACCACGCCGTTCCAGACTTACCAGAAACAATCTCAATCAACGCCATCATTTCATTTCTTGCCTCTCTCGCAAAAGCAAGCTTGATGGTCCTTTTAGCCGCTTCCATCCGTCAAGAAAAATGGTTATGGTTTATTGGCAAGCCTCGTCCTTTGAACGTTGTGGACGCTTTCGAGGAAGCCAGTCGCGGCCATACGGGTCCTTGGAACTCCTTTTGTCGTGGAAGGCAAGGTGAGAATACATCCCCGGACTATCGACACGACCCAACCCAGCTAACGTGAACCACTCGCTGTCTAGTCTTCGCGCTTTACTCGCCGCACTCGTCACCCTCCTGGCTCTAGGCTTTGAACCATTCATCCAGCAACTCGTCGACATCGATGTGGTCAATGTCCCAACAGACACGGAACCTGCCACGATCCGCACACCCACTTCGTACAATGAGTCGGTCCTTGGGAATCCAGGTGGCTCCAGCCTGTCCCTGAACGCTCTCATTGGCGCTTTTGGCGGTGCATCTGGCGCCGTTCCCGACCCAGTCTGTCCAACCGGGAACTGCACGTGGCCTCTATACGACACGCTCGCGCTCTGCACAGCATGCGAAGACATGACTGGCCAAGTCAAAGTCTCGGGCGACGTTTACGACATCAATCTGACATCGCGCTTGGAAGACTATAGCCAAGGCGACGGCTCCGAGACCACGTCGACGTGGACACCGACGTACTCGTTCCCCCACGGAAACAGTATCAACGTGAGCGTGGATCTCGAACTCGCCCTGGGCTCCGCGGTGCAATGGTCGGTGGCATACCCCCGGCGGACGGTGTGGCCTCTCAACATCGACGCCACGCCCGACTCTCTGTGGACATACTCCTGGGACAACCGATCCTATACGTCTCTCCCCGTGTCGCCGCTGTTGGCAATGGGCTACCTCGACACCACGCTCTCGCCCGACTCGTCCCGTCTCGTGGTGTCCCGCGCGACGGCGTGCTCCTTCACCCCGTGCGTACGCACGACGCTCACGAAAGTGCAGTCCGGCGCCACACACTCGACGGTCCAGGCGACGTCGTACGGGTCCGTGATCATCGGTCGCCAGCAGCCCGACGGCTCGACCAAATCAGGCTGGACCGACACGGTCAACGGGACGACCTTCTCGGTCTACGACTCGGGCCAGGGCGACGTGCAGGGCCACGCGTTCCTCCTCATCCAAGCCCTCCGCATCGCGCTGGAAGGGAACACGACCTACGTCTTCAGCGGATACTGGTACGCCGACCCCGACCCTTCGCTAGGAGAAGCGGATTCGACATTCAACGCCACCGTCTTCACCCAGACAAGCGGTCCGTGGTCCTCGGCCGGCCAACAAGCCATCGACGCCAACGGAAACTTCGCCGACATCGCCACCGACGTCGGTGTCGCCCTGACCGGACGGTTCCAGCAACTCCAGACCTCGACGGCACGAGGTACCGCGCTGCGGACCCAGGCCATCGTCGTCGTGCGTTGGCCCTGGATGGCGTATCCCCTGTCGTTGTTCGCGTTGGGGGTGACGGCTCTGATTCTTACCGTTCTCGCGACCCGCACCGCCCACATGGCCGTGTGGAAGGAGTCGACTCTGCCTCTGCTATTCAGGTATGCCGGTGCTAGTCCCGGTGCCGGTGCCGCCGCCGATGCCAGTGTCCGTGGCCGTGACCATCACACGGACACTAACGGCAATGGAAGGCCAGACAGTCCCAACACTGAAGAAAACGTCCCCGGTCGACGTCGGCCCCCAGGACAGAATGATACGACGCCCTCATCTTCATTCTCATTCTCAAACACGATTCCTTCTCGACCGTCCGTCTCGACGACACTCAACGGTACAGAGACGCGACCGAGTAGAGCGAGAGACGCGCGAAGGACACATGATTCGGATCGCGTAAGTGTGATGGTCGCGCAAGCGGCGGCCGAACAAATTCAATTACGCCGTCACGATTCATTTTGGATGTTGGAATCGAGTCGTGGTGGTGGTGGTGGCGGTGGTGGCGGCGGGCGTGAGGTGGATGAACTTGAATATGACCGTGACCGTGACCATGACCATGACCATATGCGTGTATAGTAGTACCTTTGGTACATGACATAGTCCTGCACTTTTACCCACAGCGCACGCACTTACCTACCTGAGGTATACAAGTGATAAATCCACACCCGTCAAAGTTATTCTGGATGTCTTCTCATTGACGGACGGTAATTCTCTAGGATATTCGACTTGACGCACACGCAGGCAAGCATACATTTCTTGTAGGAACTATTAAATGCCTCTTTGTAAAGGAGCCGTTTCATTATACGTGTACATACCATACATACATGCATACTTACACACCCATCTCACCTCCATCTCCTTGACCCCCCTCAGCAGAGCAGATATATATGTGTATATATGGCTGGCTGGCTGGCTCGTTGGTTGGCGTGAGCCCCATAAAGTGCACATCACTCTCTTCTATAGACATTCTCGTCGAAACCGAAAATAAAGACAAAAAAATTTGGTTGGGCATTCATCAACATCTTTCTCGTTCGTGGCCGCTGAAAAACAAACAAACACAGCGATGCTGGACGTTGTAGATCTCGGACACGCGCACCGGCAACAAGCAACATACAATGTTCCCGAGACCTTCACGACTTTCGGCCTGCTGCTTCTCAGCCACCCGGATCTTCTTCCATTTCATATCAAAATGCCGAAAAGTTGTCGCCAAAAGCTAAAGTCCCCAGGATTTCGCATTGCACCTTCGCTGCTCGGAGTTTCTGTACCAGATGCTGTTCTACAGCGAGTCAACGAGCCCAACATGACAGATCAAATGTCCACACCATTTCACGTTAGAATTGTCGTGTGTTCCCTGAGAGAGTCGTCAAACGTGAACAAAGGTGACCAATGAAATAGGTATTAGTAGATGGAAAGGAAAGATCATCAACTCCCAGTTATTCGTGCGTAGTAGAGTCGTCATAATTGCGCGTCGTCATGAATGTACTTGCTGAACGTCGTTGATGGGTATAGTGGTGATGCATTCAACACCCCTTGTCGAACAAGATCCGGCACCATGGTGGTGTGACCGCCAAAATCATTCAGAACGTTTAAATGGTCTTGGCCATACGCAAAACATAGGTGCCTCCATTGATGATCAACACGGTTGAGTTGTCGTCTACTTGTGCGTCTGTCGTTGCGGGTGAGCGCCAGTCATTTTCAACTGCATCGATGGAATGCAGTGTCTTGCAGGTCGTGGTTGCAGTCTTTTTCAATTAGCGGGCAGGCCATCGCTGAGAATGATTGCTGAAACATCGACCCCACGAAAGGTATATCTCGATGTCAGTTCGACAGATACTTGTGGCTGAATTCATGTTGAAGTGTCAAGTTGGAAGTACGTTAGGCCCGGGTGGCTCTTCTGCCTCTTCGATTTTTGGAGGCATCGCTCCTCGCCAAACTGTATTATCCTCCTCTTTCATGACTTTCACTGCTTGTCCATTCACAATTGTTCCATTGACAACTCCAGCGACTTGCATGCCTGTTGCGAGGGGAGATGAGCCTCCTGTCTTACCGGTAATCTGACCAGCAGGTGTACCTTTAAGTGTTGGTCCTTGAGCTGGGGAAGTCGAAGAGGCTCTGTCACTGTGACCCGAACTCTTTCGCGGAGAGACTCGTCCTTGCTACATGGAGAAAATTTGTTAGTCCTGATCACAATTTCCACAGATAGGTCAAATCGTGGGAAAAATCCCAGCAACTCACCTGTTTGGCCCATCGAAGACCACAGCTATTACACAAATCACGCTGGCCACTGGGACCCCTTCTCCATTCTGGCGTTACTCTTGTGTGACAGTTGGCACAGTCCTTTTCCAACTGTCCAAGGCCCTTTCTCCTCTTGCGCTTCTTCTTACGACTCAATAGAGCCTGCAACTCTTCAGCAAGCACACGATTCTTCCGTTCCATTTGCCGAAGTTCATACTGCCAACTAGAGCTTCGTGTAGTCTTCAGCTCATCGAAGATGTTATCCTCCGAAGCTAGGGACTCATCTTGGTTTCCAAGTGGAAGTCCGTGGCTGCCTGCTTGGGTCACTGCCCCCTCAGCCACCGAAGAGATAGATGATGACTCGCCCGGTATAGTGCCCGACCTACTAGACGTAACCGTGAGTGGTGTCGCGGATCCCACCGATGCTCGATCAGTTCTTGGTGATGGTGCACTCGATTTCTGGTTCAGCAAGGCAGCCCGTGTCATTTTTAGTAATCTTGTCTGCGCGAGAAGGAATGTCGGCTTATAGCCCCGTTTTGCATCACCCGGGTAAAGGGTCGTCTGTGCATGTAGAACTTGGCCGCGGCGGTTCTGGAGATCGTGTCGAAATGTCACATTGCCTCCGGCCCGTGCGATCTCTAAGACCCGAGCAAACTCCTTCTTGGAGTCTGGTCTCATCAAAGACTGCATGCTTGTTCCCACGAGATCTTCTGGTAGACGATCGAGCATTACCCGGGATGTCGAGGAGACATGTAAGAACAACCCAGACGTAGAGATTTTCGACCACAGCTCACTTTCACCTGTGGCACCTTCAGACGATAGTTCATTCTTGTCGAGTGCATAGACTGGTCTCTCACGCCCAACAAGAATGATGCACTTCTTGCTTTTGCCTTGTTCCGAATGTAATGACCCGTGTGCCTCGAACCAAGTGTAGCCGCTGTACTTTCGTCGGATTCGATAGACAATGTTGACAGTGTTTCCACTGGAAGAGTCCTTCAACTCTCGAGTGACTGGAACAATATCGCTGGGATGGCAGACAGCCGACAGAGCTGTACCCACCAATTCATTGGGGTCGTACTCGAGAACTTTTCGACTGGCGGGTGACAAATAGAGAAACAGCCCTTTCAATGACAAAACATGAACAACATCGTCTGTATTCTCCAGTAGTACTTTGTCCCATATCCGCCTAGATAGCTCGGATTCACCACGACCAAACGTAGCAAGGACTTTTGAAACTTCGTCTTTGGGAACTGTTTGGCTCATCTCGGGCAATACTTGGCTTGCGTCGGGTGGAGCAGGAAGTGTATAAGCAGGGAGAGAACTTCGGTTATAATTGATTTCATAGCTCCCATCTTTTCCAACAAGTTAGTAAATGCAATAACGAAGTAGGACAGGTCATGCAAACCACTTACCAGGGTTTCTTTTGGAAACTGAGCCTGGCTGCTCGACCAGGTCAACTTGAAAGCCGACGTAGAATTTGTAGTCCTCGGAGTCGAATTGTATGGGTATCATGGTTAGCAGGTTCATAAAGGGTTGTCCACCCTTCCGGTAATTGATCAAGCTGAGCTGTGCTTCAGCCCGCTTCGAAATCTGATTCTTGAGATATAGAACAGAATTATCGTCGACATATTTCCTTTTGACGCCCGATTGGACCTTTCCGTCTGGTGCCTGAAGGAACCGACAATTTCTCCCTAGAATTTCGTGCTTTGTGTAGCCCGTGAGCCGCTCAAACATCTCGGAGCAGTAAACGATGGGAAGGTCATATTTCTCAAGGTCACAGACGACAAAAGCGCAAGACAAATCAACAGGACCGATGTTAATTTCAGGGTGTGGTCTTGTAGCGACACGCATCTAACATCATGTCAACCGGGCCACTTAGACTGTCACCGGACTGATCTTACCAAAACACCAAGCATATCAAACCCACTTGATGAATAAACATTAGGATATTTGGACAGGCTCGGTTGGGGGACAGAGGGGCCGGAGACCTGTGGCATATGTGGTAGGCTTGGGGGATTCATAGCTCTTGAACTTGGGGTCATATCTGGCCGCTTTGTCAGCACAAGTAATAGAGGCTCAAGGGAGAACGTACTGCCACTACTAGGGAATGAGGGCTGTGCGTCCACAGATGTGCTCCTGGAAACGCTATTCGGTACGTGCATGGGCGAGGGCATAGTCGAAGCTGGTCCCACCTGCATGGCAGAAAGAGACCCATGACCTCCCATTTGTCGGGCGCTGTTGGAAAATGTCTGGGGTAGCGCAGACATACTTTGTGCCATTGCGGCCATTGGATTGTTCAAATGCGAACCAGGATCCTGACCATTAGGTTGGAAAGACATTGCGAAGTTCTGGTCAAGAGGAGAATCGGTAAAGATGGGCTCCTGTATTGGCCCAGCATCTCCCAGCGCCACCATAGGGTCGAAGTCCATCATGTTCATGAACGCCGAACCAGATTCGACTCCAGCCGACGTGCTAGACATCACGGGTGGATTGAAGGCGTCCACGGCAGAAAGAGGGTCGAAACTGGTGTTCATCTGGGAGAAGCGGGTGTTGAGGGACAAGTCTTCTTTGGACCGAGCTCTTCGCGGTTCATGGGATTTATTCATGGGAACCAAGTTTGCCATTGGGTTCGTCATTGACATGTCTGACTCGTTCGGGTTGGGGTCGAATTGAAAGCTTGCCAGGTCGGTGGCATTCATGTTAGTGCCAAATTCGAGCATCGAAGCCCTGCGGTTTCGATCCTGCGAACCAGGGCGAAAATGGGATTGGAAGTTGCTGCGCCTGCGCATCAGCTCCTCATTATTCTGGCTGATGATCTGGTGGAGCGTTTGTGCCTGGCCAAGTCCCGTTGTATCCATGGTACCGGGTGAGATAGTGTTCAAACCATCATCCTGCGCGTACCCGTCCAGGGATTGTTGAGGGTCTATGCCCGGGTAGCCCTGGCCATAATAGCCCTGCATGCCATCCATCTTCGTTCTATTTCCTCCTTATCTTCGCCGCGAACCATTCGGCAGGGGGACGTGTGCAAAAATATACAAGAAGGGTATCCGCGACGGGAGTCGTCAATATTTGTCGGAGTGATCGAGCTGTGTTTAGACTGGCCGTGCGACACGGTATGAGAGCGATAGGCACGGCCGTAGGAACTGCATGCTTGCAGCCGGCAGCACCAGCAGCAGGAATCGACGGAGAGGAGAAACTGGCCAGGTGAGTGAGGTGCGCAGTCGATGTCGGCGTCGGGTTCGTGATGAAGCGTCTTGGATAGATCGAATTCGAAGACAATTCTCGTCCGCGAGGATGGACCGGAGAGGGAAGTCGTTAAGATAGGATGGTACAAAAGAGAATGCGAGATGCGGTCCGGGGATTTGAGAGATGCAGAGACGGCACGACGGCGAGGTAGGGAGGGCCGCACAGACACTTCTTGATGGCTTTGATGACTTGTCGACGTGGGAATTCGCAATGTGCCCAAAGGAACCGCCAGAGTGGGATTTGGGGCGCTCTGTACGGAGGAGACGGCAGAGTTCTCTGACCCGCAGGCCACGGGGGAGGCCGGCTCACCAGGCTCGGGCTAACTAGGTATGTACGAACTACCTCTAAACTAGGCTCGCCAGGCCGCCTGTATGGCGCATAGAAGTGCGTCACTCGCGCATTTAGGCGTGGATTAGCGGACACAGGCGAGCCCTAACTAAGTACCTAGGCAGTTGGAGAGTCCAAAGGGGAGCCTAATCTCCCCCCGGATACGCGCCTAGTGTGGTGTTTTAGCCACTGCAGCTTTCCACCCGTCGACTTTTCCATGCTTGCCGACCTCGAAATCCACGAGATCAGCATGACGGCGCATCTCGTTAGAGGCCGCTTTCTATAACGACTTGGAAGTTGTAACGAAACGAGTAGGATGACGCTGGTCCTCGTACCGTGCTTATGTCTGTCACAGCCGCCTGCGCACCGCGAGCACTCTAGCTATGGTAAGGTGTGTTTTTTCCCACCTCGGTCTGAGTTCCATGTCTTTGCTCCTCATCGGCCGTTTCCATACCCCTGTCGAGTCGAGGCCCAGCCGCCAAAGTGCCTGTCTTGTGCTGTTCCTCATCGCAACTGCGTAAGGCATGCGGAGTGACGTGATGTGGTGGAATATGGCAGTTCGAGTAGTGGGAAACTCCGTTGAAGAGCCACATTTGGCATGGAAATTCGGGATTCAGGGTCCAAAAGGATGGATGACACTTGGCTGGAAAGCCGTCTGCATAATCATACATATAAGACACCTTGGGGTATTGGTTTCTCAATCCGAGACCCGTTACATTCCAGTAATCAAGCGCTCATGACGCCCGGGCAATAAAAACCATTATTCCAGCCAACACAGACCTTGCCATGACGCCTTACTAATTCTGCCATTGTCTGCCGTAGACAGGCACACATAAAATCCGTGGTGGCATGCGCCGCCAACGATATAGGTCCTGGAACAAATCGCTGTGACCGTACGCTCAGCCAGGATACGCTGCAGGTTTCGCCACGAGCGGCGCAATCTTCTCTCGCTGAGCCTTTTCCGACTCCATCTGAGCACGTTCAGCTTTGGTGATGCGCGGTTTGCGTGTAATTCCACCGCCTCGAGATCCTGGTCCACCGCCTCGTCCACCAGGTCTGTCTGAAGCAGCTCCCGCTCTTCCTCCTCGCGAGCCAGGACCACCACCTCTACCCCGACCTCGACCTCGTTTGACAGTTCCATCGGCTCTGTGGGAGACAAAGTCAGTATGCACATTAGGGGAATGATGGACCGGGTCATATACCTCTCGACAGCAGGCTTCTCACCCTCTGGAACGAGCGGGCCACAGTAGACAAAGAAACCATCCTTGCTAGCTGCGGCTTGCGCCTCCCAGAGTAGTTCACTGTCATCAACAAACGGATCATCCTGGTCATACTCCTCCACCTTCTTCTTCCGTTTCTTCTTCTGCTCAGGAGCATCGGCGCCGCCGTTCATCACGTCCTGGCCATTGACCCCTGACATGGCTACATCGCCATCGTTGTCGGAGTCACGATCAATGTCAACGCTGACGTCCTCATCCCCGCTTTCTCCAGCAGAAGTGCCTCCAAACTTGCTGCCCGATGCGGATCGCTCCAGGGCCGCGCCAGCCGCCGCAACCTTGGCCAGGCGCTCCCGCTGGGCAGCTTGGCGAGGATAGAGAGCGGCAAAGCCGTACTTCTCTTCGGCCAGTCGAGCAAAGTTGATAACTTGATTCTTCGGATCCTTGAGGTCGATATGGATAACAATGTTCGGACCTTTGGCATCTTTCTGGGAAGCATCAGCGCCCGAGTCTCCGCCAAAAAGACTAGCAGAAAGTAGACCAGAGCCTGGCGGTGGCGGTGGCGGCTGCTCTTTGGCTCTTGTTGGTTTGGGCGAAGTGGGGCGTGTTGGTGCCTCGGACGGGGTCTTCTTAGCAGGAGCAGACTTCTTCGCCACGGGGTCCAGTTCCATTACCTCGGCTTTGGTGACGGTTGAATCTCCATTGACGTGGGGAGAAGGGGCAGACTTGCCATTAGTCTGATCGTATGTTGAGGTTGCGATGGGTGGAGCGGTTTGCAGTACTGGCGATGCGGGCTTTCCTGGTGCAGCAGGATGATCGATAATGCTTGATATGGCGGGGGATGTGCTTGGGTTGTACGTTGGTCGAGGGGGAGTCGTCTGACTTTGCTGGGGCATTGGGGCTGATGGAACGGGGTCGACAAGTCGTGAAATAGTCATAGACCGGATAGGATCATACATAGACCGTGGTGCGGGAGCCGCTGAAGGAGCGGGCGGCGCATGGTGGTGATATCTCTGCATAGGAGATTGAGAATACATGGTCGAGTCAGAGCCCGGAGGGCGCACATTGTATGCACTGGACTGGGGAGGTGGAGGAGCTGTCGCTGCTGGAGGTGAGTAGGAAAATGGCTGATTCAGGGTGGACGACTGAAGGTTCGCATTGTATGCAGGAGCAATGTCGATGGTGTCACGGACAGTTGTTGGCTCAAGCTTTGGTTTCTTGCGAATGGTTCCAGTAGCCCGAGACTTTCTAGGGGCCTTTTCTTTCTTCTCCGGCTCTGGGGCATTGGGATCTTTCTTTTTGCGCGGTCGCTTTGTTTTGGCTTCAGCTGAAGCAGAGGGCTGTGGCGCCGGCTTTGTGGCTTGGCCTGCAGGTGTGGCTGATGCGGGAGCAGTGTCGCGCATACCTAAATTGCTGGGTGGGAGCGCATCGCGATGAGCTGTGAGATAATTCAGAGGGCCCGGAGTGCTTTCAGCGTCGCTAGGCGGACTGGACAGCTCGTTGGACGAACTTCTAGATTCCAAAGTCGTCGCCATTTTGGCGCTGGGATTGGTTGGTTTGAGCTGACAAGTTTAATGATCGAAACCCGCAAAGACCATCCAATATTGGACAAAAGTTAGAAGACTAAACGATTGACGGGGTTGAGAAAAATCTGGTGGAAAAGTGTCGCGACAAAGCGTGAAGACAGTGTTGATGGTGGCGGCGGGGGATGTGGTGAAGAAATGAGGTTGATGACGCGGCGGTATACAAGAGATGAGAACGAGGTGAATGCGGAGAGACTCTTCACGACCTCAAGGCACAAAGTACTGAAAATTATGGGCTGGCGCCTAACGTTGACGTCGCGACCGTGGAAAATTAGTGAAGCGGAGTAAGGAACGTCGAAATTGAAGAGGCCAGCAGTCAACAGGCCGGCAGAGCAAAGAGGCTGGTAGAAAGATGGGAACAGTGAAGAGAAGATGAGGAAAAAGGGAAAAACAAGACAGAGGGAAGATGAGAGATATAAGAGAAACAAGGTCACAGTAGGAAGGGCTACCGACATTTCGATTCACGGCGAGAGTGAGCTGGTGGTGCATAAAGGGAGAACAAGCAGTCACTCTGACAGATGGCAAGAGTGGATAAATTAGTCGTGGAAGCACGAAGAGATGCGACAAGGTAGAAACAAAAGGCATCAAACGCTGAAGGGAGCCAAGGAGGGAAGACGGCAGAGAGAAAGGGAGGCGACCAGGCGGAGAAGCAGATGAAGAGACAATTACTGACGGAGTGGGCATCAGGCAATAATCACAACCCAAGTCCGCAGCCGGGGGCAATACGGATACAGCAGCAAGACCCAGGGAGACCAAAAGAAACGGGATGGTCTCGGGGGGCGGGCGCATCGTGTTTCTGAATGCCATAGTCTTAGACGTATCTGGAGAACTGGAATGGAAGTACCGGACTGGGCACAGGACAGCAGTATCCGTCGTACCCAGCATGGCAAATGCGACTAATACGTAAAGGCAAAAAGTCCAGCTAGCAGAGGCCCGAGCGATGCCGGTGTGCGATTGGCTCAATTTCACCTTTGCTGCGTTTAAGCTTCTTTTAGTGCGGTTTGATCCCCAAGACCTGGAATATACATACTGTACATTCCTTTTTAGTGGATTCTGAATACCTGTAGTTGTTCGTAGAGCAGCAACATACAAATTAGAATATGCTCTCCTGAGACTGGGAACCATTTACTGCGTAACGCCATCACCACCACCCAAACATGGATGGCTGCTACTGTATCTCAACCACCTGTACTCTGCAAGATCGGGTGATCTGCGAGATCACGCAACCCCTGTTTGTGGCTGATTGACGCCTGCACTACTGGGGCCAGATCCTGTTTTAACGGTACAAGTAGCTTCGGATCCCCTTCTCCGCTGTCCGTACGATACATTTACCAGCCCGCAGTCTACGGGACACTGGCCCAACACATTGCTAAGCCGGTGCAGGTACAGGTAATCAGAAATAATCGAGTCATCAACATTACCTATAAACTCCCTTACTCCGCATAAACTACCTGACCTAGAATGAAAAACTCGGTGGGCGGAAGTTCTCGACCAGAATTCTATCAGACGAAGCCTCGCCTGCGTTAAGGGCCCTGTCGCGCTCGCGGCTGTGTCAGACAAAATCCAAAGTACTTGTACGTGCAAAAGTCACTATGCCGAATTGGTCGTAGTGCCTCCCTCACATATTTTACAATTACGCAGTTCTTCCGCCTCACAATTACTCGAGCCCATCACACAGAATGGCAATCCCAGGTCAACGATTTGAGTTAAATCTCGATGCTCCTGATTTCGCATTCACACCGTTAGAAGACAATGCTGAGCATGATGACCATTCGCTCTCCGCTGTGAAAGAAATCCAGGAACATGACACTGACTCAGTGCCAGCCGCCCCATCGCTGAAGTCGTCCAGGTCTGGCTTTCCCGAGCACAAGCGTCGCAATGTTTCTGTTTTCAAGAGGAATCAACAGGCATCTAGCTCTAGGCTGCGACCCTCTATCCCTACCCAGGTCGAACCCTCTGACCGAGCCATCGCCCACCATGTGAGCAAGAAGTACGGAGTGGATCTGGAGAGCCAGCAAAAGGCGGACATCAGCGAGGAAAATAAGAGAAGAATTGCTGAAATGTCAATAGGCGATATCGAAGAGGCCCGCGCTGAATTAATGCGAAATCTCAATCCTGCCTTTCTGGAACGTCTACTGAAACGTGCCAACATTGAAGAAGATCAACAAGAACAAAAGCAATGGCCACAAGAACCGGGCGAGGACCACGGGCATGACCAGAGCGATGCTAGACAAGACTTGGACCTCGTAGAAGACACAGGTGTGCCGGCACTCCCACCTGATGGCACCCCATCTGCGCCGTCCGTTCATTTTCCCGTCCCTCCCCGATCTCAAGACGATTTCATCCCTCTCGACCCGAACAACCCTTCCTTCTTCTCCGAACTCCGATCCCATTATTTTCCAGACACTCCTCATGATCCCTCCACAATGACCTGGCTGCAGGACCCTACTGAGGAAGAGACCCAGGCATCCCTGTACAATCCGGAAAGAGAATCATTCCTGGCCTCTGCCCTGCGCTTCGGCTTCAATGGACGCTTGATTCCTCCAAAGGAGAGTTTAGAAATTGATGTTAGACAAGGTCTGCACCATCACGGTGATGAGCCTAGCAGTGCTGGCTATACGATCCCTGAACTGGCCATACTTGCGCGATCGGCCCTCCCGAATCAGCGATGTGTGGCGTATCAATTGTTGGGCAGAATTCTGTTTAGGCTCGGCCGTGGGGATTTTGGCCCCAGAGGTGGCGAGTTGCAGGAAGCCCTATGGTCGGTGATCGAAAGAGAAAGACCTCTTGAAGTCATGATGGCAGAAGCCAACAGGCAGTCCGGTCACGCCAGTACCAAAGCCCACGCTGTCGAGGCGCTTTGGCTTTGGAGAAAGGGCGGTGGAGGCGATAGAGGTGTTTTGAAACCAGGACAGAGGTTCGCAAAATGAACTGTGCAATTAAGGTGACAAGTCTTACTCTGCAGCATTCCAATGGAGCCGCCCAATCGGGGGCCACATGAGCCATTGTATCTTCCTGAGCGGAGGAGAGGCCAAAGGGCAGTCAGAAGATTGTCCGAACCATGCTGGAACTTATCCATATAGTCATATGGACTCACAATGCGATTCGAAATCATGAGACGGGTCTCTCTGTTCATGAAGCAGAGTTCCCGTCGACCCGGGAGGCGCTAGCTTCGTGAGAAAAGTTCCAACCAGCCGATCGTGTTACTATTGGCGCCTGGTGCGCCATAATACGGAGTACGTTTACTGTACATATGTTCAGCTTCTACCTGTCTTCATGAGAGCATCGTTCTCTGTGGGGCTCAACGCTTTCCACGCCTTTGAATCGCATCTTTCCAGCCAATACTCCGTGCTCTTGTTGGTGTGTGCTTCGTCCCTGCGTGGTGAGACCCTGCTTGGACTAAACTTCAAATTCTCCACCTTCCCGGTTCGCTTTTCGGACCCGAGGTTGTAACAAATCGTGTCACACAATTCGACGAGGCTCCGACGGGAACTACAAGGCACGGGCGAAGATCGAGGGAGGGACCGTTGCTGTTTTCTCTTTCTGGTGTTGATCCCGGTATTCTAATTATTTCGACCGTTTGGTGGCGGGTGCCTACTCAACTCAGGTACGAGAAACTCGGCCGACGATATGTGGTGGCCTGGAGACATTTACAATAGAAAGCACATGATTCAGACGCCACGATCATATCTCGCAAGGGGTCGCTAACTGGTTAGTATGTGCTGGTGCCAGAAGTGCGCCTGGGTACGAATCGGTACTATAGAACAATGATGGGTTGGCCAACACTAATAAGCACTAAAGCTCACCAAGGCTGCAAGGCCCGAATGGAATAAATGGTGTGTTCCTGCTTTGTCCTTATTTATATACCCTTTCTTTGGCTTCAGTCGAGTCAGTGTAGAGTGTCTCTAGATCATTTTTCCTCCCTCCTCCTCCTCCTCCTCCTACTACCACCACCACCACCACTCGAGACAGCCACATCAGAACCGTACTCCGGCACCTGCAACTACCCGGAAACAATACGTGTACGACGACGCCATGCCTCGCACCATCCTTATCACAGGCTGTTCGGACGGCGGTCTCGGAGCGGCATTGGCGATTCAATTCCACAGACGCGGCGACCGAGTCTTCGCGACAGCTCGCAACCCAGCCAAGATGGCTTCGCTGACGGCGCTCGGGATCGAGACGCTGAAACTCGATGTCCTCTCGGACGACTCGGTCAAAGCTTGCGTGGACGAGGTCTCGGCGCTGACCGGGGGAACGTTGAACATGCTCATCAACAATGCTGGAGCAGGGTACAGCATGCCAATTGTACGTGGGGGAGCATTCTCATTTCACCTCATTTCACATTTTACTTCTTCATCGCCCACCTGAATAGTCCTACGACGACCACTACCACCTACATCCTCGTACCTACCTCCCTCCCTCACCACTTCACTTTCTTTCTTTCTTTCTTTTTTTTTTTAGAAAAAAAAAGCCGGATCCCATACATTTCACACGGGGGTGTCCTCGTCGCTGACCGTTGTTCTGCGCGTGTGTGTGTGTCATTCGCATACAGATCGACATTTCCTTGGACGACATGGAGAAGCTCTACCGACTCAACGTGTTCTCGGTCGTCCGCACCACCCAGCTCTTCTTCCCGCTGCTGCGGGCGGCGGCGCCCGACGCCACCATCGTCAACCAGACGTCGGCCGCCACCATCATCACCGTGCCGTACCAAGGCGCCTACGGGTCCTCCAAGGCCGCGCTGGACAACCTCACCCAGGTCCTGAGGCTGGAGATGATGCCGTTCCGCGTCAAGGTCGTCGACCTGCACACCGCCGCCGTCAAGACGCACTTTTTCGCCAACGTGGCCCAACAGCCCGGCTCCACGTTGCCCCCGAACAGCCCTTACGCCGTCCTGAAGGACAAGGTCCAGGCCGTCATGAATGGCGACATGGAGGGCGTCAAGCAGCAGGACCTCGACCTCTGGGCAAAGAATGTCGTCAACGACCTCTCGAAACGTAATCCGTCGGCCCAAATCTGGCGAGGCGCCAGCGCCACCGTGGTCTGGCTCGCCTCTTTTCTACCCCTGGGCGCCTTGGACGGCACGCTTAAAAAGATGACTGGCTTGGACGTCCTGGAGAAGAAGGTCCAAGAGGAAACGTCCAAGAAGTCCTGATGGGGAAAGAAACAGAGGCAATGTTATGTGCGCGCACATAAAAGAACCTTTTCCGTCAACGCGATGGGGGCATCACAAGAATTTGATCGGAAGCGCACAACGTTATATTGCACTTGGCTGTACAGATTCAGCTCTCAAAATCGGGTGCCAGAGTCGGCTCTCTTTAAAGTTAGGGTGCTATTTGACTCGTGCATGATGTAAAGTTAGCCACGCAGCGTTTGTTGTGTCATCGAGGATAGTGTTGACAGGGGAACTATACTAATGGATATGAAACTTGATTTGCGAAGTTATAACGGAGGGTATGTTGATATGTATTGCACATATCAATCCACTAGAGACTCACCGCTATCCTAGTGGTCAGTCCCCGTTGAGATATCAAATATGCCACCCGTCCGTTTTTTTTCGTTACGTCACTCTCCGTTGCGACTCAAGTAAAGCGATTCCTCAAGACGTCCCAACTTTCCTTTCTTTTTGAGAAGAAGACCGTGACAGCACGTGTGCGACCTTTGCGAGGAACAATCTCCAATCTGTCCGTTTGGCCAACAACCCCAGATAGCCTAGGATTCTATACGCGACCGTCACGCCTCCCAGAGCAATCGCGTAGGCGGCCGTGTCGACATCGAGCTTGTACAGCTTGAGGACCTCCTCCCCTGTGGCGATGGGGCATGAGCCGTCGGGGAGGCGTTGGTCCGAGGTGCATGTGAAATGTATGCCTCGGAGAGTGTAGCTCAGGAGAGCCCCGACCTGCCATTTGATGGGGGAAATGTAGTTGACGGCCCGGAGGAAGGCGTCGACGTCTATGCTGAGCACCCCGGCCAGGTGGATGGAGATGGACAGCACGACCGACATGACGCTGACGGCAAGACCGGTGTGGCGGAAGGCCGTCAGGAACAAGATGCCGAAACTCTCGCCGCACGACACAACGCAGAAGGCGCTGTAGGCGACCAGGAAGAAGTCGCCCGCCGTGTAGGGCAAGCGGGCGGCGAAGACGGTGAGGACGGAGAATAACAGGCTCGCGACGACTTCCATCGGCACTTCGAGCGCGAGGTAGTACAGGTAGAACGCGGACAGGGGGTACGTCTTGTCCCGTTGCGACTCGTGCGTGTAGATGTCCCGTTCCGACGGGTACATGGCGATGCTGTTCAGCATGCCCACAAAGAACATGGAGCTCATGGCCTGGATGTACCCGACGCGCGTCTGCACGGAGAAGTAGTCGTGCTTCAAGGGAGAGAAGAAGGCCGCGAGGACGATGCCGAGACCTGCAAGTTGCGTGATGCGCCCCAGAAGGAGGTTCGGTTGTCTGCGGAGGTTGATGATGCCGCGGTGTAAGAGGATCGGGAAGGATGTGCGGAACGGGAGGGTGCGGCGTGTGTGCACGCCTAGACTTGCTGGGAGGGAGAGGTGTGATGGCGATGATGGGTGACGGGTGTCTTCCTGTGAAGCTGGTGAGGTGGCCGTCATCGGTGTAGCTGTGGCCGTGGCCACGCCAGTGAGTGCTATTGGCGTCTGTTCATTTTCTCTGTCCTGGGGCGATGCTGCCGTAGACGACGACGGTAATGATTCAAGACGACCACCAGACACTAAGTCGAGCGCAAAGTCGGCTGGGTTGGCAGATTCTGGACACGAGTGTCCTTGTCGTGCAAAGTATGGAAGCATGCTCTCTACGGTGCCGGTGTACACTACGTCGCCCCCCTTGGCCAGTAAGACAACGCCGCCGAACTGTTTAAACATGTCGGAGCGAGGCTGGTGGATGGAGAAGATAATTGTTCTGCCTTCGTCTGCTAACCCTTTGAGGACCTCGATGATGGAGAACGCGGTGAACGCATCGAGGCCGGATGTCGGTTCGTCCAGAAGCAAAACTCGTGGATCGGTCAAGATTTGAATACCGATTGACACGCGACGTTTCTCGCCGCCGCTAATACCTTTGACCATGTCGCTTCCCACAAGCGTGTCGGCACAATCCTTTAACCCGAGTTGTAAGAGAACCCTCTCTGCTCGTTGGATCTTTTGTTCATTCGTCATAAATGGAGGCAGGCGTAGACGCGCTGCGAAATGAAGTGTTTCGCGCACAGTGAGGGACGAGAGGAGGCCTGTGTCGTCTTGGGGGACATATGAGCAAATGGACGTAATGACGTTCTCTGTGGCTGTCATTCCATTGAGAAGCATCTTCCCTGACGGCAAGTATTTTGTCATAGGCGAGTTGTACAGTCTTCCTGCCATTGCGTTCAGGCACGAGGACTTTCCGGAGCCTGATGGACCCATGATCACATTCAGCACTCCTGGGTCGAACTGGGTGTTGACGGGATGGAAAATGCGTTTGATCGATTTGCCTTGGAAAAGTCGCTGAGTCTCTAGATCCAGGCCGAAATGATCGAGTGTCACGCGAATGCCTCTTTCTTTATCACCAGGTAATGTCATCGTTTGCAGGCTCTCGACCTCATATGTAATCTCGCTATCATGCTGCTTTGCCATTTCGACTTCTGTTGTGAGGACCTGGAGTATGAGTCCTGAGAGAATGAAAAAGAACAAGGCGAAGCCAACCAGGACAACGATTGGCCTCCAGAGCCAATTCGACGGCAGATTCAGCGAAGCAAGAATGTACGAGCCAGTGTACTCTTTGCAAGCCGGGTCCGAAGGGCCGCCAGGACTAGGACAATCATAGAAGTGGCCCCGGAATTCGTTCGTACAGAGTGCTCCGAACGAGTAGAAGACGTATGCCGTCCATTTGATCCAGCGTAACCAAACGGCAATCTCTCTGGTATTGATGAAGAAGCCGCATCCCATTGACTGCAATGTGAAACTAAGGTTGGCAATCAACGACGCAATCATAAAGTGCCGATTTATGCCAACACACACGGTGGCGAGGTTGACCGCGATGAGATGGAGTAGGAGCTGAATGGCGAAGAATGTGAAGAACTGCTCTGGTTCCGCTCGAAATCCTGCCGTGAAGTAGTAGATCACAGAGTAAAAGAACGGGACAGGAAGGTCTTCCAGTACGAGCCGAGCAAACCTCCTGCTGAAGATGAAGCTGATGGGCCTAATCACTCCTTCGATCCGCTCTCGGTCGTAAACTTCAATGTCGATCGTCAGTCTATATGTTTCGAATAGCAAAATCAAATATCCCTGTAGAGCACAGGCCGAGTACATTGCTCCTTCTCGAGAGCGAATTCCTGCCATGTCAGAACCTAGTTGGTAGAAAATCCAACCACTCATGACGCCCATACTCAGCGACTCTACCATACTCGCGACAAGACCCAGTCGATCTCGGCATGTCACGACAAAAGTCCTGCGCGTGTGAACGAGCGTTTCCTGAAAAAGTTCGTTGAGCCATTTCCCCGAGTGAGCCATCTGCTTTCCATCAAAGGTCTTGCCGGAAAATACGTCTATAGTGCTGTCAATGAAGTCTGGTGACTTGGTTCTCCACAACGCCCGTAACGCTTCGACTCGTTCCGACGACATGCCCTCCGACTGCTGCGAACGAAGGTCAACCGCAGCCAGGTCAATGACGAAGTCGAATGGGTTGGAGAACGGAGGCATGTTATAGCCAGCTTCATCAAAGTATGATAAACACTTTGCGACGGGTCCTGAATAGACTGGACTGCCTCTCGACAGCAATATGAGATTATCAACGAGCCTCCAGATTTCTGAACGCGGCTGATGGACTAAAGTAAAGGTTAGTGCCTTGACCTCGTCAATTAGGCTACTTACTCGTCATGATGACCGTTTTACCCCTCTGGGCAAGCGATTTGAGAGTCTGCACGACCTGGACTGCTGATGCGGCATCAAGGCCTGTGGTTGGCTCATCTAGAATGAGAACCGGCTGGTCTGCGAGCAATTGGACACCAATGCTGGTTCGTCGTTTCTCGCCGCCCGAGCAGCCCTTGTGAACATTGTCGCCAATCCTAGTATCCGCACAGGAACCTAGGCCGAGATCGTCGATGACGGTCTCAACCATTGCATATCGCTGTGCCTTGGTTTTGGTGGTAGACAGACGCAAGTCCGCCGCATACCTGAGAGTCTCTCTTACTGTCAAGCTGGGCAGGAGCACATCTTGCTGAAGCACATAGGCTAGCCCGACCATAGACGAATCTGCCTCAAGGGTCGGTTTCTTAGCCGTGTCATCATACGTGACACTGCCGGATTGCTGAAATTTTTGGTCTTTGACACGCCGAGCGATAACATTGAGAAGTGTGGTTTTTCCGGATCCGCTAGCACCAGCGATTGCGGTCAGGGTTTGACCGCATAGGTCTGCTGAGACGTCCCGTAAAATATCTTTAATGGCTTTTTTGTCCTTGCTGCGTAGGATCCGCGCCCTGAAAGTGTCGACCGAGGAGGGCCCAGCGGTCGGATCGACTCGGACAGACACATTTCTAATCCTGATGTTCACTAGATGAGGGTTGCTTCCTCGCGCATGAGACGAAGACAAAGGACTAGCGACATGCGATGCTGCTTTGGAGAATGGTCCCGTGTCTGTGACACCCGAGGTTCTTGGGTCTGGCGCCTTCTCCGAAGCCATTCCTGAGGAAATCGGCAATTGGCTCACCCGTAGAGATGGTGGCGTTGGTGCATCATCCTAGCTCAGGCGACATTTTCAATTCTAGCACCACTGTGTGTGCGTAGTACGGGGAAAGAAAGCCGTACGGTCTTCCATACGATAATCGCGAGCAGACATCAGCCAGAACTTTGAAGGGGTCGAGTAGAAGTTTTAAGATCTTGCAATGATGTGCTCGGCATCGAGTACGGGCTGTGCGCTTGCATCTACCCGAGCTGGCGATGCCTGCTGCTAAGAGGCTTAAGAGTCGTATACCATGCCAGAATGGGTGACGGGAAGTCGTAAACGAAGTCATCTCAGGCCTGGGGCGAGCACTTGAAAGCGCGCATTTCTCCGATCCGCAACCAATGCCCCGCGAAGACCACTAGACTCGGAATCCTTATAAAGGCATACCTGGAGTCTAGGCGGTCTCAACCCCCTCCAATGAATCGACATTTATATATGCCCGAGGAGTATATATTTCAACTCTGTACTCCAAAATAGTTGCTTCGAAAACGCGATCGACTGCGAAAGCAATTTGGGCCAGACAAACCCCGAGCAGCTTGACCATCGCAGGTCGTGGTATGTTTTCCTTTGGCTATTCTGATACAAAAGGTCACTCCGATGGCCGTGATCAGGCCGGCCATCTTCTGGTCAGTAGGAATCTAGCTCGGTTTTCCGCGTTGGCCTAGTGCAGAAGTGGTTCAGACCTCACAGCTCTTGCATTTCGAGTTGCCCCAGCTGTTTGAGGTCTTGCGGTCAAAATTATCCACGTACTTAGCCAATGATCGATGACATACGCGACGCTGAGTGAGAATCCATTTCATGTAGAAGAAAGGCGAGAACTGTTCGAAATGCAATCGTAAAGACTCAAGATTGAAGCGAAAACAAAGCACGGCCGGGCTGGCGCGACGCTGGCGCAACGCTGGCGGCGAGTGCCGGATACTTAAGCTTTGAGGAGGGTATGTATGCACGAGTCGTCGAGTGTTCTCGGTGTCTCTACTGTCTGCGAGTCTGCACAATTTTCATTGTTGCTGACGTACGCCGCAAAGCCCAAAAAGGGAAAAGTCCGAAAACCGGCGATGTCACGTGGACTGGGAGCAGCGCACAAAATCCCCCATGACATTATTAGTAGTTGGGCTGAAGCCATCATCACTCCTTTTTCTCGCGTTGGGGTATGCTGTGTCTGCTGTGTCTTTCTCAGACGCGCATTCGACATGAAGCGAAAGCGTCGCAAGCACCTTTCTTCTTGCAGCGAAAATGGCGCGGGCCTCCTGTCTTATGTGAATGACGGACTGCAAGCATGCACACCGGCGCAAACTTGCCGGTAACGGCATTGATTATCACTGGTCCAGCTTCCTCAACCAGCGGTTGAACCGGCAAGTCTCGCTCTAGTGACGATGTGTTGGCCCGTCAAACCCTCATCACAACCGTGCCGATACCCGGGGCACCCTTGTTTCGTCGCCTGGTGGCGCAGCTCACCACGGTGGTTCTTTTGAACTTTTCGACAATCCTTACGCATACCATGCAGAATCCTCCAGTGAACGAACGCATTTCTCAAAAACGCCGGTGCTATGACTAACTCCGTTGCGTCCATTCGTGTGTCTGAACCAGATAAAACCTTCGGACTATGTCCTGGATATGCTTGATCCCTCTGCCACTAACTAACATAGCACTCAGCGGCTGTCGGCCGTCGCATTCTCACTAGCCTGATGTTTTTTGATTTTAGGAACCTATCATGTCTACTCAGCTCAACAGAACTAGGACTGCCCCGGATAATCGGCCACAACCACGACCGCCCTCTCAAGGCAGAGATCCTTTAAGACGAGCCAGGTCGACTCCAGAAAATGACGCACATCAACTATACTCACCCCAATTCATGGATGACCACGGTGCTCACCACTACCACCACGGCGTAATCCGAGATGATCTGAGTGTTGCGTCAACCGCGCCAGACGAGGATGAGGACGACACTACGAGTAGCGGTGAGTCGGTAGAGGAAGTACGATTTGGTGTGAGAAACACGAGGGATACTCAGGATGTCGAAGCGAACCTGCCCGGATTAAGCAAGGAAAAGTCTGCCAAATCAATCAAAGATCCCAATTTGGTAGGCCTTGCAACGTGTTCTGGTAACCAAGCATGCTTAGGACTAACTGGGCTTATGAACAGGTTACTTGGGAGGGCGCCGAAGACCCAGAGAATCCCAAGAACTGGAGTTACAAGAAGAAATGGGCTGCGACTCTGATCGTGTCGTCTTTCACCTTTATATCTCCAGTATCGTCGTCGATGGTCTCCCCAGCCCTGAACAAGATCGGACAAGATCTGGGTGTCCACTCCGAAATTGAAAAGTCATTGATGCTGTCCATCTTCGTCCTGGCCTACGCCATCGGGCCACTGTTTCTGGGACCATTGTCAGAAATCTACGGCCGCGTGATTGTATTGCAGCTGTCCAACCTTTTCTTCCTCGCCTTCAACATTGGTTGTGGATTCGCCCAGACGAAAGGCCAACTTATTGCGTTTCGATTCATGAGTGGTCTGGGAGGTTCTGCACCCTTGGCACTCGGTGGTGGAGTCTTGAGTGACTGCTGGCGAGCAGAGGAACGAGGAAAATCCATCAGCATCTACTCTCTGGCTCCTCTGCTCGGGCCTGCAGTGGGGCCTGTGGCAGGAGGGTTCATTGCATTGAAGGTAAATTGATTACTTGCGCAACGCATGTTTGGTGTCGCCTCATTCATACTGACCTCCTCTGGCAGACAACATGGCGATGGTGCTTCTGGTCCACTTCAATTGTCGACGCTGGCATCCAGGGATTGGGTCTTCTTTACCTTCGAGAAACATACGCACCAAAATTACTTGCGGACAAGGCCAGAAAACTCCGACAACAAACTGGGAATCCAGACTTGCACACTGAATGGGAGCACCCTGATAGGACACTTGCCAAGGTTCTGAGGACGAGCCTGGTCCGTCCGTTTCGCCTTCTGGGGACCCAAGTGATCATTCAAGTCCTAGCGATATATATGTGAGTTTCTGTCCGATTCCTTGCTACATCGTATCATATCACCTCACTTTATCGCTGTTGCGGCAAGTACAGCATATGTATACATACACACTTGTGCACATGTTACGCGAGTCTAACGCAAGATACAACATTCCACTAACGCAACCTACCACAATGTTCCAGGGCTTACCTCTACGGCCTCATGTACCTCGTCCTCGCAACCTTCCCCACCGTCTGGACCGAAGTGTACCACGAACAAACGGGCATCGGCGGCCTGAACTACATATCGCTCGGGCTTGGTTTCTTCCTAGGCACACAGATCTGCGCACCGATCAACGACCGCATTTACCGCAGACTGAAACTGCGCAACAACAACGTCGGCAAACCCGAGTTCCGCGTACCCCTCATGCTACCCGGCGCCGTCCTCGTACCCATCGGCCTGTTCCTCTACGGATGGTCGAGCTACGAACGCACGCACTGGATCGTGCCCAACGTCGGCGCCTGCATCTTCGCTGCAGGCACGATAATGGGGTTTCAATGTACCCAGACGTACATAGTCGACGCGTATTCGAGATTCGCCGCTTCGGCTGTGGCCTCGGCCGTTGTATTACGGAGTTTGGCTGGGTTTGGATTGTAAGTTCTGCCCACGTCGATCTCATTTCCTCTCTACCTCCTTTATGAACCTGGGGACCGTTGACTAACAAAAAGTCGCTTTTCGCTTCCTTTACAGCCCACTCTTTGCACCGTACATGTATTCGGCTCTCGGCTTGAATTGGGGAAATTCAATGCTTGGCTTCATCGCGATCGTCCTGGGCATACCCGCGCCAATCCTCCTGTGGAAATTCGGACAAACGTTACGTGAGAAGAGTACTTACGCCGCAGGCTGAATGGGCTGCAGCAGACCAGCCCGAACGGCGGCAGTTTCGGACCTATGGGCTACGAATACTCGTAGCTCTAACAAACGTCGACGAAGGACCACCCATGATCATCAATCACCAACCCTGGGGACGAGACGATGCACTCGTACGATGTGTCGCAATCAATCCAAGGAGAGACGCCGAGAAATCTTGAGCATTTATCAATGGATCAGCATTCGGCAGGAGGACTACAGAACGCGGGCGCGGTCGTTTCCTAAACAGCAAACGCCTGAAACCACGACACGAGATTTGACTCTGGACGCGATGCAATGGAGCCCATGTCTCAACACTCCTCCTCGGGGTCTCGGCGGCACCGCGCGGCGCAGTCCGAGAACCCCAGTCGACTCGCATCTCTAAACGGAGACGGTTTCCGTGGTATACAAAGCGCGTGCATATAGTACCTGGGAAAAAGGGCCGCCGTCAATGCCGTTTCCGACAGAGAGCTCTACATCGTGTATGGCACCGGGCCCCACGGCCCAGTGTGCCAAGCGAGACGGAGCCTCGCGGAAGTTCCTATATCCATCTCCTTGGTACGACCAGCTCCGGTGGTGATGAACCAACCCCCCCCGGGGGTTGCAAGACCCCACGACACTCAAGACATAAACAACTTGCTTCACTTGAGCATTGGGTCTTCAGCAGCACTGTTCTGCCTAGCTCACTGGCGGAACCCGACCTACCACAATTCCACCTGACCTGCTGGGCCTCTAAACCACCGAGCGATACCCCGACCGACCTACGTACCCACCTACTTACTTACTTAAGGTACCTACCACCCTTTCAAGGGACCTCGTGAACGCCCTTGACACAGAGCGATTCTCTGTTTCTTTTATGGTTTCTCCGCGCTTCATTTCAATACACACTGTTATAGCTCCTGTAGATCAGCTTAAAGGCTTCGAAAATGTAATTAACGAGTAACTAATTCACTTGGCTATCACATTGCAATGGACGATTCTTCAAAACGTACTTTGATGTACAGTAGTTGACCCACCAAGATACATAAGCTCGACCGGTCTTCGCCCTTCTCCACCGTCCGTCAATAATGTGCTCAAGGGCCAAAAAAAAGGGGAGAGAGATGATACACTAACTAACTAGCTGACTGATACACTCAGCACCAGGCCGGGCCGGACCAGCACCGTTAACCACGCACCCGCTCAAGTAAAGACTTGGAATGAACAAACATACGCCACGTCTTTTCCTTGTTCCCACGCATGCCACGCCGTGCCGTGCCACACTATAACTGTCATATTCTAGCTAGAGCTCTCTTAAACTAGCTCGAATCATTCCGAGCACTAGCCGGCATCCAAGGTGAGGGAGACATCCGACACGACACAACACTCTCCGACAACGAACGAAACCTGCTTCTGAGGCTACCTGGCTGGGGGCGAAGCTATAGCAACCGTCTCGTTCCAAAGGCCAATCTCGCGACAATTGTCAGCAGGATCCTCGGCAAATTTTCATCTTGGTCAAGATACGTAGTCGGCTTGGCCACTTTTGACAGGAAAGAGCGTCAGGTAGTACTTTTCTCCTTTTCCTCCCCGACAGTCCTGATTCCTCGCATTCTTTGTTCACCGTTTCAATCAAAAGAAAATAAAGGTCGTTCAACCTCGAGTACATAAAAGGTAACCAAGACTTACCAATGTCGTCGGGGAAGTGGATATTGTACCCTAAAGGTTTCATTCCTGGACCGTTTCTGGTCGTTGCTCTTTGTCACGCTTTTTGAGCAACTAACTGTAATGACTCTTTCGGAAGGGAGTACAGAGACGCCACGTCATCAGAGTCGAACCGGGAAGAAAGGGGGAAATGGCGCCATTCTAGAACTCCAGTCGCTTTCCTGAGGAACACGATAACCCGAGGATGCAAGTCAAGGAGACCGTGGAAGACAATGACAGTTTTGTGCATTGCCACAGTCCTTTCTTCGAGATTAGCCCAAAATTTTGACCGAGACCGGAGACTTGTTTTTGTAACCTTGCAAACAGACACTGTCCGACCGTGCCATCCTCATATCGAGATTGTCCGCGGTTGTTGAGGTGTACATGTTCAGATGAGATGAAACGACATGCTGTTGCACACCTTGAAAACCTTGTGATGCCTCGGAAGTATCGAAATATTCGAGAAAAAAGCATCAAGCCGATCTTGTCCGGTCCCTACATGGGTAGGTCGAGCCAAACCACATCTTGGAATGCGCAAGCGAACTGAGAGTAAGACACAGAGAGGCTCGTGTTGCAACAAGGCGCATTCGATTAATTTGGACCTGAAACCAACGTCATTGTTGCCCCGAAAGCCTTGCGTTGCACGAAACGCCGATTTTCACTTTAGGGAGAGATGATTACCCAGTCTGCCGGCATCAGCGCATGATGTTGTACGGATATTGGCTCAAATTGAGGCAAAGTCGGCATAGGAGTCGTCAATGAGTATTTTTGTTCGAGCGTTCAGGTTGTACATCTGTCGAGAGGAATGGCTTTAATCATAAGTTTCGAGACAGCCACGCAAAAGTACCGGCTGATGTGGACATGGTCGGCAGGCCCAGACCGCCACCAGCAGGAACACTTACGAGGTATTTGGAACTCGAAGATGACGCAGGAGACAACCCATCTCAAGCGAGGCAGGCATTCACCCGGTACTCGTCGGAGGTGACACTCGGTTCCACCCTGCTCGAACGCAGATGGAGTTGTCGACATTGTCGGCGTAATCCTGCGTGGTTGGTGGTAGCTAGGGTCCTAGCACGAGATGAGATGTAGACTGTGCGACAGCGTCGGTAGCATGAATTTGCGTGTGCCCTTCGCCAGGCAAAGCTTCAGAACATTCTTCACCTTTCCACCAATTAATTGCCGAATCATTGGCTCACCCTTTCAGTGACAGGTTCAAGCAGACAGCAAGTTGCACAAGCACACAAAAAAAGTCCTCCGGATTGATTCCCGGACACCACTTATGTACGCTGAGTTCATGTGGTCCTCTCAGTTTGTAAACCCAGAAGTACCGAGGCCATGAACCGTGTTCTGAGTGCGCATTCGCATCATAGCAGGGTTCAATGAGCAGGGAAGATAAGAGAGGACGCCGCTCTCTCAGCTTTCCAAGTGTCTCGAGGCATAGGACAAGCAATGTTTTTGCCGCTTCTTTGCCAATCGCGACAAGACTGTGGTGTATAGAATCGACATTGCGAAAGTGAACAGGATCATACATGTGTGTGTCTCGATACTCCGTACAATCTGGTAGCCACCCAGAACCCAGAAACTGCTTCAATACCATGGAGAATCGATTATGATTGAAAAAATAGGGCAAAATTCCCCCCTTGTACCTGCACTCAAACCACACACGCTCTTCAGACTTCTTGAATCAAGTCCTTGACGACTGCTGCCTGTCGTTGGCTCGACGTATGGAGGTATAATCCTTCTGAGGGGCCGGGTTACCCCTTGGATTTGTGGCATTGCGCCCATTTGATGAACAAGTTTGACAAGGGATTACCACCACCCCAGTCCCGTTGCATCGGCTGCACCTCTTACTATTGCTGCCTAGGTCGTCAGCGAATGCTGGACACCGTGTGGGTAGAGTTCAAGGATAGTTTAACTGAATAAAAGAAGCTGCGGAATGCTGACCGTGGAGGGTTTCCAGCACATCCACCACAAGTTGCCCATGACTTTGGATGTGAGCACATTTTAGCCTAGTTTAGTGGCCGTGTTGAAGAGTGAAAGATGTCAAACGCGATCGCGGAATATAATCCTTGTGAAGGGCTCGAATGCCGTAGCAAGACCAAAGTTTTCATGGCAGATTCTTCGGAGCTGCAGGCCTCTTTTATATGCCACGTTCCCCATGCATATGACACATGTTCTGACATCCGCAGTCAGCCAAACGGTACACGTGGTAGGGACAAATCAAATCGATATAGGGTTCTGTACCACTGATTTCTGAGATATATTTTTCATTCATCAAGACACTTGATCGTCCTGTTCACCAGGGGCCAGGGTTAGTAAGAGGGCAACACAGGCTGTCTGACAAAACCTTTGGACTTGACCATATCAATTCCGCATGGGCGCGAGAAGGAGTAGCCGAGAGGGCCCGAATCCTAGACGACTTGAGAGCTCCGAGCTGAGTTGAATTTTGGAAAGAGATGCAACCCACCATGCGGAAATCCTATATTCAGATACTCCTGTCATCAATGGCTCGCCATGTGTAGAACTCACTTGACATGTCGCATTTTGATGACAATGATTGAACTCTGCAGCATGTTTGGGGAAGTGGCTGATTGGCATGTACAGCTGGGGCACAATATAAAGTCGGCGGCTGTTCTAGGCCATCGAGCCGGCGCCCTCCAAAAGTCCAAAAGCGTTCGGCTCGGCCACGCCGAAGCCGTCGAGCAAGATGCTCGACCCTGAAACGTACTCTGAGAGGTAACCGAGGGCGTATACCAGCTGACCACCTGATGTAATTGCAATGGTTTCACAGGGCAGTTTTTCTGCAAATTGGTGCAAAGACAATGGCGAGACAATTTTTGAGGGTGGTATTGTTGATCTCGTGTAGCAATGGCTGGAAACTGTTACAATAGCTGAGAGTGGCCTTGGATGAAGGAGGAAACGGGTTCGGGCCTACTTTGCTTGAATACCGGCCTTCTGGTGCCACAGCAGCATGGCTTACAGGCAAGTTATGACTGCATCGAGCGAGCCGCAGGTAATTAGTAGCTTGTCGTGGGATGAATGTGAGGAATATGAGAGTGAAACTGTTTGAAACGTCCTGCTGGGTTACCAGGCTTTGCTCTTCTGAAGGATAACTTTTCAGCTTGTAAAGCCCGTTGCTTGTACTCTCGACTTGAACCAAACCTTGATGGCAAGGCAATTTTACAGATCACAAGCCACAATCATGGTATATCAGTTTTCTGATGAGCCCAGCCAATCTCCTCAAGGAGGTAATACCAAGCATGATTGGTAATGGCGTGTGTCGGCGTGTAAGATACTCAGCTGAACTGCATCATGCCAAAACAGGATAAGTATCTAGAAGAAGGACTCAAGAAGAGTTGTTTGAGAAATCTGGCCAGGTTCGGTCTGACGTAAAGAGTACCCCTTACGAGCAAATATACTGGCCTGGGTCGAGAGGGTATTTGCAGAAAGAGTGAGGATGGAAGGAACCAAGAATGGTAAAAGTGAGAAAGACATCTGGTGTCCAACAGGGCCGATCGAAAACGAGTTGCGTGTTAGATAGCCCAAAAAGTCTGGACATGGATTGTCGAAGATGTGTTCCATGATAATGTCGCATGCAAAGAGGGTTGTTACGCGAGCAAGGTCAGGCAGAGGTTCCAGCCACGGTGTACGAAGAACTTTGGCGGTTCCCCTGGGCGGTTCCTGCGGTTGAGCGCTCCGGTAGTACAGAATGACTAGGTTTGGTGAAACGGTAGGGAATCATGAGGCAGGCAGTTGGGTGGCAGGTAGACACCACTTTCAGGTCACCGCCCCGGGCCCAGCTTGCTATCCGATACTGGAGTTGTCTGGTGAGAAGTAGTGAAGAGGTAAAGGGCGTGGTGCGAAGTCGCCTTGAGTACTCCGTAGGTGTTTATGAAAACAAGCCCTCACGGTGTATCACGTGAGGTCATGTGATAGCTTTTGCCGCGCCCAGGGAGTAACACGTGCGAGCTACTGTACTGTACATATTTAGTGGAGATTACGTGAGATAGATTGTGCCGAGGTATTTTTCTATGGGGTGGTAGATGGTAAATCGGCTTGCTCGACACCCACGTTCGCCAACCGATTAAAAAAAGGAGAGTATCATCTGCCGTCCTCAAGCTGGCGCTGGTATCCTAGTCTGAGCACATACACTACTCTTCCTGGGAAGACGACGTACCACCTCTAGATTGGCTGAAGAGAAACGTCGATACAACCACTCAACACAATGGCTTCCTACGCCTCGACGAAGTTCGACTATTACAATGTCACGAATCCAAGCCCATACGTGGTGCATGTGGAAATCAATCGACCAAAGAAAATGAACGCATTCACCGCACCCATGTGGGCTGAACTGAAGGGGATATTCGAAAGATTGTCGACTGACCCTGACGTTCGATGCATCCTACTTTCGGGAGCCGGCGACCGAGCATTTACAACAGGTGAGTAAGCTAGGAGTCCTGACGACAGAACGGAACTTCTGACCGGAAGGCTTCAGGTCTCGATGTGGAAGCCGCATCGTCAAAAGACACTACACCCATCATTTCCCGGGAGTTTGTCGACCCATCTCGCCGGGCAACACAACTCCGCCGCTACATTCTTGAGCTGCAAGAAGCCATTTCGGTGGTGGCTCGCTGCGAGAAACCGGTCATCGCGTTGCTACATGGATATACCTTTGGGCTGGGCATCGACCTATCATCGGCGTGCGACATGCGATTCTGCCTGGCAGACACCAAGTTCAGTGTGAAGGAAGTCGACATTGGACTGGCGGCGGATGTCGGAACGTTGAGCAGATTGCCCAAAGTGGTGGGCGGCGTATCGAGCTGGGTGAAGGAAGTGTGCATGAGTGCACGGGTGTTTGGTGCAGACGAGGCCAAAGCCAACAACTTCGTCAGCAGGGTTGTCAGTGGCGGCAAAGACGAGCTCATCAAAGAAGGCATGCAGTTCGCCCAGTATCTAGCGACCAAGAGTCCTGTGGGCGTGCAGGGCACGAAGAACATCCTCGACGCTGCATGGGGAAGAACGGTGGAAGATAACCTCAACTACACGGCTGTTTGGAATGCAGCCATGGTGCAGAGCACCGACGTCGAAAGAGCCATCATGAGTGGACTGCGAAAGAAGACGCCGACGTTTGAGAAGCTGTGAGGATGTGCCAGGGACAGCCACAGCCCATCTGGCCACAGGTACAAGTAGCTATAGCCTATAGGTGGTGGCTCATGGGCAATAATACCCCCGGAATATTGGCACCAGCATTGTGGCGCACGCTAAATGACAATAAACTCGGGCCGTGGGAAGAGCAGTGCGAGGTGTCAGTGATCATCATTAGAGCACAATATTGTGAACAGCCAGAGAATGGTGATGACACGGCTCATTCGAGCGAGGCTCGTCACACCTCACGGAGTAGAGTCTCACAACTCTTCGCAGCCATCCGACAGACGAGTAAGAGCACAAAACCACGTCGACGAGATGTTTCGCATATCAATGGGCGTCTAGCAGGGATTGGCCACTCGCACCGTTGACCTCGTAGCTGTTCCTAGGACGACCGGGTCAATTGACCCTGTCAACACCCAACATAACCGCGACTCGGATCCTCCGGCAGCCGTACACTCTATTTCACCCGACACCATATGATCTTCAGCTGAGCCTGTTCCGGGTACAAAATTTGCGGCGGTTGCCAGGCAGAGGGGCGAGACACCGTACAGTACCGTAGAGGGTGTTTGGCCGTAGACGGTGTTATTGCCACAGTGACTGCAAGAGTGTCTGGTACTGTTAGGTATTGTTTGGGTCCATCAGAAGCACCATCCATCGTCGTCATCATCGCCAAGGTACTCGTAGTTCGTAGTTCGTACGGGGGAGAGCCTGTGTTGTAACTTGTCCTGTAGTCGTACCAGATGCTGTGCTGTCCTGGGGCTCCCTCCAGTTGTTCTCTAGGCGTCCTTTAGCCGCCCCTTGGCCTCCGTTTAGCTGTCTTTTAACTGTGTGGCTGCCCGAGCTTCCCGAGTGCTGTTCCTGCATTGAGCTCCCTGAGACGCCTAGAAACCCACCTAGTGACGTCGTTGCTCGTACTCGGACTGGCATCGCCTTGACAGAAAGAGCTTGCGCTCTCATCATCTCATCACCATCGTCATCATTCCACATTCTTCCGCTGTTCCAACAAAACCACCCCGGGCTGCTGCCAGTTGCTTCTGTCGCCTCTCTCGACCCTGTTAACAGCCTCTGCCACCTCACCACCCAAACCTGCTGGACTCTTCTTCCTTTGCACCTCTCTACGATCTAAACAGCCCACCTGCGCATCCTCGCCAGCTTCTTCTAGCTACCCACACTCGCAATCCTCTTCCACCGCATCAACCGCATCCACCGCCAACATGGTGTCGCGAGGACTCAACCTCATCCTCCGAGGGACGGAGGTATGGCCATGGACCTCTCGTCATGCCTGCGATCAGCTACTGACTTGCGCCTGCAGTTCCTCTTCACCCTCATCACCATGTCCCTCATCGGCAACGTCATTGCCATGGCCTTCGCCGGGAACCCGTCCCTCGTCAACTACGACATGTTTGTGGCGGCTTTCTCCATGCTGTCCCTGTTCTACCTGATCCCGGCCGCCTGGAGCGACTCCTTCCAAGGCCATGCTCTTCTCCCGCTTCTCCTTGACGCCTTGAACGTTCTCTTCCTCTTCTGCGCTGCCGTTGCTACGGCCGCCGAGCTGGGTGCCCACTCGTGCAGCAACGACGTACGTCTCCCCGTTTGCTTTGGGCGCACCTGATTTTCCTGGGGCTATTGCTAATTTTCCCCGGCAGTCATACACTCTGCACAACCATCTTACCAACGGCGCACACGATCGCGAGGGCCGATGCCGGGAGCTCCAAGCCTCGACCGCCTTCTTCTTCTTCAACTGGGCTGCCTGGTCGGCGTCTCTGTTCTTCTCCATCGTCAGCTCTCGCGGCAGTGGTGTCAACCTCAGAGGCATCCGTGGAAGAGGTGGGCCTGCCATGTCTCAGGTGTAATATCAGTGAAGCAGAGAGAAGCTGGAACGGAACTGGGTAACTGGACCATTTTTCTTCTCGGACCATCTGCATCACGTATGCTCCTAGACGATCTTCATCTATCAAAGAACCCTAAAAAGGCTGACTCCGTGGCAGTATGATTTTCCATCTTCCTGAAACGATGACCACGACGACACCCAACCCAACCACCTCCAACCCACCGTACAAACACACTGAAACTGGATTTCAATCAAAGCTGGCTTAAATATGGAAGACAAATACCCCCCCCCCGGGCGGCGCTTTCGGCTCAATCTTTGTCTGGCATTTGCTGGTCATGCCTAATTATTGGCGTCGTAACCAAACAGTTGATTCTTGGCAATGAGCACGACAATCCGGCCATACTGTGTTGTCGTTCTTCGTATGGCGTTGATCTGCTTTTGTTGAATTTAAATCTTGAAAAAAAAACCAAAAAAAACAAGTGAGAAAAGACAGGGGACTGCGTGCTATCAGATGAATGGATATTGTGTTTCTTTTTGGAGGCCCCAAATGAGTGGGACCATGTATCCTCGACTAGCCGAAGACTACTAATATAATATGTATGATACCATACCTTGATGTCGAGATTTTGAATGGGTTGCATGTCATGAAAAAGGGTTATCACACGCAGCCTCGTCTGTAGCAGCTAGTAACTACCCAACCTCTATATATATACAAGCATGCCCTCGAGTAGCGTCTGCGTAGCTGGCTTTACCATGCTTTGACGGTTGGGCAAGCCAATCGCTGGCCAGGGGAACGAATGAGTTGGCTTGTTTGTGTCGTAAGACGGCACTGACTGCAGCCAGAAAAGAAAGTCTTTGTGAAGCACGTAAAAATTTACATTTTGTCTTCTTCTGACCCGTCCTTTGCCTCCTGAACAGTGAGTGTACTGACTGCAAGTCAACCAGCCGCCAACGTCCAGTCCAACCCTGGCCGCATGCACACAATGACACTGCATTAAAAACGATATGGATGATGATACGGTATACCTACACATTCGCTTACTCACTCAGTGCCCTGTTCCCGTTCCTGACCGAACTCACGCACTCACTCACAACTTTGGTCACTCTGCACACTCTGCTCAAGGCCAAAAGCGCTTTTCCAGTTTGCACCTAGAAGTGAATGGCTTGACTGTAGGTGGCCATGGCGGCCTCCTTGAAGGCCTCGGCGAGCGTCGGGTGAGCGTGGCACGTCCGGGCCACGTCTTCGCTCGAGGCACCGTATTCGAGCGCGAGCGTGGCTTCGGCAATCATCTCGCCAGCGTTAGGACCGATGATGTGCACGCCCAGGATGCGGTCAGTCTCCTCGTCGCTGAGGAACTTGACTATGCCGTCGGTGTCGAGGTTGGTCTTGGCTCGCGAGTTGGCCGTGAAGGGGAACGTGCCGACGCGGTACTTGACGCCGGCGCTCTTGAGCTCGGCCTCGTTCTGCCCAACCCAGGCCACCTCCGGGTGCGTGTACATGACGGACGGGATGGCTCCATAGTTGACGTGCCCGAAGCCCTTCTTGATGTACTCGACCGCCGCGACGCCTTCTTCCTCGGCCTTGTGCGCGAGCATGGGGCCAAATGTCACGTCGCCGATGCAGCGGATGTGCGGGATATTGGTGCGGTATTCTTGGTCAATGACCACGCGTTTGCGCTCGTCCATCTCGACGCCGATGTTCTCGAGCCCCAGTCCTTCCGTGTACGGGCGACGACCAATGGCCACGAGGACGACCTCAGCCTCGAGGCTCTCGTTCTTGCCGCCCTTGGCCGCTTCGACGTCGATCTTGATCACGTCGCCGCTCGCATCACCCTTGGTGACCTTGGTGTTGGTCTTGAATTTGATACCTTGCTTTCCGAGGAGCTTTTGTGCTTGTTTCGCAATGTCCGCGTCCATGCCGGGGCCGCCAATCTGGCCAAGGAATTCGACGACGGTGACCTGGGAACCGAGGCGGGACCATACCGATGCCTACCGCCGCATCTGTTAGCACCGTGTATAGACTGGCTACACTGGACCCGAAGAGCTCACCATCTCAAGACCAATGATGCCTCCACCAATGACAACCATTCTCTTAGGCACTTCTTGGAGTGCGATTGCGCCGGTGCTGGTAACGACCTTCTTCTCGTCGATCTCGAGGCCGGGGAACGGGGTCGACTCGCTACCAGTGGCGATGACAATGTTCTTGCCCCGGATCTCTGTTTCACCGCCGTCAATCAAGTTGACCTTGACCGTGTGCTCGTCCTTGAAAGATCCGGTGCCCTTGATGTAGTCAACCTTGTTTTTCTTGAACAGAAACTCGACACCTTTCGTCAGGCCGCTGACGGAGTCATCTTTAGCCTTCATCATTTGAGTCAGGTTGAGCTTGACATCTCCAACGTCAATGCCACGCCTTTTCGTGTCGTGTAGTACTTGATGGTATAGATGTGAATTGTTGAGCAGGGATTTTGAGGGGATGCAGCCGACGTTGAGACAGGTGCCGCCGAGTGCACCTCTCTTTTCGATGCAAGCAGTCTACACACTCGTCAATTGCTGCCTCATATCGCAAGTCATGGAACGGGAACTCAAAATGCTCACCTTGAGACCCTCTTGTCCAGCTTTTATCGCACCAACGTAGCCAGCCACGCCGCCACCAATGAAGATCACATCGTAGTCGGAAGCTTCAGATGCGTATCCTCTCCTCCGCTGTTGGTTCTGGGACACTATCTGGAAGCTGGGAGCTGTTCGGAGGTTTGTTGGGCCAAACTGCGGAGCTTTCGATGAGAGCAGCGATCGACTCGCCCTCGGCACCAAAGTCTTGAGCATGTTGAGGAAACGATCGAGGGCTCAAGAGTACAATACGAGAGAAAGAGAACAATGCGACAAAGGCGTCGCAGGTAACGGGAGGGGAGGCAATTTGATCTGAGGAATGACCGGAGAGAACGATTCGATTTGGATAGCGAAGCTCAAACACCGCATTCTCGTTCGGGGAGGAACGAGCCAAGCCCGGGCGAAGCCCCAAATTGCCGCCCATTGATTCGACATGATGTACAGCCGCGAATAGCCACAGGAGCCACCACCACCAACACCTCCGACCAGCACCGCCTAACGATGGCAAAGACTTGACCCTACGGAGGACGAGTACAACGTCTCCGAACGTCCAGTACGAGGCTCCAGTCGAGACACTATGATACTTTTTTTTAGTCCGCTCCTTCAATGGTGGATTTCATGGGGCTACGTCGTCGGTTGAAGTGGCCATCGCTTTGCTTGGACAGCCTCGTCACCTCGATCGGGATTTTCCTAAGGCTTTGCCTACCATTTACCAATCAACCCAACCCAGCCCAGCCCAGCCCAGCCCAGCCCGGCTTCCAGAGAGGTTGTTCTGCACTCCAGTAGTAGTGACGACGAGTCACATGGTAAGATCTGCCTGGCTCATAAGCTTCGGTGATGGCAATCTCGACACCAGACCTGGCTGTTGTATCGACCTTTCAGCGGACGACATCGGCATGATTACTGATCGCTACAGAGGCCGAACAAGTGCCCACCGTTTCGATTCGTCCGGAATACAACAGTCGCACAGGTCACCGATCTCGACTGTCCAGACATGCGGTACCGGAAAAGAGCGTTGGCAAATGATCGTCGGTCAACAGGAGGTGGTCTTGGGGGATCGCTGCGGCAGTCGCCCTGAATCTATCTACAATTGCGCTCAGTCCATTGTAAAAGGGCTCTACATGAGTCACATCGAACCGAATCAGATGCCTTCAACTTTGGCGTAGTTCAGAATTCTCGTTACCGCAAACTACCACTCGAATGCTCGACTGCACGCAAAATGGGCTTGACTTTACTATCCTTTCAGACCTCCTTCGGAGCCAGTCATGATCCAAACCAGTCACCCTGAAAACAGAGTTTCAAGTCTCCAAGCGGGCGATGAGATCGAGATGAGATATGGTTTGAACAGAATGACCACGCGGTGTACCTCGACACTATTGTTATGCAGAAAATCCCCGCCGTTCTTCAAGGACGACAAACGCCGTTGCTTAGTGGGGCCCCAGCCTGTCGCGCGGGAAATCATCATGGAATGGAATTTCGAGCGCGCGAAGGAATTTCCCATGGAGAAGATGACACTGTTGGATCGGCTAGGATGGTCGCAGACGACTTCTAGTCTGTTGGAGCTGGCCATCGGGTCCCTTCGGAGAGCCTGCACGTGCGCAGCCTCGTCTCCCAGGTCAAGGACGATCTGATGACCAAAACAATCGACGTGCAGAAAGTGTACGACATGATCCGCACCAAAGACAAGAGGCTCTTGTGGAAGTAAAGCGCGACCCAGAGGTGAGATTGGTATGGCGACTTCCGGAACCATCGGGACAAATGCTCGATGGGTTTGAGAGAAGTATGTTGAGTAGGTACTAAACAGCATATCCCTCTGCGGCTGCACTGATGCCATGCCCATTTCTCACAATGCTGACCATGGCTCACAATGCTCACTAATCGGGCACCACGAGTTAGGCATGCAAGCATCAGGCGCACACAAGCGGCCCCTTGCAAACTGCGCAGCTCCCCTCGACGCGGCAAACAAGTGATCCTTCGACCCTCGCAAGTAGTCCTCAGCTACAATTTTCTCGTTGTCTTTGAACCTATCTCGGATGATTCGTTGGAAATCGCTAGCCTTGACATGGGTCCCAGAGAGGAGCAGGAGATCAAACATGACGTCGTGGTCGTGCAAGAAATCTTCAAGTGCATGCCCCACCCAGTCCCAATACGTCGTGTTTGCTTGTTTGGTATCTTCATCATCCGCCCAGAGGGTTTTGATCGAGCCCGGCTCGTAAGCGAATATACCGTCATCGCGTATCATTGACCGCAAATTCAGAGAGGATTGATCGAGATGGACGGAGAGGATCGACTGTATGTGTCTGCCCTTGTATTTTTCACACTCTTCATCAGGACCCATGGTGAACATATCCAGCCAGATCCCCCAACATTGGTCCAGGTTATAGAGGTGTAGAAGTGAGAGCTGGCTCTGTCTTTGGAGACTGAGTCGTTCGAGTCCAGCCAATTGAAGAAGCTGTTGAATTGGCCAGGTGAAGCGATCACTGGTACTATTTTCAAAGTTTGGGATCGACAGGAATACCAAGTTGTTCGATAGGGGCACCGATTTATTCGCCTCGTTGAAAAGTGTGCGCATCATGTCCGCGATCGGGACGAGTTCCTCGTATGTGGTAGTCTGAGGCGAGGTTTCGACGGGGTGCTGTAGGCGCCCCTGATACCACGATCGTAGCCGTTGTAGGAACGGAGAGGCAGTGCTCGTCTCAGGACTTGGTAGCTTTAGCATTATTTTTTTTTTTCGGCTGGCAGACACCTCGACCAGGTTCGGTGCATGGGTGCACTTACCTCTTCTTGAAGTCCCGCACAGTGAGGTCAACATCGAGACGGTCCCATAGCTTCATGGCTTGAGTATATGCTTCGGTTCCGTGTAAAAAGGCGACGTCGGAGGTAGTACCATTGGCAAATTGAATGCTTGCGGAGCTGGAAATTGATCAGAACAATTTTTCCTTTGAACTTCCTTTGTCTGACGGTGCGTACCCATAACCAGGTGCCAAAGACAAGCCAACACCTGAGAGAGAAAGCACGTCAGTGTCCCGCCTCCGAGTTGGGTTGGATGAGGGCAACGGCCCTTCGCAGCACGTACCTGGGGCTTCTTGGAGGCTAAGGGGACGGCAACTTTCACAGACAACTGTGGCGTAAACGCAACTCGCAAGAATAGCGAGGACGAAGATGATCCATCCATGGCTCGGCGATGATGGAGGACTCGATGAAACCATGTTGAGCATCAGTAACCGTCACCTAAAGATGGAAACAATGACTTTTCCGAATTAGGTTAGCAGGAACGCCTCAAGGCATCGTCCTTGAAGCCGAAACTCGCACTGAGGTCAGGTCAGCGAGCGACGGAGTATTGCAATATGTCCAAAGGGAACGAATCTACCGCCGGGCTAACAAGGCGCTGACGTTCCAGCGGCTGGCCGAGGCGCGTAGGAGCGCGTCAAGTTCGGAAATTGAGATTGTCTCGGCCTTTGTACGGTCTTCTCGGGAGAGAAGCGAAGTTTGTAAAGTTGATAGGAATGGGTTGGCTGTCAGCGGAACGGAAGAGGTTGATATTGTACTCGTAGGCGCAGGCGTGGGCCAACACCAGCCGCTCCACCTGCCAAACCTGTGCAGTGTCCTTGTGAGTACTGAAAAGAGAATTTGTCATTCACCAGGGGGGTCTTGAGGGGGGCGCTCTACTATCAGACTATCGTATATAGTTCGATGGCGTACAGGCTCCTGCAGGGGCACCTCGAACCAAATATCGTCATGAGTACTACTGTACTAGCGTCTCGGAAGCGTCACCCCTTGACCACTTGTCTCTATATGCCTTGGCGGGCAAACTACCTGGTACTGATATATAAACTGTCACAAACCGAGAGTTAATTGATGTTTGAATTGTCGTTGTTAATGAGCTCCCGTCTTGACCTCGCTACATCTGAATCACAGTTGTGCAAAGTCTGGCTTCTTCCTTCTCAATTTTGTCACGCTACACATGTGATCGCTAAAGCACCAAACAACAGTTATGGAAAACAACACCACAACCTCTCTTCCCAAATAGCAAGCAGATCACAACGCCATTGCGACTCAGGCATGTACAAAAACTGTTAAACATAGCGACACTCAAGTTGCTCGTGACGACCCTTCTTCTGTGCACCTGCTGGTGGGCTATAAGCTTTGTCTGGCCGAGGCCGACGGTCGGGCAGGGAGCCTGGCGCTAAACTCTCGCCATGGAGTGATCGAAGGAGGCGACCCATTTCTTCGTTCTCGGTTTGCAGCCGTATGATTTCTTGCTCTGAAAGCTTCAGTTGCGATTGTGCTCGTTCAAGGAGCGCGTCTCTCCGCCTCCTGTAAGATCGCTGCGCTTCTCTGTTCTGCGCTTTCCGGCGCTGTTGTTTTTTCAAACTCGTACATTAGCAACATTGACCGTAATCGGGGCCAGCCGACGCTGGGCGCCACGAAAGCAAGACCGACCGCTCCCCTCGAAAAATCCCCTCGAAAAATCTCTACGTACGTACCTCGTGCTTTTCCTCCTGAGGGCTGCGTTTAAAGAATGGACTGATGCGATCTAGGGGAGCCGGGTGTTGCGCACTCGCCCACGACCTGTCGAAAAACGACTCGGACGAAACAGATGGTGAACCGACCGACGAAACGAAATCCATATCACCACCACCACCACCACCAGCAGCAGAATGTTGTCCGCTTTGGGGGAATGTGACTTCCATCTGCTGGTGGTCGTGGTGGTAGTGGTGATATGAGCTCGGCGTGGACTACACGTGGGACGTCAGTCAGTCTTGGGGCTATTGATCGGATGTGTCAATACTTTCAATTTGCTTTACCTTAAGAACTTCTTCATCACCAAAGTCCTCCCAAAATGCCTCTTGCTGACCGGATAAGAACCCGTCAAGGTCGTGCTGAGATTGTGTCGACGCCATATGGTGAGCAAAACTCCGTGAGAATACATCATCACCGCCATCCACAACATGTGCCGCAGAAGTCCCATAGGCCATGTAGGCCGTAGATTGGAAGAAAGGTCTGTGGGACATCCCCGGAGCGGGTTGGATCACGGGTCAACTGGCAAAAAGGTCCTCTGCGTTTTGACGACTTGGGAAACTCGAGAGGTCTTCTGAAAACTGCCACTTTGATCTCGTCCAGATGAAGGAGCTGTTGACGCCTTATATACACCACAATCCAGTCGTGGACAAGGCATCGTGAAGCCCCAGACTCAGGACACGCCGAGCAAGGCTGCGCGCCCTTGGCCAATCATCAACGAATAACTTCCTCCCCAAAGAGGAATAGCCGTCTATCTGGCTCAGATCGGACTCGTGGCGTGTGGCGCGACGACATACAGTAGAACATACACTAGGAAGCTTACTTAGTAATTAGCAGGTGGTCAGGAGCAGCGCTGGGCCTGCGTTAGCGTCATTACGTTGCTCGACTTGCGAATGCCTGCGCGATTCGCGTCCCAGGAAGTCATATTGCACCCGAGTGGAACTTGGATCGGTCGATCGTGGATTACGCGAATGCTTGTACAATATCGAGCTGGGATGTGATTTTCAATCTTCTGCTCTTTCATCTTTGTTGTCGCCTGTTCCTATCTTTTAGTGTCCGTCTCCGCTTTGCATTTCACACCTTCAAGCCAGCACCATTATAGACGCCGCAGCAATCAACAAATGTCAAGCCTTGAAACATGATCACAAGTGGCATGATTCTACTGCCACTCGGTTTTAATGATCGAATGATGCAACGGCACTCCTCTGACACAAAATTTGTCCTTGGATAAGCCCGGATGATATCGCGCTGCAACTCTGCTTCCAGATCCCACGCAGGGCGCCTCTCTCCACTGGCAAAGAGTGCCAGACAACAATCACAGGGGTTCGAGCTGTGTCGATGAGCCCCCGGAAACTCTTGACACGACCCGCAGTACTCGCAACGTGGCCCCGCCCCCACCATTTGAGCTCTGAGTTCCGGGAGGTTCAGTTGACTCGCAACTCCAATCGTACAGCCGCCTAGAAAATCCATGAGGACGTCCCGAATCATCTGTCTGACTTCTGTTGGACAACACTTCAGAATGTTCAAAAAACGGACCGCCTGCCAATCGTGATGCTGGTTGTCATGGCGGACAGGTCGGTTGCACATCTGTTGTCAATAGTGTCAGTAGCGCTTCCAATTCACGACAGATGATCATTGATATGGGCGTCTTGCCAATCCCGAAGTGCCCACCCCATTAGCAGAGAGAGCTACAGGAAAGCAGACTTACAAAGAGAATCCAAAAAAGTGAGAGGTGATTTTCTTCCGTCTGGAAATTGAATCGATGTATTTCAGACTGCAGGAAGACGAGGTACTCTCGACGCACGTCGCTATCGGAGCTACTGGTTTTGATTGAGAGGAGGAGAAGGACGAGTAGGTGGATCATATCTTCACTAAAGAAGTCGCTTGGACTAGTCTGCTGTGATGGTGCTCTTGCTAAATACCGGTATAAAAAGCTGTCAGGATGCAGAAATGACCTTTTATCCTTTCCGCTCGCAATGGCATACTCCTGGATCTTTTTCAGCAATTGCGTCAGGAATTGATCAACTCGCGCTTCGTAATCTGTCGGATCGCTGATCAAGCTCCAGCAGGCATCGTTCTGCATCATCTCCCGGTACAAAAGCTGTCGTGAAATCCGACGATCTGAAAAAAGCCAGGGGTCTTCCCTCATGAAGAATATGGCTCGGACGCCCTTCGTGTGAGTCAGCATAGATTTGAAAGTTTCTCCGTTTGCTCGCAGCGGTATAAATTTGTAAACAGTGAACAAGGCTATTTCCAGACGACTCTTCTTCAATGTGGCGAGCTCTTTCTGAATGTCTGTCATGATGCCAGCCTTAAGCTCGCACGCTTGGAAATAAAGCCTACGACGAGCGTCCAGGCTGGGGATCCACCAGCCGAAAGAGCGTGTCCACATGAGGCTGTTGCGTCGTAAATGCTCAAATGCGTCAATCCGCATTGGTATCGAGTTTTGCAGTATCAGCTGCCGCTCCTCGGCATAGTGGCCGTTGTCATATTTACGGTAATGCTTGATCCTCGTTCCTGGCATAACAGGATCTGACCATATCGGATCTGGACAGTCGTTAATAAATGATACGCAGGAAAAAGGGCGATGGAGAGGGATGCTTCTGAATCTCGAATCGGATAGATATTGATCTTGTGCTTGCAGCTTAAGAGATGGCAGTGCACGCTTACGCATGATTTCCAGAACACCGGGGCTCAACTGCGCTGGCAACACAGTGGCAGGGTTTTGCACCAAAGGCAAGGAAAGTGCCTGGCGCGCAATGCGACGCAGATATATTATGCAATCTGAATAGTTCAAGCCATATCCTGGACGACCTGACTCGTCAAGGGTGGCTTCTCGGGAAAGAGTTGTTCTACTGCCTGTTGGCAAGACGGAGCGCCCAGCTTTGCTCAAAGCTCGCTTTTTGCGATTTGCCGCTTTGATAATGTGAGATCGAACACTTTTGTTGCTGGGCTGGGGATTTCCACTTTCCACAAAGAGAAACTCGACCTGACTGTTGGTTTCAGACATGCTGGCGGTATGATTGCCAAAGACAAAGACTTCAGGTGAACAAGAAAAAACTTCGAGCTCCAGAAGAGCTTTGGAAGTTGGGCGTGAGATAACATGCCTGGTGCGCGGCTGTGGGGCTTGCACGTAGACACGACCCCGTCTGACTAGCTCTGTCTCTGGAAAGCGCCTTTCTCGCTCGCTAAGGTGCAAGATGAGGTGTGACAGTCGACGAGTAACGCCGGGCGCGAGGTAACTCGTAGCGTTGGGGTTTTGTCAGGACTTAGGTAAAGCTTTATGCAATCAGCGCTATACCAGTTAGGGAAACAGCATTAGGACTAACAGGGAAAGGGCACTAGCCCAGGCGGGAAAGAGCCTCCTTGCCCACTCGGATATTGTACAACGGCGCATTCAGACAGTCGATAAGTGAAAGGTCATTGCAGTTTAATAATTAGTTTGCTGACCGTACCCGCACCATTTGATAAGCCTATGCATATTTTTCTGGCTCTTAGTATAGTTCGAGACCTTGAGAACGCAGCCTTATCTGCGAGATCAAGCAACCATTTGCTCCAGACCCCCGCTGTTGTACATCATTGTGTATCCTTCCCGATGTTATTGGGCTATCAGTCGAGGATGGTATCAGGTGGAAATCGAAACACTCGGTTCTGATCGCCTGGGTTATTGCCATGCGCCGGTGGGACTGACAGTGGGATGACCGGTACAACTGACCACAAGAGGCTAGCGCCCACGTCTAGAACCGCCCCAGCATTACTTACCTAACGGGGAACTAACGAAAGACGCAAGTCTAAGAATATAAAACAGTGCGGTCGCTCGGTTCCTGCGTCATGTGCAGACCATGGCACACTGGGACTAGAACCAAAGCCAAGTCAGACACAGCGACGATGGAGATTGAAGAGCCAACGTCAAATGTTGAGGTCACTCCATCCTCACCATGTGAGCATCAGAGTAGCAAAATCACCACCAGTTCCCAGGACGTGGAGAAATGCAGTATGGTCGCCTCCGTTCCCTCCAAGCATCAACCCGTTACGTCCACTCTATCTCTAGAGGGCGTCAACCAAAAGATAAGATCAGTTCCCGGAAGTCTTTCATGGACAGCTCGTGCACTCTTGGTTTGGCTTATACTGCAGTTTGGAGCCGACTCCAGTGTACCAACAAGCAATTTTATGATTTTTCCCCTACCCAAAGGTAGAAATGGTGCTGGAGCGCCACCTTCAGGGACTCAAGAGACGGCAGGGGCGCTAGGGCTCGGCTTGAAAACCACCACAACCATTGGTACCGCATTTTCATTTCTCTTCCCCGTCTTCAGCGTGGTATTCGCATGGCTTGCAGACGTGACGTTTACCAGGCTGCAAATTATCATGTGGAGCAATATCATGGGTTGTCTGTACCTTGCGCTGATGCTGGTGGCGTCAATCCCATCGGTGATTGCGAGTGGACATGCAGCAATACCATTTATGATAGGGATGGCGGGCAAGCAAATTGCGAGAGGTGAGTTTAAGCATTGCCGATATACGTTGTGACGGGACTGAAGAAATTCCAGCGATGGTGCCGGTCGTTATTGTTCCATTCATTCTGGATCAGTGCTCGCCAACTGTCGACTACTTCTCAACCTTAGCCTCCGGGGAAAGGCTGCTGGTGAAGCGTCAACTGACGGAGGAGAAGGTTGCGTACTTGACCAACGGGCTTGTTGACGCTGGCGGCTTTCTTTCCATCGCAACGACCTTGTTTGAAAAGAGAGTCGGCTTCTGGCTAGCCTGGCTTGTACCATTCTCCATACGGGTTGTGTTGTTGCTCTCACTGCTGTTGCTGCGGCCTCGAATAGTCAGGAACCAGCCTGAGAAAAAGGGAATGTCCAAGATCATTTCCATGTTGAGAATGCTCATTCGGCAAACAGGCTGGAGATTTCTGGTCCACGATGACGCCTGGGAGACTGTCAAACCCTCTCGCCTGAGAAACGGCGACACCACAATCGAACAGAATCGTGGCGTCGTGAACTGGGAAGATGCAGACATGGACGCCCTGCAGCGCTTCTATCACGCTTGCAAGATTTTCTGCATCCTCCCTCCCTACTTCCTCGTTGGCCCAATGCTCGGAAACCTCTTATCTGCTCAGGGATCGAGTATGACCACAAATGGTACGCCCAATGACATCCTCGACAATATCACGTCTGCAGCAGTGATTATCGTGTCCTATGCGCTCCCAATATGGATTTTTCCATTCCTGAGGCACCACGGCATCAAAATTCAGCCAATCCTACTCATCACCGTAGGCTGTACTCTCATCATTGTTGCTGCGATGATCGGGGGCTTTTTACAGTTGCATATCTATCACACTTCTCCCTGCGGCTATCACGCTACCGGGTGTACGAAGGGGACTGGTGTATCCCCAATCTCGATATGGGCCCAGACGCCTATCTACATCTTGCAGTCAATCTCGATCGTCTTCACCGTTTCCAGCGTGTTGGGTGTTGCTTGTCATTTTGCACCAAGAAACATGATGTCCGTCTCGATCTCCGCTATGATCAGCGTATACATCATCAAAGACGCGGCAGGGTTGGGTCTGGCACAAGCAGTATCAGACCCCTACCTCGTTTGGGTGTGGTTTGGTCCAGCATTGGTGATGTCGGTGCTGACCGCGATGTTTTACTGGAGTTTTCGCCATCTTGACGAGGAACTCAGCGACAGGGTCCGGATTGGCTGATCGCGGCCGAGTAGTTTACCCAAAAATCTGGCGAGCGTTGCTTGTTCCCGTATACAGAAAGATACCGAGGCACGCACATCATGCGATGCTGGTAGAGTTAGACAATGGATGCGAGGACCGGGGTTTTGCGGTAGCTTTGGATGTCATTCCCGAGACCACAGGGAAAAAAGCCATAAATAAGGTGCTCCCCTACCAAGGTAGAAATGAATGCTCTTTTGTAGATGGGGGGTGTCAAGCCCGCTCTGTACCTGACCCTGTGCATTCGTTGAGGATGTAGCTTATGACAACAGCAACTACGGGCGGAGTGACCTGGACCTCAAGCAGATGCGAAGTCTGCGCTGATAGGGATCGCTTACTCTGCCCGAGTTTTACATTACTATACATGGAGTTGGGGTCGAGGGAGGGATTCCCTCACAGCCTGAAAAATGCCAAAAAAATCTCAACTCGATATTCACCTTGTAAAGGACAATCAGGGAACTCTTTAGTGTAAAGTAGGACAGTATCATCCCGGTCGCTTGTTGTAGTCGATGGTCGTGGTAGGACTCGCTCAAGGAATCTTCCCTGTCGCGTATGAAGAATGTGGTGATATTGGGTATGTTGGCCATTAAAAATCCACAGGACCCGTCGTGCGGTCTCCGATGGTATTGATTTTATAAAAACTCAGGTTGATGTTCTCGATAGTACGTGGCCGGGTCGGACTTTGCGTACTCCGGATTCGCCAGGACAGCCAAAGGCCACCTCAAAGCCCACTGCCACCTATCCGGGAGTGCACTCCGGATGCCGAGGATTTCCTTCTCAGCCCGGCCCCGGAACCACCAATAGCTGTCGACGTACTTGACGAAGACCATGAGATATGCCATGATGACCATCGCACGAGGCCTCTTTTGCGCCAGCAGCGCAGTGTACGACCGGGGCACGAGTGGGCCGAACGCCATCACCCGCATACACACATAGTGGCTGGGCTCGCCGGCGCGGACGGCGTTGAAGATGCTTCCGATCATGGCCAGGGTGCTTTGGTACGCTTCACTCTCTTCCTTTGCCGCCTTCTTTGTGTCTCCCTGGTCGGCGGCGCGTGACGGCGTTTCGCTTTGGATGTGGCTTTGCGGGTCTTCAAATTCCAGAATGCTGTGAAAAGGAACAGTGTTATTCGGGTCGAAGAGGGCATCGGTGTCGTAAAGATTGGGCTCGCGGTTGGCGCGCATATAATTCATCACGGCGCCCTCGTCGAGGTAAGGGACGGCTTCTTGGAAGACGGTCTGTATGGCGGACGAGAGTGTCATCCACTGTATGGGCGGGAACCACTCGGCGTCGGGGGCCGTTGGGGCATCCGAGAGGAGACAAATCGACATGATGGAGAACAGGATGGACGTCAACCCCACGGCGTCGGCATTGTGCGGACCCAGCGACGACAGCTCATCGCGCTCCTGTGCTATGGCCATGTTGATATAGGTTCGGTGTATCTGCGCGAAGTCGACATACTGGAGCGCCTTTGGAAGCTGAGCCGGATGGGTCTGGTGTAGGTTTTGCAGCTGGCCCATGCACAGGTAGAGCGCTGTGACGGCGAAGATGGCATTGAGGAGGTATGGGTGATCAAAGGCCACCTCGGTCGCGTGCACAGCAAAAACGTCCTTCATATGCCGGGTTTGCGAAGAAGGAAAACTCTGGCTGACGGTAGACTTGAAGCGGTGGAGCAGATACAGCTCGATCTGGGAGCGGAGAGCGTCTGGCATTTGACCCGGCAGGTTCCTGGCGTAAGGCAAGTCGAATCCGCTCGGTGGGCTGATGCTGACATCGCGGGCGGACACGCTGGCCGAGCTGCTCGATGCAGGCTCGGGGGGGCATCGTGCCGGGGGAGATTTGGCTGTTGTACGGCGTCCACGGGGCACAGAGGCTGACTTGGGCGAGGAAGAGTATTCGAGGTATTCGCACTCGACGCCGTGGCGGGCACATGCGGCACAGTTGGGGCGTTCTTCAGTGCATTTGACCTTGCGCTCCTTGCAGCGCCGACAACCGGTGCGAGACTTTCGATGGGCCAAGCGTGGAGGCATCAGACCCTGCTCGCAGCGGCTTCCACCGTCTTAGATAACGTGTCAAGGTGCGCTATGCTTTGGGCCGTGGACGGTGCGACTAAGGTTCGCACAATGGATGGCGTTTGACGAAACCGAGACCGAGATTTAGTTTAGTGGGCCGGCAACCACGAATTGACAGGGTCCTGGTCCGTGTGGCACTATCCTCGTCCTCTCAAGGGGGGGGTGGGAGATGATGATCCAGAGAGCCCACCACTACCCGACGAATCAGAAGCGTAATCGGATGTCTGAATTAGAGCCAGCACAACTGACTCGATGGTTGTTTTGGTTCTTCTTGAGTCGTGGTTGGGAAAAACTCTTCCACAGCTGAAAGGCTCGGTGCAGCCTCGGTGGGGGGCCTGAAACGACGAGGCTGAAATATCTTCCTGAATTGGTCTAGTGGATTTCCTGCGCCCTCGGTTTCGCATTTCGCATTCTCGGGTTCCGCATACACATACTCCGTACAGGCATTTCCATCTTCCCTGTACTCAATCCCAGACTTTGTCAACAATATCGCCCTATTCGTCATTACACTGTTCTCTCAGTGGACAGATTGAAAACCCCTTGCCAACCGATACCGAGCAAGCAACAGCTCATTCCATCGCTGCGTAAAGGTGGCTATGCTGTTACCCCGGCGAGTGACCAGGGCAGGACTCCTGAAAATGTCGACGAGAAATTACATCTGGAGGTAGCAGAGCTAGGCCAGTAGGTAGGTCAGAGAGACAAAAAAGGATGTATAAAACACCTTGAATTTCCCCCAAGACAGAGGGCCTTTGAAAAAGCCATCCATCTACACTGTGCAAATCATACATACCGTCGTGGCAGTCGTCGTATCAGGTTCAGCGCAACGCCTTATTCTTCTTTTCATTCTCCCGTCCTCAAAATGGCCGTCGACGACAGCACCGCCCTCTCCATCGCCGAGCTGGCAATCTACACGGTCCTCGTCCCGATGACATTCTACCTATTCTTCCGGCACGGCATTCGCTCAACCCTGGGCTACATGTACCTTTTCGCCTTTGAAACCCTCCGGCTCGTCTCGGCGGGTCTCCAGATCAGCGCACACTCTCAGCACAAGACCTCTTCGGCAACCGGATCGATTATAGCCTCCGTCGGCTTGAGTCCTCTGATCCTCGCGCTCTCAGGCTTCATCTACGAACTGTCCAGTTATAGCTACTACTACTACGACGCCGACGCCGACGCCGCACCGGAAAGAGGGAATGCCTACCACCGCCATCGTCGCCTCCTCATCGTCCAAGAAGTCCTCGTGCACCTAGGCGCATACACTGGCATTGCACTTGCGGCATCCGGTGCGTCGAAACTTGCAAAGTCCTCGTTCTATTCTTCTTCCACTTCCTCTTCCTCGTCGTCCTCGTCTGTCACCACCACCACCTCGGCCTCTGATATTGAGCACGCCCACACCCTCCAGGAGACCGGTACTATCCTGATCCTCGTCACCTGGATTGGACAAGTTTACTTGTGTGCTCGCCTTTGCGTGACGCGGGGTGTCCTCACCCCTGTGTCCGTGTCGTTGGGCGTGGCGTGTATCTTCGTCGGTGTGCGGTGTGTCTACGGCGTGGTCTACGCATTCGATCATAGCCGCTCTTCACCCGTCAACCCCGTCACGGGCAGTTTCGCAGTCAAGGTCACCTTGGTGGTTTTGGTCCAGCTTGTCGTCGTTGTGGCTTTGTTGGTCGTCGGCTTTCTGACAAGGGATATCGCGAGGGATCACGGAGTGAAGAGGAGATGGTGGAGGAGAGGAGGACGAGGAGGATGGTACACGACCACTTCGAGTGGTGGGCCTGTGGAGATTGATCGGGGGAGTGCTATTCCTCTACGATCGCCGAAGTGATTGACCGAAGGAGTGAGTGATGTTCGGTGCGCTGTAGCCCCAAGAGGAGAAGTTTGAGCAAAGGGGGCCGCACGGATGGAGGATGGACCGACTGATGGATCGATGAGTATCATGATTGATCATACAAATGAAACGAAATCATCACGACTCATCAGCCCATTGAAAGGCCCTCACCTTGTATAGCTGGCTAGCTAGATAGACACCTCCCCTGTACCTTACAGATTATACCTACATCTCGCCTATGACTACGACTGGTCAAGAGTCACCGTCCGGACACTCCTTTTCTTCTGTTCCTCCTCCTCCTCCTTCTTTTCTCCTCCTCCTTCTTCTTCCTCTGTTTTACCATTGTTTGGAAACCAGGTGACCAGCTTTTCAAGAGCTCGAGTAAACCGAATCTGAATGAAAAGTATTCAATAATCATTCTAGAGCCATGTAGAAAGAAAAAAAAAGGAAAAAGAAAAAACCTTGCTATGTCGACCACTTCCATACCGTTCCGTTTTCCTATTTCGTTTCTCATCACCATTGCAAAGATATCACGTGTGGACCACCACCACCACTTGAGCCTGATTCTCAGAATTCCAGATTTAATTCTTCATTCTACGCTCATTCATTGAACATTTCCCAAAGGATAAACCCATTCATCCCCGTCACTCTCCTTGATCGAATCCGTCATTCCTTCGCACACAAATTCATCAACATCCAAAGTTGCCCCCGTAATCGGTCATGGCAGGATACCCGGCCCAAATCAACCTGGCACTCGCAAACGTCGCGTTGCCCCTCGTCGCGCACGTCAACGTAGCGTACCGGAAACAATTGTTGCTTCCGCCCTGCGACACGGTGCCGTTTCGGTACGTCAGGCCGACGCAGCTGTTGGGCACCAGGATGTTGGCGTACTGGCACCAGCTCACGCAGTCCTCGAAGCCGAACGCGAGCAACGGCTGCATCGACGCCCCCGTGAAGCTCGTCGCGCACTCGACCTCGAACGGCGCCGTGTTGCCGTAGTTGGTGTAGCTGTAGCAGTACGGCACGGGGGATCCCGAGGGCGCCGGACACGAGTTCGCAGTCGGCGCCGCTGGGCACGACGGCTGTACAAACGTAGTCGTCGTCCTGGTCGTCGGCGTTCCTCCGCCCGCGATCGTCGTAGTTGTCTGGCTATTTCCGCTGGTGACGCCGCTGGTACCAAGGCCAATGGTACTTGTAGTGCTACCTACCCCAACGAGGGACGTCAGGGAGGAGGAGGAAGCACGCGTCGTGAAGGTACCCGCGTTTGGCGTCGTCGTCGTCGTCGTCGTCGTTCCAAGATAGTGCGGATCATTGATGGCTGGATACCCAGGATACAATAATCTCGCAGAGTCGATTCCACTCCCAAATGTCGTACTGCTTACACTGGACATGAGGATGCAGTTCGGATTGCTTCCGGAAAGGGAGCCTAAGAAATTGACGCCCACACAACCGTAGGGTATAGCGACGTTATAAAGCGTGCAGAAACTTATACACGTCGTGAGCGTTGATGCCGTGGTCGAGTTGCCCGTCAGGATACCGCCCTGAAGCGTTGTGGAGCATTCGACTTCGTAGCATGAACCGTCGCCATTCACGTTGAGAGCTTGATGGTCATACGCCGGGCATAACGAAGTTGTAGTTGGAGTCGCAGAACAATGCGGAGGAGTCGTGGATATGGATACGGATGATGGTAAAAATGTTGTCGCGACAGGGGTGACTGGAGAAGTGGTGACTTGTGATGATGCAGGAAGAGAGGTGGAGGAGGTAGCGACTATGGCGACCGTCGAAAACACAAGGCTTGAAGAACTCGAGGGAGGTTGAGACCCTGAACTTGTTGGTGTCATTTGTGATGTGCTGACAGAGCTAACGACACTCGAAACTACCCTGGATGTAGTGGTAGAGGGCGGGGATGACGGGCTTGTCGAAGAGCTTGATGGATTACGAGAGGTGGATAAAGTACTGCTCGATTGCTGCTGACCTATCGTTGTTGCAGATGCGCTCGTTCGCTGTTGGCTCGTCACGGGAGACGTAATGGGCGAAGAAGTTGGTATTGGCAAAGTAGACAAGCGTGTCGTGCTGGAGCTTGCTGACGTAGGGAGCGAAGTAAACGATGAACCTATCCCTGGACTGGTTTGCAGAACTTGCGTAGTAGTCGATGAGCTGGGCTGTTGGGCTGCAGCACTTGTACTGACCGTGCCTATAATGGTAGGTGCAGTGGTTGACGCCGGAGGTGTAGTGGCGATAGAGCTTGGGTTGGATGTGGTGTCTGGTGGAGGTCTCGTTGAAGAAATTCCCTCACCTGTAGAAGATGAACTGGAACTAGCCGTGTCGCTGAACACAATTTCAGGAGAGAAGGGCTGATTGACCAAAATCGCAGCTTGAGAGAATGCGTCGGCGCCTCTGGATACCTCACTGATGTTATATTTGAGCGTGCATGGGTTCACGGATGCCAGCTAGAGACCCAGTCAGTACAGATTGTTTTCGCTGTAATGAGTCAACCTTACAATGTCAAAGGCTATAGCGACACAAGGTCCTTGTGATGTTGGGATATACGAATTACACTGATCAATGCACTCGGCAATGTTGGACGCAGGGACTTGTTGCAGATCAAACCCAGGGAGATAGGTGTCGCAAAGGACCAAGTAATCGTTGTTGACCGTGCCATCAAAGGGAGATCGATCGAAGCAATTCGGGGTCCCTGTGGTCGTGGGCGCAGGATACTCAGAAAGGGTCAAAGACGACGTGTACGAGATGGTGCTGCTGTAAGAAGAAGTCGTCGATAGTGATGTTTCTGCTCCCTGTGTGAATGTCATACTCGAAATCATTTCAGCATTTGTGGAGCTACTTCTGTGCTCAGGCGAACTCGTCGACAAGTACTGAGCCGAAGTTTGACTGGTCGTAGACCCCGGAGTCGGCTCTGGTGTAGGGCTCAGAGATGGACTGTTCGAGGTCGGGACAAGTGAGTACGATGTCGTTGCTGAATCCGTGAGGCTGCTTGATCCTGCGCGCGTGCTGGACGGTGAAAGAGTGGTCGTGGAGGACGAAGTCGAGGAAGGTCGTACATCGCTAGTAGGAATTGCACCAAGTATAACTTCAAGACATCCCGGAGGTAGCGTACCGCCAAAAGCCGCCTCGAGGATTGAGCCAAACACGCAGAACATAGCTTCACCACCAACAAAAGCGTCATTCTTCCATACCAAGGTTTTGCTGGCAGGGGCACCGTCCCTTCTTGCAACAGTGTCGTTACTGGTAAGGGAAAAGAAAGTCGAGATGGTACCAGGTGTCGGGGAAACCTCAAAAGGCTTTGAGGTTTCGTTCCCATCCGTTGATATAAATCCCCCTGCTCCTTCAAGCTGTCCTATAGGGTTTATGGAGAAATCCACGGCCAACGAAGAATCGTTTGTCAGAGTTCCATCTGCGGATACATACTGAGGTTGCTCGTCAAAGACCTGCACCACGGTAAGGACGATCGGGGTGAAACTGTTTTGCGTCAAATCTTGCCATCTGTCCGACAACGAGGACGTACCTTGGAGCCGACGACGAAGTGCTAGAGGTCGTCCTTGTCGCAAGTGTCGAGGTCATGTGGGTGGCAGGGCAATAGCTGACTTCGACAAAGACAGTCGTGCCATATCCAATGATTGGTCGCACCAGGTTGGCCACAATGGCGACACTGGTAATAAGTCTCCAAATCATGATGTATGACTTGCCTGTCACAACCGAGTTCGCCTATATGGAACGGTGAGTAAGAGGGCCGACACAGTCTTCAAAAAGCATACGCGGAAGATGATGTGGTCTGCGGAAGACATCAAACGCGACTGGAATGACAACACGAGAAGCTGCGGAATGCTGGGGAAAAGAAGGGTGAAGTGGAGTTTCCGATTATGAGCTCCAGTAAATCCTTTTCACGGCAAAACCACCGTTAAGGGGAAGGGAAAATGTGTTGTATTGGTACAAACTCCTCAAAGCATGACTGCTTGTGGTGGTGGACGAAGTCAACCTCCTCAACCGGGTTCACAAGTCGTCTAGCAATCTGCGCGACCCCATGTCCTGGGAAATCCAACAACATCGCGCACATTGGCTACTCCGGTCAAATAGGCTAACAGCCTGTCGAATCCCAAGCCATAGCCACCGTGAGGATTGCTACCGAAACGTCTGAGATCTGCATACCATTTCAGGGCACCGAGACTCTCTCCAGGCTCAAGAAATGGATAGTCGGTGCGATTGATGGCCTCCTCAGCGTTCTTGATGAGACCTTTCGAGCGCATATTGTGAATGAGCTCCTTAAGGCGATGCTCTCTCAGACTTCCTCCGACAACTTCACAATATCCATAGGGAAGCAGCAGGTCAAAACACGCAACCGTTTCTTGATGTTCTGTGTAATTGTCGGCAGGGGCTGAATGCTGCCCAGAGGAAGATATAACTGCCGAAGGCAGCATATAAAAGGGTTTGATCGCCTTTGGATAGTGCGTCACGAAGACCGGCTTGCCTTCTGCAATGTTTTCGACAATCCATCGTTCATGCTCAAGTTGCAAGCCCCACTCCCACTGCGGTCTGTTGACGAACAGCGTTCTGCTACTTGCTTCGTGTGCTTTCTCTAACGCGTCGATGGCCGCAGTGTAAGTCACCGTATGCCACGGTCCTGTGAGCCGGCTCCACCGTTCCTCGAGATCTACAAAATCGACATCGTCAGGACGATGTTTATGGTCCTCATAATACTGGAGAAGTTCTTTGCCCGTTTTGTGCGCTTGAAGTGATTGTGTCAAATCCACGATCAACGACCTTACACTCGCCAATAGATCGTCGAAGGCGATATGTCGGTGTTCTGCCTCAAGCATATAAAACTCCGCCAGATGACGGGGTGTATCACTCTCTTCGGCACGGAAAGTGGGTGATAGGGCGAAAACATCTCCCAACTGCGCCGAGTAAGCTTCCAGATGTAATTGCGATGAGACAGTCAGGTATTTGGGTTCCCGAAAATACAGTTTCTCCTGCTCCTTGGACTTGCTGGGTGGGATGAACCTGGGCAACTCTTTGCTTCGTGGAGTTATGGTAAAGACTTCGCCTGCGCCTTCACAATCGGATGACGTGATCAGGGGAGGATGGACTTGGTAGACAGGTTCGGAACGGTTGTTGAAATGCGCAGACACCGCTGCGGTCAACTGACTGCGAACCCGGACAAGGAGGGATTGGAAGGCGGTGCGCATGCGAAGATGAGGAACGGTGCGCAGAAATTCAGCAGTCATGGACTGCTTCTGAATAGGGTTTTCCTGCGCAAGTCTCAGCATTGAGTGGCATGTATCAAACCCGACGACACTCACCAAAGGGTTGCTTTCTCCTATGGTCTCAATTTCATGAACCAGCAGTTCGTGGCTCTGGCCGGCTCCTTGTGAAGCCACCCATTTTCCGATCAACGAAACATACGCTCCATTGGTGATGCTGCTGTCCATCAGCTCAATGATTCGTGTCTTCTTCCTTGGGCTGCCGACTCACTCTTTTGCTATGTTGGGATGGGGAAAGACAGCCTGCACGCTACCCAGAGTAGACCCATCTGCGACCCGTGCAAAGGCGACATTTTTCTGCTTCCGCACACTGCGTACCAGCCCTACGACCTTGACTATGGCATTGCGCGATGCGGCGTCATATAGCCTGCTGCTATCGACAAGGGTAGCATGGCGCACTGCCCGAAGAGCGGACGAGGTTCCGTCGTTCTTCTCGGCACGGACAGGACGTGTATGGTGGAAGGAGTGTCTGATTGCTTTCGGCTCAAGACTGTGCCTCTGCAGGCATCGGAGACTTCGCGAGATGCATGGCGACTTCTCAAATCTCCATAGCATCCCGCTTTCGACTTGAACTGGTGATATTCGCGGGCACAATTGCAGGTGGGACTTTCTGAGAAGCTTCGCAGCACGCATGGAGAGCAAGTGCAGACAAATCGCGCTAGAATTATTTTCCCCGACGAACAGCCGGAAGCCTCGTCGCCGTCAGCCTCGCGATGTCGAGGCAGTCAAGACCAATGGACTGCTGCATTTGCGAAAAGAAAAGGTATGAACTTGACAGGAGCCGGTTTACGTGACACTATGGATTTCAATATTGACAATGACTTTTGGTATTGGTAGTGCTGGCTGCAAAGCTCACTCCTCGCACGACCTCTCACGAATCACAGATACTAGCCACCAGCTCCAGTCCGTCAGCCCAATCAGGTAGCCGACAGTGATAGAAAGCCTATTCGGCCAGCTGCGACTATCAATTCATAACCCATACCGCCATCCACAAAGTACTCATCCCAAGCAGGAGAGTTCGATGCCAGTAAAATGGCCCACCCAACCAGAAAACTTTGAACATCATGATGTCGTACTCCCCCTCAACGCCGATTGTGATACTGGTATTGGCAGAACAGACGGGCCGAAACACATTGCCCATATTTGAAACAGAAGACACCATGGCTGATGCAAATAATTCAAACTCATCGTCCCAGTACTTGAGCGCCTACAACCCTCAACATCAAACCCTAGCAAACACCCGATCAAGCTTGCTCAAAGCTCGTTTGTCTTCTCGAAAACCCAGCTTTTCACTAGGTATGTCCTGTGGCGGGGCACCGTTCTTTGTTCCTCCGGGACTGGTGCTGCCTTGCCTGTCCACTTCGGCCTCGTGTTGAGGCTTCTCCGCAGGTGGTGCTGATGGTGGCGGAGGTGGCAGGGTCGAGATACTGTGCACTAATGCATGAATTGTAGGAGCCTGACTGGCACTGGTGTGTGCAGATTCAGCCGGCCGTAGTGGAGGCTGCTCGTCAGGCTTCTGCGTAGAACTATTCGGTTGCGATTCGGCTGCTTCGGCCACGGTAGTTAATCGTGGGTCAATCTGTGCCTTCTCGCCCTCTTCCCGGGGTGAAGGAGGCGGAAGTCCAGGGCTGCGGAGAGGAGCCGTTGGAGGCGGCAACGACTGACTTGTACTGTATATCATGGGGGGAGCGGGTGCAGCGGTGGCAGCAGTGGTGGTCGTGGCAGGCGGTGGTGCCGACTCAGACGTGCGAAGCGGCCGTTGATCATATGCAGATGGGGGAGGATGGCTGACGGGGTAAGCGTGAGGTGAGTAGGCTCCCGGTCCTGGTGGTGGATAGTGAATTGGGGGTGGGAGTCCAGCCGGCAGTCCATGTGCAAGGCCATACGGCTGGAGAGCATAGTGGCCTGGTGGGGTATGTATCGGACTGATGGGATAGATGTATGCCCCATGAGGCAGATAACCAGGTGGTAGGTACGGATGAGGATTGCCAGGACTTGGTCGCTGATAGCCAGGAGCGCTGGTGCTCACGACGTAGCTGGGCACCCCTACCATTGGTGAGCGTGTCACAGCTGGCACAGAAGACTGGTCGTTAATCGTCGATTCAGGATACAGTCCTTTGGCGGGTTGAACATGAGCCAGATTCGGATCTGTACTGGGTTGCCGAAGGACTTGGGCCGTAGGATGCGACCGAGAATAATAGCTAATCAGGTGGAGATGCTGGCCCTGGGAAGTAGTGATACTGAATGATTGCTTCATAAGGCCATCAGGCTTATAACGATAACCGTCGGGCCCCTCCTCAGCCTCTCCATTTTGTAGATCGTCGGGATTGCTGTCTGGGGTTTTCGCGCCTTTGTTGGCAGGAGTGACAAATGAATTGCTGCCTCTTTTACCCTCCATCTCTCGATATGTCAGAAAACTGCCAGAGACTCGACTGGCACTCCAACTCTTCCCGTCCGTCCATCTTCTCATTCCTGCCTCCCGTTCATCCCACACAAACACTGATCCAGATCTTATGGACTGTCTTTCTTTTTCTGATAACCTTCGCTGAACTCGGGGTAGGATGCCGAGTCTGCAGGCCTCGAAGAGAATGATGGCATCCGTCGGCGTCCGAACGTGTCCGTTGTATGTCTCCATCGCGCAATTCACACACGCCGAATGGCTCGAGGGTATATGGGCCACCACGGCCAGTCAATGTTGGCTTGTTGTCCACAGTGTGCTCTCACACGCGAGAGTAGGTGAATACAGTCGGCACCAGCGCGAGTCGATAGAGAACGGCTCTTTGTCGTCAGCTAGGGACCCTGCTGCCTCTTATGGACGTGCGCAGTGCAGTTTTATGCAAGTCTTCGTGAAACCTCGAGAGACTGAAGTGTTGTAAGGATATGGTGTTGATGCAGGCACAAATGGGATCGGTCTTTCAGAAGATGGAAGCACGATTATGGGACCCGGATGACGCTCAAAATCGTGCCCTAAGGACTAATCGGTAGTCTGTAGGAGTTGTTCTGTTGGAGAGAAGGTTGAACGGCTGAGAGAGAAAGCGATGGGATCAGGTTCAAGTCGCTGGCAGGGAATACTCCAGGCACAGGGATGGCTATCAGATTGCGCAGTAGGAGAAATGGATTCCAGGGAATGTGTGTGTGAGAGAGAAGGGAGGGAAAGGCAGCGCAGGTGTACTTACTTTTCCTTACAGCACAAAACTAGCCGGAAGGACTCATCATTCCCCAAGGCCACATTGGATGGACAGGCACTCGCGACGAAGAGACGTGGTGGATCCGGACAAGCAGCATCATTCCCACACCAAGCTTGGGCTTATGCTTAAATCAAAGCCGCTGCGCCCACTTAATGGCCTGTGCGTCGCGGCCAAGCTTTGGCAGGGCTGGGCACCATTACTAGGGAGGCAAGGGACCTCGCCGTGACTAACTGGTTGCAGTGTGTGGTGGCACCGAGGGCTTGTAAGTTTCCCTACTAGGCACTTCGGGGGCCTTGGGGCAGCCGATATCGCCCAGGTACCTACAGTACCTACAGTACCTGCAGTACAGTACCTACACAGGTGAGAGTCTGGGCCACGACTCCCGGTAGCTGAGGTGCACAGCGCAGGCCCTTGGTGGTGAGGCCAATTTTGAGCAAGGGACAGGCTCATCTCGCCCTTGCATGCCGGAGATGGGTACACGGTGTCTTGGAGATAAGGTACACGGTGACATAAGTCAAGACTCCAGAGCCGCCCTCCCTCTAGACTTTTGAGGCGCAATCGAGCATAGAGGGCTCGTATCCATTAGTGGGCGGGTCATGCCAAAACTCGCTTACGGAACAGCAGGGAAATTTGAACAAGCTTCCCAGCGTCTTTCTCGGTTCTTGGTGTTCTTGGACACCTTGGACACGTTTCTTGGTGCTCTTGGGACTTCTTGGGCGTCGTGCTCGGCATCGCACCAAGACCAAACAAACCCACATTCCAAGCGCGGCGTAATTGTTTGGAGTCCTGGCCCCAAGAACAGCAATGGAATGCTAGCACCCGTCTTCATTCCTGCCATTGGCGGTCGCCGGAACTTGACACTCCTGGCCTCTGCCGCTTGAGACTGCATATCTTCGACTTCGCTTGGCCTGAGATTTTAGCGGCCCCTTGAATGCTTGGCATACTCAAACACGAAGTAGATTTTTCGGCACCACTGCAGCTGGTCCGGAATCGCGGGTTGTCTGTGCAGCCACTGGCCTGGGATGGAGGCCTCGAGACCCTCCTCGCCTGCCTAGTTCGTCCTCGCCAATATTTGCCCAGAACGCCCGCTTGGCCGCTGGCACCATGTGGTCCAGATGGCCAGAAGCAGGCAGCCGCTTTCTGAGGTTGCACATTGACTTGTCATATTACGATGAGAGCCAGTCCAGATCAGAAATCTCACAGTGCCCGCCGGAAAAACATATGGCCAGCCTCCGAGAGCGCCTCAATTGGCCGTTCAAGGCCACTCCGACGCCAGCGCTCTTGGTCTTTCTTGGTCGTTTCTTGGTCTTCTTGGCAAGTCTCCAGCCCGAGTCGGCTTGGGAACATGAAGTGATGAGGGTTGCGTAACACTTGTGTCTCGGCCTTGGGCCATGTCTGGGTTTGTCTCACGGATCTACAATTCAAGGCAGATCCCTTGTTTTGTGCTCAGCTGTTCGACGTGTCAACTGCGGTTTGTGATCAAAGTGCTCCGTACTCTGGCAAGGTCGTGCCACGCAAGACTACGGCAGTGGCCATGTTCCCAGGCCCCTCCCTTGCTATTCGCTGCCAGTGTCCGGTCAGACATACAGAGCGACAGGCGCTAATGCTTAACAATCTAAGGTTGTTAAGCATGATTCAAGCCACAAACTCAATTTGCAGCGCACGGCCAAGAGCCTCATCCCTGTCGTCGGCTCTTCGGTTTGCTAGGCGCCCGGTCAAGTGACCATGACCGTGAGAACGAAGCCGCCTCCCGCCTGGAATATTGACACCCAATGTAGTCATAAAGTCACGATTGGACATCCAGTGCTGTCTTGCCACGACTCGCCTCAGATCGTTCATTCCTGCACAGGCCTATGCAGCGGTGACTCGACGAGTACATAATCTCATTTGCCCAAGACATGCCAAGGTTCGTGGCTGTCTTGGCCCCAGAGACGCCGAGCGTGTCAATCAACAATGCTGAGAAAGTTCACATTGTCCACTCTGTCTTCATCAAAGCGCTGGGATACTCGGACTCGGCGCTCTCGTCGCCCATCATAGGCATCATCAACACGTACTCGTCGTTCAACCCGTGCCACTCCAACGTGCCGCAGCTCATTGAATCCGTCAAGCGCGGGGTTCTGGCGTCGGGCGGGCTCCCCGTCGATTTCCCGACCATCAGCATCCACGAGAGCTTCGCCAGCCCGACGAGCATGTACCTGCGCAACCTCATGAGCATGGACACGGAGGAGATGATCAAGGCGCAACCCGTCGACGCCGTGGTCATGATCGGCGGGTGCGACAAGACGGTTCCCGCGCAGCTGATGGGCGGCATCAGCGCCAACAAGCCTGTCGTGCCCTTGATCACGGGGCCGATGATGCCCGGCTCCGTTCAAGGGTCGAGAGTGGGCGCGTGTACAGACTGCAGGAGTTACTGGGCAAAGTACCGGGCCGGCGGCATCGACGTCGAGGACATCATGTCGGTGAACGAGGAGCTGGCACCCACCGGCGGGACGTGTGGAGTCATGGGCACGGCGTCGACAATGGCGTGCGTCACCGCCGGACTGGGTCTGCTCGAACTACGGGCAGGGGCGACAGCGGCAGCAGTCAGTTCCGCGAGACTGAGGGTTGCTGAACAAGCCGGGCGAAATGCCGTGGCGATGCTGACCAAGGACCAAATGAAGCCACAGGACCTGCTCACGCGAGAAAGTTTCATCAACGCAATCACCGTGCTCCAGGCCATAGGCGGAAGCACCAACGCGGTGGTGCACTTACTTGCCATCATCAACAGACACCCCAGAGTGGCCGGCACAATCGATCTCAAGACGTTTGACGAGATTGGCAAAAAGACCCCGCTGCTGGTCGATCTCAAACCCAGCGGCGACAACTACATGACCGACTTCCATAACGCTGGCGGGATGCTAGCGTTGCTGCACACCCTGAGACCACTGTTGCATCTCGATGCGAAGACGATAACCGGCCAGACCCTGGGAGAGGTGTTGGAGAGCACCCCGTTCAAGACGTTTCCATACTCGAGACAAATCATCCGCTCACTCGACGACCCTCTCCATCCTGCGTCGAGTCTGGTCGTGCTCTACGGCAACGTGTGTCCCAACGGTGCGGTCATGAAAGCGTCGGCGTCGAAGAATCGCAAACTGCTTCACCACCGAGGATCAGCTTGCGTCTTTGAAGACACGGCTGATCTGGCCCGGCGCATCGACGATCCAGACCTCGAAGTAACGGAAGATTCCGTGCTGGTGCTCAAAAGTATAGGTCCGGTAGGGAATCCAGGCATGCCCGAGGCAGGATTGATCCCGATCCCTCAGAAACTAGGCAGAAAAGGGGTCCTGGACATGCTGCGAATAAGCGACGGTAGAATGAGCGGAACCGCCGGAGGGACCATCTTGTTGCACATTTCACCCGAGTCGGCCGACTTGGATTCTGTTTTTGGGGTGGTGCAGACCGGAGACAAGATTGTATGTGATGTCGAGCGGAGGCTACTGTCTCTCGACGTTGAACAGGACGAAATAGCGAGAAGAATAGCAGAGCGCAAGCAACGAGCTCAGACGGCGACACATGACCGTCCGGAACCGTGGATTGACAGGCACGATCGACGAGGGTACCGAGGTCTGTATGAGAGAGAAGTCAACCAGTCTCACTTGGGTTGTGATTTTGGATTTTTGACAGCAAACGGGGGGCCTGGAGGATCCAAAAATATCGAGTCACGATGATGATCATCGTTCGTCTTTCATGGTCGTCGTCATCAACATCCCACAAGACAGAGACATTCTCTACAACATTGGTGCTCATGTCAACGAGACTTTTCGTATTATGAATGGTGATCAAAACACGAGTCACATCGGTGTCGTCCGTCGTATGCACTCTTTGCATGCATTGTATTGATCCTACGAGGGGATCACCGTGACTGAACGGTGACTTTATTGACTTTAGTGGTGGTCGACTTCTGAGCAATGCACGCGTCACCTCTTTTCCATGAAAGGAAGTCGCTTCATGTTCATATTCATGCTCATGCTCATGCTCATGCTCGAATGAAACATTAGTGTCGCAGGAAGAAGCCACGCACACCAAGGTGGAAAAGAAGAAGACGAAGAAGTGGCATGACACATGTACGGACACCGACAGGAAGCAAAGCAAGAACGATTCCCAGGCACCCTACCTCAGGCAAGGTACCTTAGGTACCTACCCGTAGGTGCTACGTTAGTACTGACTCCTGGGTCTTTGGTTGTTCAGTGACCACACAGAGAGGAGACTCAGAGGAGTCTGGCAGAGTCTAACCATACCAAGTAACCCAGTTGCCTTGTTTGTCGACCTGGGACGAGTTTTGGTCGACCAACATCGCGAAGCTGTTTCCGGTTCAGGAAGTGTGTTTTTGTCTTTCTGTTGCAACTTTGCGAAACAGGTTGATGCAACGTCAACCACTTGACTCCGCCGCTCTGCATCTGCTGGCGGTGCTGGTGCTGGTGCTGGTGGCAGCAGCGAAACTCGTTCGTCCAGTGAGGGAATGTGGAAACTGGGTGGAAAATGACCGGGGTGGGCGACGGGCGGCTGGGGCGCGTATCACTGGGGACCGACCAGGGGGGTCCAGGAAGTGTGTTTTTTCCCGTCTTCCCGGGTCGGCCTGTCTGTCATTGTATCGATACGAGTACCTGACCAGGTACGGCAGTACCTAGGTATGTACATTATCACGTACTCGCACCGAGTGACTCTTCTTTTACGAGTTGCTGTACAACAACAACAACAACAACTACTACTACTACTACTACTACTACTACTACTACTACTACTACTACTACTACTACTACTACTACTACTACTACTACTACTACTACTACTACTACTACTACTACTACTACTACTACTACTACTACTACTACTACTACTAC